AGGCGTTCATCATCTTGATTTTGCGTGATTTGCCTACAGTTGATTTTTTTCTACGCTTGTTCTTTGGTGGATTTAAGGATCAACTTCACATCCTCGATCTTCAAAAGTAAACAAGTGATGTATTCCTCAAAATTCTTCTCAATGTCACGATCATTTTCGCAGTATAGCGGCAGGCATATGGTAATTGGTGCGTGAATCACGTGAAGCTTTGTGAAACATGGCTGTGTCCCGCGGATCCGCACATGTAAGCCCCGTTGAGAGCGACGTTGCCCAACGTCGCTCGGAACGGGCAAGCCAGGAATACCCCGATGAACGAGGCTCGCGTTCATAAAATCAAGTCGGGAAACGCTCGAGTGACTCTAAGCATCGGCTCGTTCACGGCTCTCTCTGCACATGGTGCAAGACGAACAAATTTTAAGGAGTTTATTTTAGGCTTTCGGCGATTCATCCACTTGAAAAAAATCCCGTTATCAGTTAACGAACTTGTCTTTCTTGAAAATGCATGTGACGTCTAGAGAAATACATTGAAAAATATACAGGTCTTCTTCTTTTTTAGACGGAAGAAATGGAATGATGTTATTAAATACTGTACTGTACAATACGGCGCAATAACGCAAGTTTTGATCGCGACTCTTCTTCCATATGGATGAGAACCGAAAATGTGCAGTACAGTTACAGCATTCATGCTCCATAATTTATTTTATGAGGCTCGCGTTCATAAAATAAATGCGGGAAGCACTGGATTTCTGAAAATCTATTGCTTGTAGTATTACGGTTACGCCGACGGTGATATTTTTATGCGTCATATTTTACAAATTGTATTGCATTCAATAGTCATATTTGTATCACATATTTACTGGATGGCTTTTATCCAACCAATCACATTGCACGGTATGATAATACACGATTATTGCACTGGAATGCTACGTACAGGAAATCAACCATTAGCGTAAAATAAAATCATAAAACCGGGGAAGATTTCTTAACCTGCACATTATTCAATCTCCCAAAACAAACATAGGTGTACTTAAAATCTCTGAAGAAAAGAAAACTCAAGTACACACTATAGTATCACACGGGAAAAAATGTGCTCGTACCGAAGTAGCTAGGATGCTTCTTGTCGTCGACGCTTTTTCTGATCAATGAATTATTTTCCAACCTTAAATAACCGATCGAGACAAATTGAGTGTATGAAGTACAGTACATGTATTTAGGTTTTGATTTTACGTTCCCTAATCTGTTATTGTTTGATGGCCTTTCACAGAACATAATCGATCGCAAACATATTTACTATTTGTTGGATCCCACCCTGATCCAGAAAACCGTTGACGAAAAATAAATACGGCAGAGAAGAGAGAAGAGAGACAGACAGACAGACCCCAGGCCCGTCAAGAACCCCGTCAACCTGACGCCCGCATCCGTCAGTGCGGCCAGGAACGGGCCGATAGGAGACCGGGGTTCATAAAACGGAGCCGGGAATCGTTGATGATCTTCAGCATTGAGGTGGAATTGTCGGTGAGTTTTTGATACAATGCGGAAAAAACCAGGATCACTAATCGTAATTAACGGAAGAGGAAGTGTTTCAGATTAATCTACGGAAGTAAGGCGTACTGCTGTGTATAATGCAGATGGATTTGTTGATAATTATACTTCGCTCTCTCGTTGAAATATCGGACCACTATAATCCAGTTCATCTGAACGCGGAATTTTTTTTTCATTTTATTTATGCAGGTGATTTTTCTAAACTTTACATGTATTAAGTAATGGAAAAATCATCACAGAATGAGCCTTTTCCCCATTCTTGTGATTCCCATAAAAACTATGAAAAGCAAGAAATTTGATGATACAGTTTATTTAGTGTGCTGTGAACCTCTACGGTAAAAGCTGCCGAACGAGTTGCTGAGAATTGTTGTTTTCTATTCAAATACAATATAATTATTTAGATTGAAGCATACATCACTATATTTTAGAGATTTATCCTTCAGCAGAGACCCCTGTATTACATCCCAAAGGCTGAATCTTTATATACAGTATTTTTATTTTATCTAATCTACTCATAAAATCCACAGCAGTATTTTGTTGGTCTGTATACGTATTTGCGCCCAACATAATTTTCTCGAAAGTCTTTTTTGTGTTTTTCTTTACTCTCGTATCATAATTATCTGATCGGCCTCGTCTGAGAAACGGACATTCACGAAGATTTCTGCGAATTCCTTCACGAAGCTATGAACAGCATTGAGCGACATCTATACTTCTAAAAACAAGACGTGATTTGGTGTAGGAGTATCTTGTGGAACAAACCGCGGTCATCCTGAAATCGAATTACAATAACTTCCAGGAATACTGTTAGAAAATATGCATCCTGTACAGTCAAAATTAATATCGCTGCTAAGGAAGTTGGCAAGAAGAAAGGACTTGAATGGTTTTCGATAACACAATTACCCACAGTTTTGAAAATACTGTGGCTTTCACACATACCGTAATAACCTGATACATGGTACTGTACAACATTTTTGCAGCCATTTTGATGCATATAGTAGATACTGTAGTACAGTAAAAAATTTGATAACAGCAAATCATTCCTCCCAGAAAAAATTCTGAAGGCTACAACAATGCAACCACAATAATTTTATATATTTCGATTTTAAAAATGTTCCGCTTTAAAGTTTTCACCGGCTACAACGACTTTTTATCTGACGCGATTCCTCTGTACACTGATCTCGTTAATTTGACATTTTCAGCATTGATACTCTGCAAAGCCCGCATAAGTGGGTTGTGAGCCATTTATATCCGAGATTTATTAATGTTGGTTTTCTCGTGGGATCTTTTTTTTTTTGTCGTATTGCTGCAGTGTCATAATCCCATGTCATGGACTTATGACACGTACGCTGTGAGTGTTGCCACGATTTGGACTTGCGCTATTGTATGGGGTCGGTTTCTACCCGCACCATGAAGCGCGCCATGTTGGGCCGTACTACGCAAACAATGCAAGTGTTGTGTCGTACTACGTACTGACGCAACGGAGGGGGAGCTGGAAGAAACAAATTCCAGAGAAAGCAGAGCGGTTAGGGGAAAGGGAGGAGCAACACACTTCGTCCTGTGCAAGGAAGCAAAAACAGCAGCAACAGTGGATATTACCTAGGGGAATGTGTGGAGGTCGCTGGGATTCGATTTATCGCTGTCTAGGAGCCGAGTATCCCGAACATTCGGTACAAGACGACTACCGCATTCATAAAGCTCGACCCGAGCTCAGCATTGCGGTCTAAGGGAAACGTTGGACCGGCTGCAGAGCGCGGGACTCCAATGGCTCCCGCCAACCAGCTCTGTCGAAGATGCGCGGGTCGCAGTCATCTCTCGGGGAATATGCTCTCAGTATGAAAGGGACTGGGTGGCATGTACCCGCTCCCTCCCTTCCGGCCCTCTAGTTTCCCGCGCTCGTACAGTTTTTTTTTCATATCCTCTCGGGTTTGTAAAAGCCCGCCGTTGCCGCCGCCACCACGGCGTCCTCTGTGACTCCGAACACCCGCTGGTTCGGTTGCCGTGGCGGGAAAATCTCCCCCCGCCCCCCCGAGTTTCTCTTCGCTGCTGACATCCATCTGCACGCATCCGGCGGATGGAACCCGGGGTTGGGTAGGATTGGGGATTGCTCACACCGCTATGCGTCTGCTCCCGCCGGTATCTTTGCCTGGGGGCGCAGGTTGAAACAAGACGCGGCTTCCAGGAGGAAATGCGGCGCAAGTTTTTCCCTGCGAAAGGGTTGAAGAAGCGCCGGCCGGCGGAATCGTGTGCAGTCGAGCCCGGGATCATCAAAATCAACACTGACTTCGCATGTGGCATGGCATCAACTGCGCGTAAGAGTTAGTTCCGAGAAGCACGTTCATAAATCGGGGCCTCAAAGCCGGAGAGGCGAACAGTCGTATGGGCCCGCGTGCACCAGGCAAGAGCGCTTGTGCGTAGCATAGAATAACCGAAAACCTCAAAACGAATCTTCTCAAACTCTTCACGTAAACCGCATTTTTCTTTTAATTGTGTAAGCATTCTGAACCATCACTTCAGTATATTTCAGACTATAAAAGCTAATTTAATGGCTGTTCATGCAAATGGTATATACAGTTCCACCGAGACACTGACAATCGAATATCAAGCGTTTGATTGTAAAAGAAGAAGATTAGCATCGAAGAATGAAGCGACATAATCTAAAAAAAAATCTTACTGTGAATTGGCCCAGAAAAAATTCGTTATAAGGTAAGAAAGCCACCAGCGTTGAAATTACAATGTGAATGAGCCGATTCCCCCCTCCAAAGAAAGATAAAGTCAGAGCAGATTACTTAAATTCGTGTCTATTTTAACTTTGAATTATTAGAAATTTACTGAATAAGGGAGATGCTGAATAATGGAAGAGCCTTGAAGCCAATAGATTTTTCAGAACGTGAGTCAGAGCTTTGCGTTTGTCGATGCCCTGACCGCGCGTCTCTGTGTATATAGCTGATCGTTCCGAACGGCTATGCTGCACAAACGTTCCCTGGTTTTCTTTTATGAACTTCAGCCTCTTATTTGCTTTTTCCCGATGCTTTCCGGGGTGAAGCTGTCCATCGAATCCATGATGGCATCGACCGCGTGAAGGAGTTCGAAGCTATTGCTGCGTTCATAAATTACATCTGTAAAACCATGGAAGTCGAGCACTTCCGTGGCCTCATTTCTCTCAGACTGGGGTGCTTGCGTGCAGCATCGAACGACAGAAACCTGTGAATGCATCTACGGTGCTTTATCCTCAACTAAAAGCATTTAGTTAAAATTTCTATGGTTTTCTTAAATTTTATCATAATTAGCGGGCAACGTGGGGGTGAAAAAAATCCTAGAATAAATATACAGCACGGTATTTCAATGAATTAGTTAGTCAGACCTCGATGTGATGCTGCGACAGCGCGTCCGTATGCCTAGGGCGTTCTGTTCGGAGCGGGTGAAATGGGCGAACGTTTCTCGATTCCTTTTTATGAACGTCAGCCTCGTATCGGCCCGTTCCCGGCCGCACTGGCGGACAGCCATGTCGGCGGGGCACGCGTCAGGGACGCGTTCCGGGACGCGACCAGGAACGTTTCGCTTTCCAACGAAAAAACGCTTTCTTTATTCACGGAATTCTCCCATGCACCCCACACAGGATGATAGCGGTCAGATTCAGAAGACAGCCGTGAACGGGCTTGTCGTCTGCAACCATATACTGTACTTTAAGCCTGTCTACATACACATCACATGACAAAAGGATTTTGAGAAATCTGCCTGTCCTTTATTCTTCTGCTGGAGACGGCTGAAGCGAAGCATTGTCCCTTGCTCTTACCCAACCCACAGAAGAGCAGGATGAGACACAGAGAGCTATGTCTACGGTATCTCAAGGATGATTTTCATCATTGTTCTGTGAAGAAGTGCTCTTCAATTTTGTCATCAGGACATGCTGGTGACAAATTTGGATTGAATTACAGGATTTTACAGCCCTTCGAAGGTAATGTAGTTGCTTGTCATATATGAGAATAAACCACCGTATATATTGATACTGTTCGAAGCATTATACGATCTTAAAAGTTGGATATCGTATTCAATTATTTTTTTACGAGAATAACGTAAGGCTTCCGTGGACATTATTAAAAAAGCCCAGGGAGATTCAAATCTACAAAATACCGCGTGACTGTATGTGTTCCGTACTACTGTATATTTCCAGCAAATGCTGGTATTCTAATTCCAATCGATTTTGCAGGACAATATGAGGATACGCGAAAATGCTGATATACTCGAGGAAGGCGCAGCTTAATGCAGGAATGCAGCACATTAAGTTGGCGATTATACACATGTACTTCGCATGCTGAATTGGTCAGGAATAACTGCATTATCGAGTTTATATCGCACCTTCATATAGTTTAGATTTAGATTACTGGATTTATAAAAAAAATCTAGCAACACCGGGCTGCTGTGCAGTGTCGCAGAAATATCCACAATAGAATCTTATGGATCCTCCTAAATAAAGTTTGTTGACAAGAGGAAAGGCAGGGCTTCGGGTAAAATTACCATCATTAAAAGTTTGCACGGTAGAATGTTTCTTTTAATTTGATTCCTTGCTGTGAATCAATATTGAACATAAGTTTGATCTAACTTCCAATGCCCGGAGCTGAGATAATTAGAGTACACACCTTCTCAATTTTATGTTTTTATTGAGAAGCCTCTTCATTTTTCCAGCAACATAGGGTCCACTAAGAAACGTTTGAATAAAATATACTAGGGTTGGCTAATAATTTTGAGACTTTTTGAAATAGATCCAACAGAGTTTCAATTGCAAATTTCTTTTTAGCCCCATCCTTTGGCAACATTTTAGTTCTGTTCAACATATTCCCCAACAATTTCAATGCATTTTTCATGCAATAAATACAACAATTGAAAGAGGGCCAGAAATTCAGTTCTGTTAGTTAATTATTAAGCGGCTCTTTATGAGTGGAAATAAGGCTGGCACTGTCCTAAAAATCAATCCCTTTTCTGGTTGTTCTTCACTGTCAAGGACAGCTAGAAATCATAGCTGGAGCCTGATCAACTAGCAGAACTCGATGGCAGTCAGAGAGAAGTACGGTACCATGACAGCCAATTCTCTTCGCAGTACAAGTACACCAGACTTCTGTCTAACACGAAAAATCAAACTGCGCCACTTTTAAGTGCAAATAATAAAAACACGATTTCAAAAATTCATCCCGAGGATTTTAATCGTTCTGAAGCACATTTGTCATGCCCATAACCTCACAGATTATGCCACAGAAGGATCCACATTTCAAGATCACACTTGGGTACAAAGGAAGTGAACATCAATCCATAACCTCATTAGTTATCGCGTTCAGTAACGAAATAGAATTCGAAATCATTTTCGAAAAGTTTCTTCAGAACATTAACAGCTGTATACGATCCAAAAATACGAGCTCGTGAAGTCCATCAATTCAACTACATCTTGAAGAAAACCTTTTTGACAGTGACTGAATGAAAAATCGTTGGAGGAGACTTGTGGCCACTCAAATAAGCGGCAAAAAAATTTGCCCAGTCCCAGCAAGCAAAAATTAAAAAAAAATAAAAATATCACCTTCAAAATTAAGGTTATCTAGTCTGAGTCTGACAAAGTCAAGTCTTTTTCCCCAAGAAAAACTTCAGTCAGATACGGAACGGGGTAAAAGCCACAAATGATTTTGCGCAAAATCCCTTTTCGGATCGCGGAAGACATCAGCGGTCCTGCTGAACCGAGTTCATGGTCTGTTTTCAGTCCTGTTCCAGCATCGTCAATCTCTTTCGGATGAATGATTGAATGCAAGTAATCCAACAGCCAGGTTGCGCTCTCTGCAAAGGGAGCAAAAGCTTTGTTCTCCAACAACACGCGTTTCCACCCGTCTAGCGAGTGTAGCTTCTTTTGGCTGAAAAGAAAACAATCGCCATTTTTATTGCAAATCCAGTATATTTATGCAAATATAAGATGGACTCCTTCAATTTTGATTTACGAAAATTAGGGCTTGTCTTGAAATTAGATTTGGACATAAAATACTGCTTGAAGATTGTTATTTTCTGAGAAACATTGCCTTTGCGTTCATTTCAAAGATAATTGAAGTAGAATTTTTCATCATTTGGTCAATGCCATGAATATGAATACATCTTTACAGCAATGCAGATTTTCATACTCCGCATGCAATAGCATAACATGCTACACTACACACACTAAGCTAACTGTCACCTTCGGAATCAGTTCCGTTGTTCAAGAGTCATATCGGGTACAGGGAAGATCACCTGAACCGCCAGCTCCCTGCAAAGTAGGCGGGGAGAAGCAGGGCGACCTGTACCCTTCCAAAAATTGGTGAAATTACACCCACAGGGAGTGCAAGCTCAGCAAGCCAAGCATCACCAGGGCTTCGTATTTTCCTTACTCATTAGTTTAAGGCACAACATCCGCTGGGCTCTCTCAAATGCTATAAAATTTTGCTCCAGGACCATCTGGATCAAAGTAATCAAATTCTTTGATACAGCTGCGTGGCGAGAATTCTGGAAATCTAGAAACTGACTCATATCATGCAGAAACTCCTTTCGAATTAAAAATTGGTATATCTCTGCAAAAAGGACGAAAAACTTTGGGCAAGTCTTGTAAAAACAACTTTTTCAGGACAAGCCATTGCTGCGACATCTACTGTCTTGACCAAAACTAATCAGTATTTAAACACAGTATTGAAAAAACTGTAGTTGCTTCATCTCATAACAGCAAGTGAGTCTAACCTTTGCAGTTCAGCGTGGTCCAGACCATTGTTCTTCACACGGATAATTGTCAGGACAGCAGCTAGGCAAGCGCAAATGAACCTGAACCTGGAGAAAGAAAATCTCATGCAACCAACGCAGAATTGAATATAGCGCCGAAGAACAACTCACTCGGATGAAAATTGCGATCGTTTCCCTAAACCAATAGCACCCATAAATCCGCCACTGGCCCGTTCCTCCGACATGGTGAGAGTCAATCCGGTTAATCGAGACAGCACTTCTCGTTCTTGGGCCAAACGTACAGAAAGCTCTCTGGCATCCGGGGTCCGACCCTTGGCTAGATCAGACAATCCAAGCGTGTTTCTCCAAGCACTCAAACTTTCTAGTACCTCGTCCCACATTAGGAAAAATTTTGGTTCCATCGCTAAGCTGAAAAATGAAAACAAACTACGGTATTGATCAGTTTAAAAAAAATGGATCAATTCTTTCCAATGTTTAGCGCAGAGTATCTGGTTCGCATTGACAGCCTAAATCTAACGCATATAGATCTCGAAAAACCGTATTGATCAGAAGAATCCACAGAAAAAATCCCCCAACAACCAATTTAGGTAATGTAATACATTCCGCAATTTTTTTTATGCAATTTTTTCAATTCGAACATCAGAAAGCCCCACTTGAGATAAGCAGATAACAGGCAGTTTTTGCTCCCGTTATTGAATCTGCTTCAACACTTCGAAATACTGTACTGAACAATCTAGTTTCTATTGAAAACATTCTGGTCCTAACCAATTTTTGGCCTCCTCTGCCCATGAAACGCAGTCTTTGGCTGTTTCCAAATGACTCTCTCTGACTGGCCGCTTGAATCTGCAAACTGAGTATGACAGCAGCAAGCATCCTTCAGACGCTACAATTCGCCAGAAGTCCGCACCAGGATTACCGATGCCCTTCCAGACCACGCTCGACACTTCGTCCCAGTGATCGCTTAAACCCTCCGACTAGAAACAAAAACACAAACGCATCATAATGGAATCGAACAACATTGCCAAGATTAAAAAATCAATTAAAATGCAGGACTAGAAGAAACATTCTATGATTTGTTTGAAAGGCATTTGCACTCCTGCGTGATGAATAAAAACGATGCTGGGAAATCGGTTGAGTGATATAGTGATGAAGGATTATATTACACCAAGTTAAAGCGTTGAAAATCATTCTTGAATTGGAAATTAGAAAACAGACGAAACTGAAATGTGAGAAACCGCGCGGCTTCATGAATATATTTCAATTTATTTTTCACATAGCCACGACTGTCATGCTGAAGCAGTCAACAGGCATGAAACAATTGCTCGTTGGAATATCAATTGGATTACATATACTGTACAGTATTAAGAAAATAGCTTCCATCAGGTGATAACTTCAATATTTCAAGAGACACCACTTTTAGAAAATCTGCACAGGACAGAGTAATTTCCTTTGCATTGTTCAACTGAACAATTGTCAGGAACGTTTCCTACTTTTTAGACCCACGTCATTTAAAATAAAATATTTTAATGTTTGACAAGAGACACCGATCTTGTTTTATACGCAAGGGGAGACCGTTAGCTCGCAACAGGACTTGCCCGAATAGGGCTACATCCAAACTTGAAAAGCCAAATTTAAAACCAAGCAGGAGCTCTCGGAAGACGATGGATATTGAATATGTCATTTCTTCGAGGCTGGTTTTGATCGTTCAGTTTTAAAATTGGTTCTTGTTCTGTGCGTCCTGGCTGTATTTTCCGAACATAATTTCAAAAGCATTTGATTTCCGATGACAGCAAACCTCAACAAAAAAGACCACAAAATAAAAAATTACTTCGTCTCTAGAAGCGGACGCGTCAGAGCAAAAACTTTTGCTCAAGGCCGCCTCCAGTAGTCTTCCCAGGGACGCTGCAGCATCGTATCGCCAGACACCACTCGACCCAGCTCCTGCAGTCACCAGCCGCCCCAACGAACTCAGCACAAGCTTCAAAATACCGGTTTGCCAGTCATTCGAAGAAATCCACTCCATGAAGCCTTGCTCGACGCTGCCCACTTCAAACTGGCCTTCACACGTCACCGGTGTGTTTGGTTTAGCGTCCAGCTTCACTGCCGCGACTAGCAATTCGTCAATCAAGGCTGACGCAAGTTTTTCTATGAAGAATAAATCTTTGATTTTAAATTTGAATTTAAATGCACAATACCAAGTCGAAAGTTGCGATAAAATTGGCCGGTAAGATAATCATGGCATTGTCACATCAAATGGGATTCAAGTTTTTGAAATTTCTACTTTTTTTTGGTTCGCGGAACAACTACGAAATGAGTAATTAATTTACGTGTCATCGTCGATGGGACTCGTACTCCGAAACCACAAGATGCTCCATTTCTATTCTTTTCTCTAGATCAACGCACAAAATTAAATCCATAAGAAAGAACACCAAAAAAATGCATGATTTCACATTCATCCATCGCGTATTCCATTGCTTTGATGCATAACTCGTTCTTTTCAAGACGAAAAATAAAATACAGCAGGACTCTCTCAAACAAGTTTGCCTACAATGATTTTATCTATAATGTATAACGAATTTTGTTGGTCTCATAGGGTTCTCTCCCCATGAAGGGGTTCTCTACAACAAATCTTTTCTGGTCCCTTGAATTTCGTTGCAGCGAGAATTCACCTGTAGTAACGACATTAATGATCCGCGGAAAAGAATTTACCTTCCTCGCTGTCACGGCAACGCATCTCGACGAGACCAGCAACTCGCCGAACGCTGTCACGGACGGCGACATTGCTGGCAGCAAACAACGCCTTGTACTTGCTGTGGCAAGACAGCAACAATCGGACGTAAGCTCGTATAAACAGTCTACATTTTGAATGAATCGTCGGAGACACAGGCAGACGCTTGCTTCTGATGCCACTCGCAGCTTCCAATAACCTTCAGTGAAGTAAAAAATCGGGAAATCTGCACCAAGGTATGGCTACGATAAATCTAAAATTAACCCACAGCGCTCATGAAAAAATACGAGAAGTACGAGGAGTTCAAAATAAGTTGCTGTGCAGTAAGACTTTTGTGTGTGATGCAAACCTACATGTAAAATAGTCCTTTCCTTAAAACCTTATGGCAATTCAATATTTCGTAACGCATGGTGACGCTTCATGTTACTCACTTGTACGTCTGAAAATCTATGAAATCCTTTTCAGGAATGTCCAAAACGATCTTCGCATCACAGGACAGCAGAAACCAATGAACCAATTTCTCGAAAGTTATTTGATCAACGCACTGGCTCAACGGAAGCTGGTCGGCTTGCGTCAAAAGCGGCAATAAAAACTCGCTCTACGAAGAAAAAAACAGTATAAAATAAAGTTGAAAGATGAAAAGAATTCGGAACGAGAATGAATATCGAAAAATAATGTCGACCTGCCGAACGGAAGGTTCCCTTCCTAGTTTTACAAGCAGCCCGAAGTACTCTGAAACCAAAGTTACTGCTTTCGGGGGCAGACGGTCAGGTGATTGTCCACGCAACACGGGCTGGTCCAGGGCGGCATTCAAAACGTCTGACCAACAAATCCTCACAAAGATTGATCCCAAAAATGCGTGACAGTCAGGCATGTACGATTCCGACAACTGCAGAAAAAAGTTACTAAATCGTATTCCATTGATATCAAACAAAATATCTCACCTTTGTCATTAGCTCCACGTCTCGACAACCCGGCCAAAACGATCTCCATGGCAGAGTAGACAAGCGCGAATGCACAACGGAGAACACATGAGGTTTGGTGTACGTATTTGCGAAGGTTTGTACGTACCATTCCCACAAGATGGATAAGGCACTATGCGAAGCTGTAGAAAAAACAAAAAGTCGTACCCCGGACCAAGTGAATTATCAAAATTTAGCTGAGAATCCTGATAAAAATTACATCATCAAAATTGTTGGGCGAGATTTCACCGTGTCCGAAAGGTCAAAATTCAGTAATCTAAAATGAATGAACTGTGTCTATCCTTTTATAAATATTGTCCTGTATTAATGTCCAGTAATGGATGTATGACCTCCGCAAAAAAAGTTTAGACTCCTGTCCCTGACATAAAGCATAATACGGAGTCATCTCAGTTGAATCTGTTTCTAGATTTCCGTGTAGTACACACGCCCATCATTCACTACAGAAGCATGAAAAAGTCGGTCAAGTTTCAATCGAAATCCCAATAAATACGATAATGATGACCAATTTTTGCACATTTTCACTATCAGACGACCTTTGAAATCGTTCATAAATTGTTCACCGAAAATGTCAATGTCCTTCTGCGCGCGTTTCACGTAGCAGAGAAGCTGCTTCTCACAAAACAGTACAATAACCATTTAGTCATCACACGTGAGGATAAATTCGCGAAAAATTAACTCTAAACCAAGCAATTAAAATTCCAAACCATCACTAAAGCAGCCAACATTATTTCTTCCACGGAAGCGGTCAATTATGTTCGAATGAGACTACGAAGCTGAAATCTAAAACTCAGAAAAATCGAGAAAAGCAATCCAAAACTTACCTGGAACAGTTTCATGAAGCAATGCCACTGCAGAGACGAATGCAGCCAACATGTGATCAGCCAGCTGAGCGTCCGCAGGAACCCATGGAAGCGATGGAACATCAGGAGCCGAAGCCGTGTCTTGAGGTAAATACGGAAGCGTTGCCGGGCAAATCCAATATCGGAACAGTCCGATTATCTCTTGCCACATTGACTTCAGCACTATTTAAAAAAAAATCGAATGAGCCGAAATCCGCATAATTCATTTCAATTTTCGTCAGTTATTGTCGCAGAAGGCACACGACTTACGAGGGCCTGAGAGAGAACCAGCATCGGCATGCAAGCTTGAAATTATGAAAGCATTCGCCAACAATCCGAACAGACATGCCAATGGCTTCACGTATTTCCTGTAAGAAGCGTACAGGCCATACGTGCTCATTCCACCGGTTCTATCTTCTTCCATTTGTCTGCCGAGGTAGTGAATGGTTTCTGCAGACGTGCATCCAGTGATCAATTAATTTCCATCATCAAATACTTAATGTGCTGGAATTAAATATACTCGCTTCGGGTCTAGACCCGACAAACTTCGGAATATATTACTGCGTCTCGATTTTAAAAGTTCGCAAAAATCAGACTCTTCATTTTGACATTTTGGAAAATATTCCCCATATTTTCAATATACTGTAGTATTTTCAAAAAAAAAAAGGTGGGTGTTCTGGAAAGTTACGTCGGAAAGGGAAATAAAGCTATCTTCGCGTAACTCTCACCTTACGCGAAACGTACGTGTAAGTGCGTTCATTTCAGAATATGAGATATGTTGAATTTAAGACGCATGCTTTTCAATCATTTAGATTATTTTTTCACACTTCGGGCCAAAAAGTACATATCATGGACTAGATCAAAAGAAAGGAATCATCACCTGAAATCATGCATAGGCTCAACCCGCTTTGCTGCTGCGCGAAATTCCTCCAAACCGGCCCCCAGGCGTCGATAGAAGCGTCCATCCCCCCATTCGGTCCGTGTACTTGACTAGCTCCGAGAATAGCGGCAAGAAATTCAAACCACATTCCAATCGGCGCTTCAAACGATCTTGAAGCTTGCAATAATTTCTCCAGGCCGCATCGGAACCCGCAAGGAAAATTCCAGGCAATGCAGTGACGGAAATGCCTACGGACGAGTGCATAAGCGGGGTCTCTTTTGGAGTCTTCCGCGGGTTCCTCGCTGAGACACGACATCTGCGCTTCCATCAACCTCTCGACGTATTCGAGGGCGGGGTTCACCCGCGGCAACCATGTCTTCAGATCACACTTGAACAGAATACAAGGTTTTTCTTCGACGTAGAAAATTTGTAAATCATTTCAATGCACACAAGAATATGTAAGAATATTTTTATGCCATATACAGTACATCAACTTACCTTTGAGAGCAAAACAAATGGGAGGTCGGGACTGTCATCAAATCGGAATGACTCCAGCAAAACTCGTTTATAAACGGGAACGAATATTTCTGGCTGTGCAGATGCAACCATGGACCAATGCGGTGCCAGGAGGCCGAGCAAAGTAGGCTTCAAAAGAAGTTTATCCAACAACCGTCGACATTCTTCCACCCGGTTGCACACGAACGTCTACAAAAATAAAATGAATACATAAATGATTAGGCGCATTCCTGAAAATATCACCATAAAAGGTTAGACGAAGCACATAGTTACAATATTAATTCACCAGAAATACTCTTTGAGCGAAATATCGATTCAAGTCTTTGATTTCAACTTCGAATTTGCTCATCAGACTTCAAGATAATCTCAAGCATAGGAAGCTAGGAGGAGATGACAAAAACGACGAGGTGAGACCGAAGCTCTGAATCTATCAATCAATTAATGGGGTCCAAAGAAGTGAAAAATTAGTGGTTAATTCGACGAATGGTACATTCGACGTCTGTTATACAAAGTATTTCGGAAGAGGAATCCTCGAAAAAGAAGAGAGCGTACATTCCATTCCAAGCTGCAATTCTACCAATAATATTAATTAATACGTATGAAGTATTATTGGCTTCATCTGACGGGAAAAGACTTTCTCGCGTTTCTCGTTGTCGCAAACCCGAGCCATCTACAATGTAAACAAAAATGCCTTTTTGAATGCGAAATTATTTCAAATCACGTTGTAAATTTGAAAACAAGCTACATCAAATTTACGCTCTTATAACTGTACTTAAACATCCTCACCTGTCCAAGTTTCTCAACCAAGCTGCTGAAAAGTTGCCGGGTCGGTGGAAATCCTTCCAAATCAGGATTAATGCCGTCGATCAAACAGTAGAAGACAGTCAGTCCGGATCGCGCGAAATGATCGTCTCCCCAAGGATTCTCGCGTGCGTCGCACAAGGACCTATACGGGGAATGATTCGTGACGCTAAAATTTGTTCGAAAAATGCTAAATAAACGCCCTATGTACTCGAATAATCTGATTATTGCCATGATATAGGTGTCACCTGAAGTTTTTTCATATTCAGCGTACAAGGCAAGCTAAATTAGTTTCGGTAAATTCAAGTCTAAAAGCTAAGCTTCGAATGGATTATTTTTTCATAAATTATACCGATTTTAGCAACATGGCAGCTGCCCATCGATTCATGAATAAATATAGGCTTATGAATCAATGATGAGATCCACTACTAAATCTTCAATTAATTGAAAATTAACGCTCCGTTGAGTAAAATTATATTGAATAAATTCGCACAAGTTCCAATTGAAAATTTATAAAATAAAAATAAATAAAACTTACGATACGATTTCGGAAAGAATAAAACCAGCTTGTAAAGCCTCTTCTGGTGGTTGTTCCAACGCTTGTCGAATCATAATTTCCCAGTCTTTCCGGTTTTGACTGATTTGATATCCAATAGCTTCGTTCATCACACTCTCAACGTACTGCTCGGGTTGAAAAAAAAAAAACCTTTTGAATGAAACGAGAGAATGACGATATTTGATGAATAATTTCACCTTCATGACCATTTGAACAGGCCCACGACACGGAGGTTGTGATGAACCTTGGGATGGTCTGAGCTTCACAGCACTAGCGATTCCACGCAAGCTGCTGCCTACGCCGCCTTGTGGAACTATTCCTGGAGGTATTTTGTCGCGGCAAGTTGCAACAACGGTGGCTGATTTTTCTACTGGGTTGTAGAGTTTTGGGAGGAGATCTTCGATGAAATTGGCATCTAACCCGATGTGTTCGGCGCATCTCTTCGCGTGAAATCTGTTGGAGCACAAAAATTAAATGCTTAAAAATGAACTTATTTGCTTTGAAAACAAATTCGAGAACTTCAAATTAATATTTTTCAAAACATTATTATACAAGCATAGGGTGTTCAAGAAGTTTTCCGAGCTCAGAAAATTCTCCTACTCACAATAAAATTTTTTACTCGGTTCTCAACGACTGAGCTTTTTTTTTAGGGGCAGGTAGAAATCTAAATAACATTACAACTCGTCCTTCGAAATTCAATGAGCTAAATCCCGTTAAACCGAAGCATTTGGACTTCAAAAAAGCTCGTTTATGAATAAAAATTTGTTAAACCAAAATTAAAGTAACATTGTGGCTATTGAACAGGGAAAAATCATTTTAAAGAATTAATTCGTTATAATGATATTCTAATTTACTTCTAGGTTCTTTGCATGACAGTATGATCATTGCATAAGAAAGAATAAATTCTGCAATGGTTTTCAGTGGAATTTTCGAATCATCAGAACTTCAGGTTCCTGCTTACAGCAAGTTTTCTCGAACACTTGAGAATGTTCATCAAGATTTTAAACATATTGAACATGCCTTCATTCATACCGAGGAATAACTGTTCGGACAACTTACTTACTTTCGCGTAAAGGAAAACATTTTACAGAAGCGGAAGAAATACAAGATCCTTAGACTAATGAAAATTCCGTTCAGAATTCCAAGAAAGTAACCACTCACTCAGCCTGTTCATTCAAAATACGAATGCGCGGCTCGATCACAGCAGCGACAGAAGCAGGCGAAGCCAGCAGCCCCGGTGAGAACCCAGTAATGAACCCTACTCTTTGTTCATACCCACCCGCTTCCGCTATTTTTGCGAGATTCACCGAATGCGTAAAAATTGAACCAATGTCACGCAATCGCGTGATTATTCGAGAGGCGGGATCGAGATCGCTAAAGCTTCCTTCCGAAGAAAGCGAAGATTTTTGCTGTTGGGCCGGAGAGTGGTTGACGATCTGCTTCTTGCTCCTGGAAGACCTTTTTCCGCTCATCATCACAGTCCAATCGTTGGTTTCTTTATTGAGGAGCCACTCGAACTGCTCTAAATCTAGACAGCAATACCAAGGGGTCTGCAAAAAAAATTAATTATTTCACCTCGAAAAACCTTGCGTAAATAGTGGTAAAATCTTACGCGATCCCCAGAAAACAAGGCTTCTAATTTGTCACGTAAAAACCTCGGGGGTAAAGCGTCGAGGTAGACGTGCATATCGTGAAGCATTTTTTCCTCAAGCCACAGCCCAGATGCATCCAACACACTGTGGTAAAAAGGAAAATTACTGTTTTGGAGCAATATAATTAGGCGTTTCACTCAACCACCGAATGAAGAAAAAATTATCCTAAAAGCAAGACCTTAAAAAAATTCATTAAAAAACGAGTTCTTCTGAATTCAACGCCTCGCATTTACCCGCCTGCCGCTTCAAAAAAAGGTCCAGAATTTTATTGAAGAAGGAGAAAAAATATTTCAAGGAAAAAAAACATGGAACTTACGAAGACACATTTTTCCAGTACTTCAAGTCCTTGAACACGACGGCGTCGAGGGTTTCATCGTGATAACAAGAATCCCCCAAAGCCTTATTATCTGCCACAGCCTTCGCGTCGTTCAATTTTCGCTTCAAATTTTTCAAGATAGAAAAATTTACATGATCCTCGAAAAACTTGAACCCTACACTCGCATGCTCGATCCCTCTGAAATGTTGAGCAAGGAAAATGTTATACAGTACTCCGAAAACGATGCATCGGAAAGAAGAAGAAAAAAACTCACCGAAACTTCAAGGCGTCTGTTATTCGGTAGAAATATTTGGAAGAAAATTCTTGCATTAAAAAAGGCAACGTTGGACAGACAGCGTCCGGTAATGATCCACAACATGCAATTGCTTGCTGAGCCCATCGATAAATCGACACCGACTGCAGGTTTTGCGGACGGAATTTTTCAGAAGGATTCGACGCTACTTGATGAGTCCGCTGAAATTAACGGATACACACTCATGAACAATAGGATTCAGCTACAGCATTAGAAAATTTCGGCCGAAAATGACCACACCATGAATTTGATTTTATGGAGGTATATACGAGACTACATATAAACTCATGTCCACGATATCATGAAAAAATGCGGACCGATTCCAATCATCCAGCTTCAATGGGGTTCCTGTTTACTTCTTCGCCGGAAGATTTCCGACTCTATATTTACTCGTGCACCACACGTCCCCTGAGTTTTTAGATCACTTTTGAAAATTACACTGAAAACACATTTACGGCATTTTGTACACGTAATGACGTGCCGCCCCCTTTCTCACGCTAAACTTCAGGGAAAAAGATGCGCATAATACAATATTTATTACAAAAAGCGAAGAAATATGCAACTTGAATTGTGAAAGACAAACCAACCTTGAAGGCAACATCAACACTAATGCCTGGGTCAGCAACCATCTCCAGGCATAATGCTTTAAAAAATCCAGAGTCTTCTTCCTCTAACCGCACACACGCTCTCATTGCAGTCAGAGCATACCAGGGATACTCAGGCAAAGGCCACTTAGGCATCAACGGCGGGCAAGATGCTCCGGAAGAACGAACCCACTGAAGAAGTTGAATTCCTCTCCCGGATTTAGCGACAGGGGCTTCCTGCGTAGACAGAGTTTATAAAATTTAAAATATAAACTTACAAAGTAAATCCGGAAATGATGCAAAAGACACTCGAAGGGTTAGAACCACGAACAAGAAAAAGCGCATTTGCACAAATGAACAGGTGCCATAATTGTAACTTGACTTTCTCATAAAAGCTCGATTTTCAACCAATTCTTTTTTTTTCCTATTAAAATCATACTAAATTTCTACCACAGTTCTTCTGATATTTTACTTTACAACGTTCTCTTCTGAAGTGAACCCCGTTTCAAGAAGAAAATTTCGCAACAAAACGGCAGACTAGAAAAATAAACGTTCACAAGCTCACCTTCTGCAAATGCATAATTTTACCGCATAAAACTTCCCAGGTTTTCCAAGCAGCATCACAAAAGATGGCACCTTCACAGAGGGCATCTAAAAGACGCAAAACTGAGCTATTGGTCCACCAACTTTCACAGGACGACGTCAGTATTTCGAACCAAGTGAGGACGGCACCAGTTGGTCCATTTCCGGGATCATTTTCTCTAAAAATTAAGCAGCACTTCGAAAACTATTCATAATGTAGGCAAAGAATGGTTTCAAAAAATAATATTCGTGCAATGTTAAAGATTGTAAAGCTCAGAAAAACTAGGAAATTTCGAAAACGTGACAGACCTATCAATACTGATTCGGCGACGGATGGTAGCCAAGAGCATGGACAATATTGGCCCAGGTGGAACATTTACGATCAAGCCTTTGGCGAGATTCAAATAGTGGGAGTCCGAAAATAGTAACCCACTGATCGATGAAGACAATCTGAAAGACAACCACATTTCGATCAATATGAATCACACTCCTCACAGTAAAACTAAACGTCGATTTTTTCGATTTCTCAAGAACGGGACTTACGCACTGCAGTGACGCAGTTCCCCAGGACATGAGTAAAACAGAGGTAAAACTGCGTCTAAAATGAAAACTAGGGTCTTCTTCGCTGATAAACCCATTCCAGCTCCCGCCAGACACGTGAGGAAATTGAATCCCCTGGAAATTAACAACGGCACCGAGTGGCCAACGTCAGTAGCAAGGAGAGCAACGCAATGGGCCATCGGCTCGTTCGCTTCGCATCCATTTTTGACGGAGAGCAACCAATCTTCACAACTGCAACCTTCCAGCTCTGGGACTTTATGGAAACGATGGTGATCTCCATCAAGAATTGCTGCCACCTGCTCAAACAAATTTGCATGGTAAGAAGGAGCGTATGCTTTAAATACAAAAATCAAATATCCGTGAAATATTCTCACCGATTCCTGAGGGACGTGCATAATGTGCAATTTAAGAGAACGAAGCGTTTCCCACGCCCAAGAATCGAAACGCGGTCCGGAATACGAAGCATGTCGCATATGGCAGGCCACCAGTGCAGAGGCAATTTTCCTATGCACTTCTCGATCAAGGAATAAGAGGTTGCTCGTCCTATCAACACCGTAATTCAGCCGAGAAATGATCAGTCTAGCACACTGGCTATCCCACGATTCGGTACCGCTGTTCGTCACGCATTGTGCCAATAAATGCACATCTTCGTCGTCGGGCTTCCAAAGATCCCAAGGTAAGTCTCGTACGAGGTACAGACTCAACTGTACACGAGAACAAGCCATTGAAAAATAATTCGGTGCATTTCGTACGTGACCGATCAGACTTTCATAGATGGAAATAGCATGTGGCGAAGTAAATTATCCCCTCGCAGTCATCGTAGATTTGAACAGAACAGAAAAATTTGGAACATACAGTTTCGTTCTTTAAAGAATAAAGACTGAAAATAACAGGTAACGCGCTCTGGAATTCTGATTGTACTGCAGGAGGACCTGAGCAGATTCATGAATCCCTGTTTAAAAAGCATATCTTCATCCAACTTATGCAGAGTTTCTCAACAGCTTTATGGATTAGCTGAAGTCGATATTTGCAGTCAAATAAAGATTACTATTTGTTTCAGCTTCTTCGCTTAATGAAAAAAAAAGAGTGCATCCTATTCCATCCAGAAGAGGAAATGAATTTTCAGATAATTTTTGAGGATGGAAAATATTCACGAGGAAGGATGCATGCACTTCTTGGGTAATCTCAGTCACAACAACCACGAAAAAAAAAGCTACTCAAGTCTAAGAATTACATTCCATGAATGGCTGCTAGCTAGTTTCAAGAACCATTCGATGTACTGTATATCATTTGTCGCTTATTTTCTTCACAAATATTTAAATTGCTGTGGTGCATGTGCATACACCTGCTGAAGGTACCCGATGACCCAAGGAACAGTTTTAGAAAAGTGCAGTACTGCAAAGAAAGGACACTAAAGCAAAGGATCCTAACAAAAAATTGGATGCATGCGAATTTTTCCTCCAGAAGTTCTTCATGATACTCGACTGTTTTTAATCGTTCATCATTTTTTACAAATAGAAAAATCCCCACCGGATTTCTACCGCTCACGTAAATGTTAATAGTGAAATTTCTGAAAAATCTCTTGATAAATTTTCATGTACAGTAATTGAAATAAGCGTGTTTGATTTTATTGATCATAACTGTTCAATTCGGGCAATGTTGGTCGTGCATTAAAATAAAAACAGCGCATATGGATCAAGTTTCAGAACGGCGAAGAAACATATTAGTCATAGAAAAAGGTTCAACAAAATTTTGGATGCAAACCTCATCGAAGGAAGATATATTTCGGATCAGCTCGCGTAGAATGATTGACATCGCCATCGGATGATGCGTGGATAAAGAAGACAGCAGATCTCGACAGGGTTTCGACTGCTTCACTTGATGCTCAGCGTCAAGAAAGCCAACCTCAACACAAATTTTGAAGTTGAAAAAACGGTTTTTCAAAAGAAATGCGTCAGAGTTTCTCACTTTTAGTACATCTAATATCACAGAGGAGAGAAAGTTCTTTTCACCGCCACACTTGCTCGGTCGCGATGCTGCCATTTTCACAATCGCTGCCATAATGTAGAAAGAATCTGATTCTGAGAGGATCCCGAGAATTTCGTCAAGCCCTTGAAGCTCTAGGCCGTTTTCTGTCACAAAGGAAAGTGGATAAAACTTCAAAAATGCGTTCAATTCCTTGCACGAGTAGAAAAACAGTAAATTACCATTTTTCTTTCTATCTTCATCAGCAGCTTCAAGAAAATGTGAAGGAGACGTTACACACAGCGCGACTTTCTTCAACTGATGCAATTCTATCAGAGAAACGTTCTTGTAGTTGAGCTGCGACAAAAACTGCCAACCTCCGCAAATTTTTGCAGAACGGATGGCCATGAAGACTCGCTCAAAAAAGGCGTCGTATTCCCCTTGCAAAGTATGGAATTCTGGCAGGTCTTGCTTTTGAAGAACTTCGAAGTAATCATTCATAAACTGGGCCAGATGTGACAGAAATCGACAGAGTAGTTTCCCTAAATTGCGGTACTTCAAGTCGGTATAAGTCGACATTCCCGAGCGAAGTATTTCACAAATACGGGTCGTGACGGCGATGGACTTCATGAAATTATCACTGTCTGATGGCAACACAACAGCTTTTCCAGCTTCTTCATTCCCGATAACTCCCAGAAGCTGTCGAATCAAATCGTAAAAAGGAATTCTCGCGATAAACGCGAGTAAATCTGATTCCAAAAATTCCACTGGATCTCTGTCGGCGGATTCTTCGTCTTCGTCGTCCAACAATGTCCAGTTATCGTCTAATTCATCACCCGAAGTATCCACGGAGAGGGCGGCTAGGAACGTTTTTCGTGCACGCACAGGTCCATTTAAAATCGTCGACAACATAACAATTGCATGATCAACCGCCGGAGTGACGACACAATTGGGATCAATCGGCACGATCGGTGGGCAAATGATGAATCTTGCTGTCCATTTTCCGGTTCCAGCTGGACATCGAAGACCATGATTCAACAGAAAAAGGTAATCGGATTTGTCCGCAAATTTCAAGAAAACACTGACGATACGATCCAGCCAGCATTTTACGTCGTTCACAAATACATCATCCTTGTGCTTCAATCGTATGAATGAGAAAAGCACAGAAATGGAAGACCTCACTGCGTTCATATCATTCATACTACTAGCAGGACAGGATGGTGAGGAATTGGAGTCAGGCATTTGCTTGAGGTCACTTGCATCATTCAGTGAAAGGCTTTCAATCTGGAAGGAAATTCGACATTTGGTAATTGAAGAGACGGCAAACGTTGTACCTTTAAAATCCCAGATGCTCGACAACTTGCCTCGATAAAATTTTTTTTCACTTACGAAATCTGACCATTACTTCGGATACACAGGACTGAGGAGCAATCTGAATTATAAATAACAAAAATATCCGACCTAATCTAACCTAACCACAAACGCCCAAAGCTCAACAAATCGAAGTCCATCTCGAACAGAATAGAACGCTTCTAAAACCGCTGTGAACGCCATTGTCGCTTCTTTTAGTCCCTCAGTGTTTTAACCTTACAAGGTCTCTTTTACCTTTTAAGTCATTTATAAATCACATTTACGCTACGAAATGTTTGCCCAACTGTGAAATGAGCCACAGAAAAAGACGATATAAAAGAAATATGATAAATATGGGTCGAAAAAAAAGAAATAACAAGGATGCGTCAATAGTTATTTTACTTTTCTGCTAGATGCAACCCTAGGAAGAAAAAGCCTTCGAAAAATGTTTACGCAATTCGCCCGTCAGCAGAATATTTTATGAAAGCCAAGTATTGTACCATGAAAATGTGAAGAAAAATTCAAGAAAAGGAAACGTATGCGGAAACTTTAGCGATACTCACAATTCTTTCCAAGTGTGCTTCAATCCTGAGCCGCGCAACTAACGCCAAGTGCAGATACAGCGAGTGATTTTCATAAAGACATGTTCTCAACTTGCGCAGGACTGCGGATAGGTGCAATTTTCCTTTATCGTGATCAAATGTTGCAACGGTAAATTCTCGAACGCCGTAAACTTTCGCCCCATCGATACACTCATCCTCGATGACCGAGCGGGCTCGTTCTACGGACCACGCTTGCGTTTCAAACTTCTTGGAATCTTCTTTCAAAATTTTTGCTCGTGCTACTGCTGCGATCAACCGCGAACGGCTTGTCAGATAAGCTGAAACGAGTTCGAACAAGGGTTCACGATCCACTCGGGCTTGGCTGGCTACAAATGAAGACACAAAAAAGTCGTTTCGTTCCAACTGGATATTCTGATGAAGCGCCAGTAATTCTGGCAATGGCAGAGGTGTGGTACTCCTTTCTGTCGGAGCGGATTCCTCTGCACTACCATCGTAAACAACGCTCAAGGTGACAACATCGGCAACATCTTCAATGCAGTTTGATGATATTGGATCCAACGCAATTGCTTCAAGGCCGTTCGCATAGTTCTGTTCGTATCCATCGTCGACTGATATTTCTTCCTCGCGCACAACTTCAACGGACGTTTCGTGGGTGTCATTTGAAGAAACACATTTTTCCCGACAGTCTGCGGTTCTTCCCGAAGAAGCTTCCTCTTTATTCAGAATAAAATTTTGCTTTATAGTGTCCTCGTTGTCTCGAGATACGTCCGGTTCGAGGTCATCGAATATATCGTCGGGAAGTGCAAATTCTGATCCCGAGGAGGACTGCACTTGAGGTACTTCGGAATGCGCAGCTATTGCTGACGTAGCTTTCACACTTTCTTCAGTTCTCTGAAATCGATACATGTGAATTGGTTGTTGAGTACAAGAATATGAACTTCTCACCTCTTTCCCCTTTCTCTTACGCTTGTTCTTCTTCACATTTCGCACCATTTCCGCCATGGCCAAACGCGCGAAATACGGTACTATATTCTTCACATACTTTTCATCAAGTGTTTCTCTGAAAAAATTGGGGAGGAATACAGCTAGCTTGAAAAATCTCGCAGAAAAAATTCTCGCCAAAGCAAAAAATCCGCAGCAGGAAAATTCCGCAGGCATAGATTATATAAATTTATAAAATATTAAATTCGAGAAATTGCAAAAATAATTCACAAAAGAGAACATATTAATTTATAACCTAATCTAAAAGGAAGTTCACACAGCGAATCTCATTTTCGAAGTCTTGAAACATTAACCCATTTTTTTCACATCGATATCAAGTAATGAAAATTGAATTTCAAAAATGTTGTACGACGTGGTATACCCTTCCTACAATTTATAATCGGTCGAACAACAAAATCCCATCATACAGTTTATATCCGAATACCTGCTACATTGCCATAGCTGCGGATTTTTTGTATCAGTGGAATTTCCTCCAGCACCCTCTTTCGTACACCCCATTTACTGAAGCATTAAATGTGCACGTCTGGCGACGTAAAAAACTGGTTTATTAAAATAATACCAGGCGAAGTTAAAAATCAGGGAAAGAAGAAAATGTTGCTGATCGCGTTGACGAACATGGCATTCTGCACAACCTACCCAGTTGGAACCCCGAAATTAATTCGGAAAATCACTAGCAAGGCTCAGTCCGGAGAAGTTGAAACCCCCGAGGCAATCCGCTTGTTACATAGCATAAGAATGGCAGCAACGCTTTTGATCGGCCACCCAGGAAAAGCTTTGCAGAACGTCAATCGCAAACTTGTTCACATATTCTGGTCTGCCCATTCTTTCAGACACGTGAAGCAATCTGTAGCTTGCTTGGAATTTGCTTTGATCTCGTCTTTCAACCACATCTGGAAAAGATCTTCATCCTTCTTGAAAACTAAGAACTGTCCGAACAAAACATAGGCTTTGTCATAGCCTTTGGCGACTAGGCGATCTCCGAGCACTTCGCCGATACCAGCGACTGCGGTAACTGGTTTGTCACCCATGGGTTCAGTAACGAAATTACGAAGCTTCTGTGAAGTACTCATCTTCGGAACAGACCGATTTCCAGCAAGCCTGAAATTTGGGGAAAAATCGATAACTTGAACGCATTTCTCGGCAAACGATCATTTGCAAGTTTAGTAAAATAAAATAAAAACACACACAAAATGTAAAAATAAAATACCAGAAGCCGGACATCTTTATTGAAAAAAAAACAACTAAAATGCAATCTGCTCGATTCCAAGTGATCCACAAGAAATTAGAAGCATGAATCTCGCTTCTATTCGTACACTGAACATTTCTCAGCACCTGAAAACGAAGCACGGTCATCGATAGTCACGCACAGGACACATTCTCGACGGATTCGTCCGTTCTATGGCGTTTCTGGCGTACTCTTCATTGATGCACAGCACTGCAACAAGGTAACCTTTTCGTATCTGTAACAATGCTTCGCTCATGACCATCCCGAAGTACCAGACCAGCTGCTGATCTGTTTAGCAAATATTGAGGGACGCCATATTCATAGTGACTGAGAACAGAACACAGGACAGTATTGCTCAGCAGTGCCTTTCATTGAAAGTTTAACCATGCAAGTACTGTTTTGTTACTGTACAATAAATACAGTACCGTACTGTAATGTGAATCTACTGCCAATGAGTGGATGATGTGCTCCAGAACTCCCGAGAGACCAAAAGTCTGTGGACTGAAACGTATGAAGCTCTGCAGAATGGTTATATACATTATAGAAAATGTTAAAATGTATTTGATGAATTCTTGAATACAGTAAAATCTCGTTACAACAAATACCGTTACAACAAATTTTTCGATACAACAAACTTTTTTTCAAGTCCCGGCAGAAAGCCTATAGACTACATGTTAAAAAAATCTCGTTATAGAAAAGTTTCTTTGACTTATCGCCACTGGAGATAGGCTTCACTCATTGTTCATTGATCAATTTTTAATTACTGGAAAATCAAGATATATATTCTTTCGACGTGTGAATCGATCACCCTGAGAAAAATGTGCCAACCTGCGACTCATTTCGGCTAATTTTAAATTACAAAAAATTGCGTACAGTGGCGACGTTTCCATCGGGAGATTTGCTAAATTTTCCCTTTTATCACTCAATTATAAGTGATTTATCCTAAAAATTGACTATAGTACTTCCATGTGTTCATGGACAAAAAGGAAAAGAATTTGAAGTGCGGGAAACCGACACAAAATGTTTGTATTTTTGGGCAGATTCCGTTCATTGAACAATTAAACGCTGACATGTGCAAATTTACTCGAGCTTTCCGCCAAAAAATGAACATATTTTTCCTCTGATTATAATTTTCAATGCACAGGATCCCAAGCAAGGATTCCATCAAGGTTTTAATTACCCGTTCAGAAGAAATTTACCACAGGAATAGCGGAAACATATAAAAAATAAATACTGACACGAGCCGACTTTATTTGGGCCAATAATTCCGAGTCACAACAAAACTCGCACGTGGGGCAAATTTTTTCCACTCACTAGGTCGCCTGCACACGTGATAGCTCTTTTGCGAAAAAAAAATGACGAGAAATAAATTTAAAATAATGTATCGAATAACATGACACTGCCGTTAAAAGCATTCAAAATATTAAACATTCAAATTGTTTTCTGTCGAGTTTTTTTTTTTTAGCAGCAAAGCAAGATATTTTACCTCTATTTTGATCATTAGGCTTTTTCAATTTTCATTTACGAGCTTGATAATTTTAATAGACTTGCTTGGAAAGCTAATAAGCACGTCTTACACCTACATTAAAATTCTGGGTATTAATGAATCGCTGATCATTCTGATCTCTTAGATGCGTAGAATTTTCGGTTGCCAGGCACTCGTCGAAAGTTGCACGGCATAACTTCGAAAAAGTTCCAAAAGAATCATTTTTTCCGTTTCTTGCTCACATTCATACTGACTCATCCATGAAAATCACTATTATGCCCTCCGAAATTTAGTCAAATTTCAATACAAAATTGCAGGTCATATATGAAGTAACTTGATTTTCCCACGCTCAAAACAATCAACCCATTGCTGCTGAAGGGATTTTGGCATCCGATTTGCAGATTTCGCAACTAAATTGTTTCCTGAAGCAATGCTAGATAAATCTTGAAACAATGTTTCGATTTTGGCAGAAAAAAATAAGTTCTGGAATATAAATTACAAAATATAGATTAACGCGTTGGTTCTCCGTCGAGTTATGTACGAGTTCTGAAAGTTGGCCAAGTATATGAGATTGAAAGCGAAGAAAATTTTGTTGAATCAAATCTTCGAATTAGGCAAGGTCTGACGCGTTGAGAAACTAAATTTCCTATTCCTGATCCCGACGATTTCGAAATTGATCGCGATTTCCGCAGTTTTGATTTTGGCCAGCATGGGAACCGGCTTTTTGAAATTATTCGCCGACGCTTTCGATTTTCATTCACGAGAGGTTTCCTGATCTCGAATTCTAAATTTCCGAACTAGATGCGAGCGATTTTCCCGGGATACACTTGGAATATGCTTGGAATATGCTCGGATTATTAGAAGTAGCAGGTGACAAAAAACAATCGTTTTCAATAAATCTATTCCCCATTCGAAAGTTACCGAAAATTATTGTCTGCGTCGAATTTCAATTTAATCAACTACATTCCATTTATTCCACACCCTGCATTTCCCAGGGAAATTTTCGAATCTCTCATCTGTTATGAAATTTCATGTTTCTATATATATACAGTAAAATCTCGTTACAACAAATACCGTTACAACAAATTTTTCGATACAACAAACTTTTTTTCAAGTCCCAGCAGAAAGCCTATAGACTACATGTTAAAAAAATCTCGTTATAACAAACTTGGGAATTCCGTTATAACAAACTTTTTTTTGACACAATTTTTTTGGTTTTTGTGGAAAAATTAGGAAAAATTACTTGAAATTTGTTTGTGTTATTCACCATTGAAGCCTGAATCAAAAGAGGCCTCAATAGAGGCCCAAATGTTTCAAAATCTCCATGGGATCCACCCAGGAGAGATAGTTTTTCCACCCTTCCATGAAACCACTCCCCTGGAACACAGCAAAAATTGCATGTAGAATTGTTTGTACCCTTGGAGGTTAATTCNATCCACCCAGGAGAGATACTTTTTCCACCCTTCCATGAAACCACTCCCCTGGAACACAGCAAAAATTGCATGTAGAATTGTTTGTACCCTTGGAGGTTAATCCAAGCATTCTGTTTCCCATGAACTTGCAGGAAGGACAGTCAAATAAAAAAAAACTTTAATCCAGTAGAATAACTGCCCCAACAGCAATGACTTCCCTGGAATACATTTTTACAAGTTTACAGGATCAAACCATGAACCAAGAAGTCCACAGAATCCATCCAAACATCCAACCTAGGAGCAGTTCCTTACTGTTTTCCAAAGAATAAAAATAAAGATGCACACCTAAAAGATGTAAAAATTTTCATGTCCCATTGTGAAAGAGGTTCCAGTACAACTTTGGACGGTGACTGCTCAACACAAATTTTGTGAACACTAGACTTTTTACAGGGTTACAAAAATCAGTCAAATTTCTCAAACAAAATGTTTGCCTTGCCTCTTTATTGTATACAAATGTGTCAATTTTCTTCTGGAAAATGAACAATCATGAAAAGAAAAAATCCAAGCAAAAAGATGCATCATTTAGCTCAGATTCATGGTTTAACCCTGCAGTCATGGCAAAAATCCTTCCATATTGTTTGTCAAAATGATTTTTGGCAGTTCACACAATGGGGAATGAAAAACTGCAAAAAGAAAATGCCAACAATAAACTCTTAATAAGAAGCTAAGCATTTTTGCTGCAGTTGCTGGCAGCACAAAAAAGAAGGTGGCACATAAAGTTGGAATTATGCCTTCAACTTTGTTAACAATTTTGAAAAATTGGTCAAAAATTAAAGTGTGTGACTTCAGCATGGGACCTCATTGCAATAAGCAAATGTGGACTGCTACTCATGAAAACCTGGACAAGGCTGTTTTTGCATGATTTCAAGAAGTGCCATCTAGCAAAATTCCTATAAATTGACCCTTAATTCAAGAGAATGCCAGGCAGTTGGCACTTTCTTTTGACCACAAATCATCTCTATCTAGTGTTGGGTGGCTTAATTGTTTCTGTGATTGATTTTGAATTTCAGCTAAAGTGATATGTGGGGAAGAGTCAGCAGTTCTCACCACAAAAGTGAATGAGTGGCAGATCATTGAGATTTTAAAAAGTATTGCATCTTACAGCCCTGACAGCATGTTCAATGGAGATGAAACAGACATTTTTTTCTTAATTGTTACCAAATTGCACATTGGCTGTTAGAATATATTCTTTTCATGGTAGCAAAAAATCAAAGCTGAGACTGACAGCCTTCTTTGGTTGCAATGCTTCAGGGATAGATAAGTTGAGTCTACTCAGCATTGGAAAATCAGCAAAACCACCTTGTTTCCAGAATTTATAAGTGTGACTGGACCACTGCAATTTTTGTTGAATTGCTGAAGCAGGTCAACAAGGACATGAAAATTAAAAAAGGAAAATCTTGCTTGCTTGTGACAACTGCTCAGTCCACACTATTCTTCCTTGCCTAGAAAATGTGCAAGTAGAGTATCTGCCACCAAACTGCATTGCAATTCTTCAGCCTCTGGACCTGGGCATAATACCAACTGTGAAAGTTCATTACAGGAAAAATGTTTTATAGAAAATACTTGCAAACATTGCATATGATAAAAATGGATACTGACATTGACATCAAGCAAGCAATTGAAATGATTGCTTGTCTCTGGTCAATTAAATTTTTTCTCATGCTCTGTCTGACATTTCAAGAGATGGAAAATATGATCTACTGAAAAAAGTTGAGGATGCATTGCCAGCAGCAGTGAATAAAAATTATTTTCAAAAGATAATTCAAGTTCTTAAACTGAAAGACAATCCTGATTCCAAATATATGCAGATCTGAGCTGAAAAATTTTTTCCAGTCATTTTTTTCAATAATCTCGTTACAACAAATTATCCGTTATAACAAACTTTTTCTACGGTCCCAAAAAGTTTGTTGTAACGAGATTTTACTGTAATACAATTGGACGATGTTCCTACAACAATCATATCCACAACAATTTTCTGCAGATATGTTTGGTTCAATAGGATTCTCTTCCAATGTTTTACTGTATAGGGCTTCTTTACAACAATATTTTCTCTCCTACAATTTTGTTCCTGGCCCCTTGAATTTCCTCTGATATATAGACCACCTGAGCTGTATACATGTTCAATAAGCATTCGCTAAAAAATAAAATGCCTGGGAAAGGACAAAAATGCTCTCTGGAATCAAAAATATGAAAGCTCTGACCGTAAAGAAAATTAGACTGGCATCCTTGCCCAGTATTTCCAATATACAGCAGGTATAGCAAACCCTTACTTTATCTGATACGGCGAGATTTCCACTCACGGACTCAGCGGGGGCGACTCTCGCTGTTTGTAGTTCATCAAGCTAGCCCCATCTCCATCCTATTGATATACATAATTAGATGATCATTTTCAAATAATGAAGGAAAAGGGGCATTTTTAAAACTGTCGTGGGGCCTACACCGTATACTGGTCTTAGCATCACACGTTTTTAGTTTTCCCTCGAATCTTGCTCAAACACGTCAGTGGCGACGATGTACCATGGACCATCATGATAATGGCTGTATTACGAAGAAAAGGCGACAACAAATAATCTTTCCGGGGTGTAACTCATGGGAATTTATTACTCCCGATCAGATCACATTCACGATATTCGAAGGAATCAATTGTATATAGGTACGGCTAATCCAAGTTCTCGGGTTAACTGTGTTGGCGATACGGTCCCGTGTATCGATTCGCAATTCGGATTAAAAACCGAATAGGCCGATTTTTCCCCAGTCTTCTTTTTAGTTCTCGTATTTCTCCAAATTATATAAAATAAAGAAACGGCAAAAAAGACAGCCCCGAATTCCAGGAGAAGAAAAATGTAATATAACGTAGCCCACAATAAGATTTCGAGGAAAATACGGACGCGACGATACCGCCGATTCACGAATCCATTGTTTTCGATTATGTCCAGATTGTCTTTTTCATTCGGTGGGGTGGAGATCGGCCACGATTCAGATGTCGAGGATTCGTCTTCAGATTCTTCATTGATTTCCTGATCAACGCAAACATGTTTTCCATCATCACGTTTAGTCATGCGAATAACGAACACAATTTTCACTTTCAGTTCACGAGGAAACAGGATGAGCCTTCAAATCATGACGACTCAGATCCGAAGATAGAAATGCGTTTACCCAGAGGTCCAAAAGTCTGCACCCTTTCGAAATTCCTACAATACAGCCATTTCTTTCCCCTGAGCAACTTTTTAAAACTAATACTGTATAGGGGTGTGATGACTGCAGTTCGACGCATATGAACTAAATACAACGAAGACCATTCGAGGTGAAAATACTGTAAAGTGAGAAAGCATTTTACAACTTTCGTTCCTAGTTACAATTTTCCAAAGCTCGTCGTGTCACGAAGATATACGGTATTCAGAACTGGTTGTCATTCCTAAACTCCAGATTAAATAATTTCTAGTCTACAGTGTATCAAGCGATTGCGCGTCTTACATTTGCCATAGCACACTTTTTCAGCTAGACAGGTAGAGGGATTGAAGTGCAGCATATAATATGTGAGGACTTATAGACACTATTTGTAAATACGGTAAATTCTCAAGTTATTTACCACCGGTGTCATGACTTCTGGCTTCCGGATACGACGTCTTAGAGCACCGAATAGCGTCTTTTTTGTCTCTTCTTCGCGCACTTTCTGAAGACGCGTCTCAAGATCATTTAGCTTTTCCATCGCGTTCACGGGACGAAAACTGGGTTCAGCTTTGTCATTTTTCTTAAAATCACGAAAATCGATCTGGGAAGAAGAGAAAATACTGGATATATATTTTTTCAGAACATGTATATATATATCATTGATGCAATTCACCCTGGGATTTCATGGACCACGTACAAATGTATAAAAATCAGAGAATCAGAAAAAATGGGAGCAAAACTATGCTTCGGTATTGTGTTCCTCCAACCACTGCCACAAGTTCTGCGAAACTCGGTACTTCGATTCGGTGCCCAAGTTGCACTTCATCTTTTCAACGAGACCATTCTTCCGAGAAACAATGGCTGAAAAGAAAATTGAAGATGGTCACGAAAAATGCAGCTGAACATTTGAATAATTGATCCAAACCCTCACCAGCAGAAACTTCATCGTCCTTCCGCAGGAACTTGGCTTGCAAAATGGTTGTGTAATTCATGAGCGCCTTACTACGAATGAAGAAAGAAAATGTTGAAACATGAGGAAATAAAATAACATTTTTCCACCACTCACCCTTGAGTTTCGATTTCTGCCAGCAGCATTTGTAAATTTGAATCCTCATCGATTCCCGTTTTCAAAAGTTTCGAGTATTCTGCCAGCCGCTTCTCCAATGCTTTTGTGGCGCTTTCCTAGTAAATAAGTACAGTATTACGAATACTATATACGGTATTGTGGCTCGATGTTGACATAGAACAGCAGCATGCTTTTTTCGGTAACATAAATTGACCCTCGAGTTTAAAAAGACAAAATAACGACAGAAGTTCTATTGGGTTGTTTTTCAATGCCTTCGCCAAGAAAAGACGGGGTAGTCTTCGAGGTATATCGAGCAGCTATGTCTAGACATCGAACGTTTAAATTAGCGAAGGGGAATACTGTATACATATATTGTAAAATAGATAACACAACATTTAAAGCCCATTATACATATGCAATCCATTATACTTTTTTCCGTAGGTTTCCTAAAACAAATCTTTGGGTTGGTAGATGTCCTATCACAAAGTTGATTTTTGCACTCGGCCATCCCACGTTCTCTCTCTGAGCATGGCGTTATAGCGAGTGAGAGAATAGGAGTTTTGGGGGTGATATTCGTAAAATAATCATGATCGTTAATGAAATGTTTTATACTGTATATGCGATTCTTGGCATTTTCAGAAATTGTGACAGTGCATCAATTGAAGCAGAATAAAGAAATCATTTTCCTAATTGCCATTTGCAATGGAGCAAATTTGCACATCATTCGGAATAAAAAAAAAATGAAATAAACGGAGATAGGCGTACCTTGCGCCCTTCTGCAGACTTCATAGCAACGTAAGCTTCCTTTTCAACTTTTTCAGCCTCAGCTGTCGAAGCCAGAAGTTTTTTGAGCTCTTCAGCACCCTGCTCGGTGACTTCCGCGTTCAGATGATCCGATTCTTCCGTCAAATGCTTCCTCCAAGAAGACATCTTCGCGTCGAGTTCGGTTAGCAAAACCGCCGCGGATATTTCTTCATTCGCCATACCAGAAATAAAATACTTTCTCTCGTTTAAAACACTTTCTTCTTGAAAAAGGAGACGAAGAGAAAAACTTTCAACAAATGCAGGGCTGTCATAAAAATATCTTCAAAGATAATAAGTTGAGAGCATATCTTGGTAGTCAAAACCCTAATTATTCCATCAAACAATTTTTCATCAAAATATCACAAGTAAGAGACTGTAATCACAGAGCTTTGAAGTCAAGCCCAAGTTTCTTGCTGAAATCTTCCCGAACTCTCCAATTGCTGAAAATAATCGTCCGCCTCGTCTTCATTCATTTTTCCTTCTTTACGGAAGACCGTTATCAACGCATCGTGAACATCTGTCGGCATCTGCTTCGCATTGCCAGCAAGAAACACGCTCGCTAAGTCAGTGTTTATCAATTCCCACACCGCAGTCGAGTTCTCAACAATCTTGTTTTGCACGTATCTACAGGAACGGAGATAAGAGATGTGTCAGACATAGTGAACTTGCCAACGATATAACTTTTTTTTAACGAACACTTTGACGTTTTGATCGCGTGAGAAGGCCACGAAGCATTGGAGGAACCCTGCATCTTCGAAGGATTTCCATTCGTTTTCGAAGAAATAATCGTTAGCTCTATTGCGACATCCAAAATAAAGAACGAATGGTTTCGGAGGTTTGGTTGAACTGGAAAATAATTCCTGCATAAGAGCTCGGAATGGGGCTACTCCTGTTCCTGGGCCGATCAAGATAGCAGGCTTACCAACTTCCTATTGAAAAAAAATAATCCATGAACAAACTTGAAGGTTCTATGACATTATTACCCAACGACCGAAACTCCACAAATTTTGAATGTCTCTCGAAGGTCTCGCTTGAAATTTCAAAAAACACGCAGGAAATTTTTTTTAGATGAATTCCTGGCGTTTTACTGTCATTTCAGTAAAATATTACATGCATTTTCGACCAAGCCCATGTGAGCTTACAGCATTTTCATTTTCTGATACTTTTCATGGACAAAATGAAATCGATTGTTTTACACTCGCAAAACCAACCACAATTTATAAAATTTTAGGTGGCCTCTGCAAATTTTTTAAATGACAGTCGTAATCAATGTGGTCGTTTTAGAGTTAACGGCTTTCTAGCTAGGTCTAGTTTGATTATAATGTACAAATTCAGGCTATTATGGATTAGATCTGTTTATTTCCAACGAAGTTGGTTATTCAGGCGAAACCTTCCGCACATTTATCAAAAAAAAAAAGTCGAGCGTTAAAAAGGAGCTTTTACAGTATAACACTCACTTGGGGAAAAGAAAAGGTTCCACGCCTGACCCACACCGGAACTTTACATCCAGTCTCCGCCAGCGACAGAAAATTCGAGCAGAGTCCTTTACGAGGAGCATGCATTTTCGTTTTGAACTCTACCACGGCCACGAGAATTTCAAGCTTTGACGAATCGAAGCCGTGTGACGAAGCGATAGAAAACGCCCTCGGTTTGATCGGTGTGAACAGATCGAAAAGATATTCACGAGGCAATGCTTTAGCTGCAGACGGAAAGTCTCGCAATGTCTCCAAGGAGGTTCTCTTTGGTCTGTGACAATAATTCCAGAGATCCTGCTGATTCATCGGATCCAGCAATTCAGCCAATCTTTCACGTTCCATTTCTGACGGTGTCACCTATATCCAGAAAACAAGTCTTGACAGCTTCACGTCCGCACCACAAAAAAAAATATAAGTTCCGCTGAGATATGAATTTTACCCAGACGAATGCGATGTACGAAACTCAGACCGTCAAAATCATACTGTACAGTATTAGATTAATTCTAAAATTGCATTCTTCCTGAAAGTCCCAAAATGAAGGTGACTATTTAACTTCGTCAGAGGGCTTCGCTTTTACGGAGTCCTGGAACCAGCTGGGGGAACCTATACTTATAATATACAGTACTGCAATGTACTTTACCGCACATAAATAAGGTAAAATCTTAGTTAATTTCAGGACGATTGAAACTACTTCGTAGAAAAACGACTAATAAACATATCGCCAACAATCCTACATTCTTACAGCCATACCTTTTAAACCAGAGGATGCGAGTAACAGCACCAGTCACGAACTGGCATTGAACTCACATAATGCACTTTCGTCCCTTGCATGTTCTCAATCCTACATTGCAAATCAGGTTAATCTCAATTTAAAAAAAATTTCCATGTGCAAATATTAAATGAACAGGGCAAACGAAAGTGCTACAATATTTAAAATGATGAGTGAACTTAGAAAACCCTCCATTACTGTACTGCACAGTACAGTATTTGTAATTTTTCATCATTCGCAGGACGGTCCCCGAATAACGAGGGTTCCTTGTGCATACAATTGCACCCGAAATATTTCATTCATCGATTTTTCGAGGCCGTTTCAAGATGAAGTACCAGATTATGCTAAGACGAGTCCTCAGATTTTCCTGTACAGTATATTTTTTATAACAAATAGAAGCAATAGTTCGTTATCAGAATAAACTTGGAATGAAATGGTTACTCTTATCGAAAAAATATATATACATACAGTATATATATATATATATGTGTGTGTGTGTGTGTTTATATATACTGTACATACAGTACATCCGGTATGCAATCTTTCGATGAACCTGTCTTCTAATAAAAATTGGTAGAAAATATAAGTCAACACGATCCGCTTGTATAACTCAACATTCACCAATGTTTTCTTTTTCTTTTTCGAAAAATAAATTCGCGATAACTACAGTACTCTTACTTAATTCTTCTACAAGAAAAAAAAAACATTTTACCTGACGTAGGAGTTCGAAGAAGTACCGACGAGGAAGCGCTCGTAAGTCCCACAATTTTTCAGCGCACTCTCGCACACTTGTGCGAGCGTTGACTATCCAATGGGGTGGAAGACGCGCTTCCATCTCGCGTTCGCACAATTCAATCCCTTCATTTGGATCTAGATCTAAAAGCTCGCAAAGAGTTTCGACATCTTCTGTGAAGTTGGACGGCTGCACATACAAAACGTCTCCGGGGTTCCAACCAACATCACCGAAGGAACTTATGTCGAAAGTTATCAGCCGAACGTCTTGCCAATGATTGGCCGACGTGACCCTCGTGTTCTTCAATACCGGGGCAAACAAAGGGACCCATTCATCGTCTTTGGTAGCTTCGTACGACTTTTGATGTTTTCCGAAAGTGGTGATGTACTTCGAGGGCAGGAGAACATCATCTGAAATCGGGGGACCCGGCGAACTTTTTTCCACCAAGTTCCTTAGTTCGGAGAAAAGCGTTTCTGTCCAAGGACCAGCAACACCCTCACTCCCCAATTCATGTTGATCATCTGCTAGTCCTGGATCACACAGAGGCCTGGAAACGATAAAAAGATACATTCAGATCACCGTAAACATTTCTGCGAAGGGGTATAGTTCAACATTAGGCATCCACATGGAATATTTCACCCACCGGCATTTCTCTGGAAATGAGATTTAAGAAAAAAAAACAAGCAACTAGGATAATTCTCAATATTGTGTACAGTAACTGGAAGATGGAAAAATCTTTCGTAATTATTCAAACCTGAAAAAAAACAATACGGCAACTACGAAGCTGAGAATCTAAACTTTCCTCTAACGATAAAATTAGTTTCTCAGTTCAGAGAAATAAAATTTCCGGAAGTCAACTGCTCCATTCATTCAGAAAAATCAATGAGAATAATTTCACTGTAATAACGATATTTGGGAGCTTTTTTTTTTTTAACAGAGAAGGCATTTAACAGGCCAACAGCTGGAGTATACCTACAACTGTATATGGTGCATAGCGATACTCCGAATGCATAATTCAACTTGTCCCGACGGACCTGATTTTGCTGAAGAAGCTCCTATAAAACGAAATAATTCCTACAACGAATGATTCTGTCGCCCCTAAATGTAATTTTGGATGGAGTCCACATGTAATTCCCTAAATGTCTTCATAATTTTTAGGAGACACAGTACCTTGCACCCAGTTGACTAAGTCGACGATGCATACGCTTGGCAACGAAATTGAACTTCGGATACGTGGAGTCTCCTAATCCAAGAACCCCGAAAACAATGTGATTCAAAAGATCTCCGGGAAGGGATCGCTTCAGCAACAATTTCCAGAAAGTCCTCATGTTATCCGGTTCTTCTCCCTGCCCGGTAGTCGAGCAAACGCACACGAGCAACGATGCCTCCGAAAGAAGCCGATTGGGCGGGAAATCGTCCATGCCATGAAGGCAGACATTCATACGATTCCTTGAGACGGCATCAACGCTATGTTCAGTTTTTTTTTTAATACCGATTTTTGAGAACATTCTCACCTAACAGCTCTACGGTAAATTTGTTCAGCAACGTCTTGGGCATTGCCCGTTTGACTGCCATACAAGATCACGAGACGCGCCATCAGGACACTAAACTTCTCGGCGAATCCCTTTACAATTAGGATTTCTGAAGAAACAAATTTTTTTTTGAAAATGAGCAGATTCTTCAAAGAAAAAAAAAAAAAGAGATGTGGGATTGCTAGACCTGACGTTTCTTATAGCGGTCGAGTTCCTCGAGTCGATATGAAACTAGAAGAAACGCTCAGGAAATATAAATTGTTATCCAAATTGAATCGGATGTTGAAAAAAACCAAAACAGGCACAATTAACGCACTCGGGGGAATTTTTTCACGCTCCAGGAAAAACAGCAACAAAATGCCAATCGATCACATCGCACGACTCATTCAGCACTGGACAGAAAAATGCAAAATAGAGATCGTACGACTGAAAGACGGCAGACACTCGAGAGAAACGGAAGAGAAACCAAACCAAGGAATAGTACACAACGAACGAGAAAAAAAGCAGTCTGTCGCGTCCACGAAGAGGCACAGGGTCCGATCAACTTATGTTGAACATCAAACTTCCCATCCACTTAGAAAACGATCACAGCCCTCATAGATCCGAAGGCAGTCATCTTATGCTTTCCGCGGCGGAAAAAAATAAAAGTAAAAAAAGAGCAAAAAACTGGTAAGAAATAATTTACGAAGAGGTAGCCCTGGTGAACACACACCCGGATCCGAAAGGAAGAGTTTTTCATCTCCAATCGTTTTTTTTTTTTTTCTTCTTCCCTCTTGAGAGTCAACAAAGAGAGGCAAAGTTTTTTTGTGAGTCTTTTTTTTCGTTTCTCTTTTCTAGTGATTTTCCTCGGATTCTTTCAATTCTTCTCTTCGCCGGGTCCCTCTTCACGGATCGCCCGAGTCATCCATGCCTCGGTCCCGGACTCCTCTCTCGTGCGGATCTAGTCGGCCCTCTGAGCATCCCCTGCTCCGCGCTCCTTCTCGTCGTCGTGCTTGTCGTAGCCCTTAGTTTCAAAATTATCACAATCCCGTGAATGTTTTCCAATTCCGCATACATATGGTTTGAACAATATTTACACCTTTTCAACAAGTGGTAACGATTTTCAACATATTAAAATATTTTCTAAATTCCGACCAAAGATACTGTTTTACCAATGCTTTAGGCAATTTTCGAATGTCGGGGCAGTCGAAGCAATAATCTCAAGCAAACCTCGATTAAAGTTAACGAAATATACCGCAACTCAGTCAACAATATTTAGAAATAATATATAAAACTACGGTTTACGGATATGCGGAAAGATAACCGTTGAATAGCAAAATGATAGAAATTTAATTTCTGCTGCAGAATCTGACATCAGTCACAGTAAAAAAAAAAAGTTGCCGCTTCGCTACAAGAAGAATTCTATAAATTCAGAGGAATTTTATACACCGGAGACATATACTCGAATAAAAGTACAGTATTCTTTCGACATCTTCGTGCCGTTTTCTGAAAAAATAAACTAACAAAACTGACCAAACCCAAGTTTAACCCTGTCGCACATACTTTCAGTAAAGTATGCATTGCTGATGCACGATATCTTCGGCATTTCTTAAATTAAAGTAGCACTCAAATCCTGTTTCTTCGAATCAAGACAAAAAATAGTTCAGTGCAGTACTCCATACATGCAAAAGCATAGTGCAACATTATTTTTTCAACCAATTGAATTTGTTCTACGAAGAATTCCATACTGTTTATGTATTTACCTGACCATCAGCGCCTTCGTTTTCACTCGCATTGGCGCGACGACCTCGGCGACCACCACGGCGACCGCGCTGAGGGGGTGAACGCGGTTTTTCGGCGCCTTCCCCACTGGCATCCTCTTCCCCGCCATGGTCTCGATTTGGATAAGGAGGTCCGCGACGGTTCCCGCGGTAGTAAGAAAAGCCCCGATTGTAGCCTCGACCACCACCGCCGCGACCGCGACCTCGCGTTCGCGGCACTCTCGGTGGTGCATCTTCTTCACCGGAACCTTCGTCTGCCTTCTCGTCTTCACCTTCCTATTACAACAAAGACACACAGTTTGAAAACACTTCAGGCTTCATGAAGAAGAAAGACTAACAAAAATTATTCTCATTCCGAAACAGATCGGTACATCGTGAAGTTCATCACTAATGAAAGGAGAACAACGATCTTTCTCGAAACCATCATACTCAGAAACGATTTCCATAAAAAAAAAACCGACGAAAAATAAGTTATCATAGCAAAAGTCTCGTAAAATTCAGGTGAGGCACTGCAGCTACTACGCAGGCCATCTCACGCGAAAGGCTAATATTAACAAATCAGAATTGAACCACGCGCATGATGCATGCCGCCGAATATTTTCTTGTTGACGACCAACGAAACCGTTCGAACACGGCTATTAATTTAAATTCACATGGAATGATGGAACAATGACTAACCTCATCTTCGTAACGCCGGTTATTGGAATACTGGTTGCGATAGCCGTAACCACGTCCACGACCTCGGCCGCGCCCACGGGGACGACCTTCGTCTTCTCCGTCCTCGCGTCGGTAGCCACCGCGGAAGTTGCCACCATAACCGCGGTATCCAAACCCTCGGCCGCGGCGGTCGGGAGCGTAAACGGAGCCCTTCACCGGAGCGCCTTCAGGTCCAGTGACGTTCACGGCTTCGTTCCCCTTCTCGCCTTCCACAACATCGAACTCGACTTCCTCACCATCACCGACGCTACGAACAAACTTCCTTGGGTTGTTGCGTCGGATAGCCGATTGGTGAACGAAAACGTCCTCATGAGTATCATTTCTACGAAAAGCGAAAATTCGATGACGATCATGATTTAAAGAACTCAGGTCAATTCGTTAAACCTGTTGATGAAGCCGTAACCCGCCTTGACATTAAACCATTTAACGACTCCGGTAACTTGTTGAGCAAGCACGGTTTTGCCTTTTTGCGGGTCCTCTTTCGTTTCGCCTTCGCTTCCTTCGTGACGGTTGTTCTCTGACTCAACCATGATGTTTGATGTTAACCCTGCGGTTCACGGTGTTTAAATCCGCACTACCCTGCTAATCATAAAAATCCTTGTTATCTTCCACGCGAAATGAATCAAAATGGTTGAACGTGAAGTCGTTCTCTACGTGAACGCCGTCCTAATCGCGGTGGGATGCATAGAAAACATTCACGCAGGCGTAGGGATTGAATAAAGAAGAAAACACTCGGTATCGAAAGAACTCGAAACTTCGACAAAATCGAGAAATTTCCAATAAAAACGCCGACCACCTGGGAGTACAGATCAATATGGATTAACCGGCATCACATAACTTCCGGACGATTGCATGATCTCTTCGCGCGTTTCTAATAATTGTTACCGATGCTACACACGGCCACCGTGGCACCAGGTGTACGATAAGCGGAAGAAAGGTACATTGTTGTACCAGCGCGCCAACATGGAAGATGCTTTCAAAACTTGTTATGACATTATCCGCCAGATGTTGCTCTTGGCATCCATCAACTTCTGAGAATTTGTGTGTTACGCTAGTCCTGTCTACCACAACATTTTAGATACGCCTATAGATGTACTCATGTACAGCATATACAGTATTTTATAATGACCAAAGCGCAAAGATTTAAAAATGTCCAGTACTGTAATTCATGCATATGTTTAACCTCTTCATCAGAGGGGTGTCTCCAGCTGTTCCAGCCATATTTTTAAATTTTACTTTTTTTTTATTTAAAGCTGATACAGTATATCAAAACACACCATTCATGTATGCGTTCTTCAAAATTTATGGAAAATAAGTGCTCTACTGTTTCTTCTTTGACAATCCAAGTACTTTACACACTGAAATCACAAATCAAGCTCCAATATTATTTGACTTGATGCCAAATCAGTCAATAAAAATCCCGTCTAACTTTCAACAGGAGCAATACCGCGACATCATATATGCAAAATAAGAATACTGTTGGCGCCCCCAACATATCTAGACATGTAAAATGTCCCACTAACCCTGAAAGTTTCAATATTTTCTGCATCGAGACAAAGAGCAGGAATGCATTGAAATCGGTGGATTTTGAAAATCAATTCAATGAAGCTCATTACACATATACCGTATAAGTATCAAAATCTTGCCTAAATTTCAACGCACAGCTGTTCACGGATCGATGGCGTTTTCAAATTTTCAACATTTCCGGAAGTACAGCTGTTATGATTAAATTATAGAAGAGAAAATTTGAAATTTCCCGTACTCAATTCTTGAATTTCTGATATCACGGCAACTTGTCACGTCGAGCGTTGTTTTTTTCTCCTCCAGGCCAACGTTTCGTTATCGGCCTCTTGATGCAGTTTTGTTATTTGTAGCCCGCATTGCGGTACAATGGTAAAATTCGCCTTCATTTGCATTCAATCTTCGGTTAGCATACTCAAGATAGAGAAATACATGCGTAAACAAATTAAGATTAAGTGCAAATTTGAAAAGGCGGGATTCTGATTTACCTTAGAAACATTACATCAACATTCGAACAGTAAAAAATAATTACACCAAAAAGTAAAAATGTTATTTTTTGCATTCATTGTTCACTCAAGCATAAGATACAAAACCCATAAATATCAAAGCGGACGACGATTACACATGGCAGATACTTGGAAAACATCATCCATACCAGGTCTTCAATCCGATTTCTGAGCAAAGAAAAGAAAATGACCTCTTTGGCAAACTACGTCAACTTCAATACAAATTCTTTCATCAAAGATCCACACGTGACAGTTCAGAACTATGGAACAATTTCAAACGCTCATCACAGAGAGAAGACGGATTCACAGAGATCACCCAAAATTACACGTGGATCCCACCTGGATTCCGAACGGAACCGCGCGGGCATGTTGAAAAAAATCACAAAGGAAGATGAAAGCATTCCTAGAGTAATTCGATGACAACATCAGTCCGTTACGATGAGCGTCCAAACAGCAGGATGAGTAAGATGATTCTTCTTTAAACTTAGCGACGATGGCATTTTCACGATGTACTTCTGGATATTTCAATCTTTCTCGTACAGAGAATACTCCTTCGTCACACCAGCCACAGTCAATGGCACAGTTCCTGTAGAACAAATCAACGAAAATGAGCAATGCTGGTTATTAGTTCAGTACAGTATGGTGTTTACAAACCTATCTTCGTGTACACGGCTTTTTCAGGCTTTTCAGATGGACCGCCAGGATGCATAAATATTTTTCCAGCAGATCCAATCTCTCCTCGCAGCTGAGGGAATTTTTTTTTCTCCGAAGATTTTGCAGGTTCCTCGTGGAATTTATTAGGCTTATGACACCCGAGGACTTGCTTTGGTCGCACAATTTTGGTCAACGGCGTCAGGTGTCGTTCGGTTTCGGAAACCATTCCGCGGACGTAATTTGCCACAGGCGATCGAACTTTGTCAGCAAGCTTTCCTGGCGTTCCCTGGAAAAAAAAAACCAAAAACGTGGAATTCAATTTCACGCTCTGAAGATGAGTTGGCGTTTTCGAGCTTCATATCTCGTCATGGATTATGGCAATATCTTTGAGGAAAACCAAGCCTTCTTTCGATGTCTTCCCCATGCCTTCAACGGTGTAACGAGATCTACCGACTTTCATATGCACCAATGAAAACTTACACGCAATAAACTCTGGAACGAACCTATCATTTTTCTCAAAGACACCTTTTTTATTCAATGGAAGATAACATAACCTAGAACATACTCCAAAAAACAAAGATGTCATGGCTGACAAACTACTTTCAGTCAGAAATAAATTAACCGAACATAAATCTTTGGAAATCTGAATCTTCAGCATAATAATATGGTTGTGGGTACTTAATAGCTTCTGTTAGGAAGAACGCTTCACCACCGGAACGACGACAACCCCATAGCGTGAAGGCGGTATCAACTCACCTTTACCCTTGCAAGTTGAGTACGATGCAGAGATGATACGGATGAGGGTGTCCGCATAGGCTTCGTGGTTCGCTCCTTGCTCCGAGGAGTTCCCTTTTCTTCTGACGTAACAAATTTAATGTTTGGTGGAGGTACTCGTGGCTTAAGGGGGCTTGGTTTAGAAAGGACAGCATCAACTTCTTGCAAATGTGGAATAATCTCGTCCTGATTCTCGTGCATTGAAACATCGGGAGTGATCGGAGAATATGGACCGAGAACAATTTTCCGCGACTGGGGTTCCTCCTAGATATATTAGAAGCATTTCGTCACAGCAGCATTTCAAAAATTACAAGATTTCCACACACGTTCTATATTCAATACGTACCTCCTGGTCAATTACTGTGCTTGTCTTTATAATCGTCGAATTTCTTTGCTCATCACAATTTAGTAGTATGTCCGGGAGGTTTTCCTTGTCGTCTCTGAGAAATAAAAAGCATTTTTTTTGGCACAATCCGACAAATAATCAAGACAAATAATCATGATACCTTGCAGAATCAGGATCGTCCCCTTCACTTTCCAAGACATGCTCGATGTAATCCATGGTCGAGTCGAAGTCTTCCCTAGAAAGGCCTTTGCTACTATTGGGTTGGGCGCTTTTTTCCATGGCATTTGATCCATCTCCACTGAAACAAATATAAGAACTGAAGGAGCAAAACCAAACAATTATTGCTGAGCAAATACCTTTCGAGCCCTTTAGACTCAGGAAATCTCTGTTTTAATAGAAAAACTTCTCTGGGTGTTGGTGGTCCGACAAAAATCACCTCTGCAGGATCAAAGAAATTATCCATTTCGATCGAAGAATTTCTGAAAATGATCAACCAAACAAGTATGTTTCATCCAGGCCACTGATGCACAATACACTTATGCAGAAGCTTGAGCATAACTGCACTCCACGAATCAAACAGGTATAATCACCATGATCCTCCGACAAAAAAGCACTTCTTATCGAAATTTAACAAATAACCTGAACGCAAGCTTATCAATCGTTCCAGAGAAACATCGGTCAAGTGAATGCAATTCTGACCGGGAGTTCTCTGTCCAGCACTTCCTGCGATTTCAACCGTTGCGCGCTGGGTCTTCGCGACCAGTGCGTGCATGATCGGCAAAAATTATCCGTTCAGTCCGAATTTTGTCCCCAAGATTATGCAAATTTAGCTGCAAAAAGAGAAGTTTCTGCTGAACAGTAAAACCGTTTCGAATTAGATCGTTTGAATTTGGTAAAATACAGATTTTAACACTACTGTACAAAATTTTGTCAAATTCTGGCATGATTCCGTACTTCTACCGTACACGTAGTCGAGGATGCTCGATGGCGGCGCACACGGTGTTCGCGTTCAGGGCCTGCGGGTAGCGAGCCGTATGTCGCACTTGACGCTTATAGTTGTCGTTGCGAGCTGTTGCGATTAGGCAGAAGGTACTTCCGGGAAGGACGTTTCCAGTAAAGAACAGTGCTTTATTTCTCTTTTCCGAATACTATAGTATTGACTTCGTGATCTGTCCACGTGTGGTATAACGCGTAAGTAGAATATTTCGAAGAGGTTTGCAATAATACAGGTGACTATGGCTCTTGAAACACTGCAAGGAGGAGTCCATACTGTTTCGTACCATGAAGTATTAGTCTGATGAAATAATTGTATTGTATATGCTTTGCTTCGATCGACCTCTACCGAAGTAAGAATTTCATTTGCGATTTCGCTGATGCTGTGTAGCATCGCTGACCCCTGGTTTTCCGATCTGTTCAATACCGACGTACTTCAGCTTTCAAGATTTCGTGGCCTCCGATTGAGCTGGCCAAAATAAAATTTAATTCGTGTTTCCGCAGGTTACTGCTTGAAGTACTCTCCAGTCTCAGTGCGCTATCTGAAGCAGCTGCGAAGTTTTTCCGATGTGAATTGACGTAATTCTACGAATGTGATCGAGTTTATTTTCGCGCGGCTGTTCGAATATTAGCATCATGTCAACCATGGATCCTTCGGAAGTATCTCTGACGACTGTTGCGACCACCTTCGTGGCCAACGCATCTGAAATGTCCATTTTTGATGGCAACGGAAGTAAATCGAGCAGCTCGATGCAAGCTCCTGTTGAATCGTCAACGAAGTCTCCCGAGCAGTACGCCCTGAAGGCAATTTTTCTGCAAACAGCCTCGGCTCAGGTCATCGCGGGATTGTTTACGTGGGCAGCTTTAATTATTACATGCCACCAGGTAATATTCCGCAACTTGTGATCTGAATCTGGCTTGATTTGCTACGATGCAGTCCAATTTTTTATTGGTTTGCAGATTTACCAATACCTGCGGTTCTACACGCATCCCCCGGAACAGCGATGGATTGTGCGGATACTCTTCATTGTCCCTATCTACGCGTTTGATTCCTGGCTTTCCCTGCTGTTCTTTCGAAACGAAGAGTATTATGTGTATTTCGACACGGTTCGAGATTGTTACGAGGGTGAGTTCAGTACTATACTATGTATTTGTTCCACTGACGCCACACGGCTTGAAATTTATCCTGTACTGTATTCTTTTCACAGCTTTCGTCATCTATAATTTCTTGAGCCTCTGCTATGAATATCTTGGTGGAGAAGGGAATATCATGAGTGAAATACGTGGAAAACCCATAAAGTGAGTCGGACAGATTTTTGTTGAAGTGTGCTCATAAGATTTATCTCTGACGTATTTTTCTTCAGATCCAGTTATGTGTATTGCACGTGCTGCCTGAGTGGGAGGACCTACACTATTGCGCATTTAAGGTTCTGCAAGCAAGCCACTCTGCAATTTTGCTTCGTCAAGCCGGTGATGGCATTTATTACCATCATTTTGCAAAGTTTCAACCATTATCATGATGGAGATTGGAGGTATGTGCTGAGTGCATGATCATTTTGACCCCAATGTTATTGACAATTTCTTCTAATCTAGTCCGGACGGGGGTTACATCTACATTACGATCATCTACAACTTCTCTATCAGCTTGGCGTTGTATGGTCTTTTCCTCTTCTACTTTGCCACAAAAGACATGCTTGCTCCATTTGATCCCGTGATAAAATTCTTCACGGTGAAAAGCGTCATCTTCCTCTCTTTCTGGCAAGGTTTGTCCATTTTGTATCCCTCGTTGTACTGCTGTCCCATTTGTTTCTCTTAGTTGAAACAATGGCGAACTGGACTAAGGTAAGGGTTTCTACTGTATTTTATTTAAAAAAAAAAAAGTTTTCTCAATTATATTCAGCTTTTCATGGCTACACTGGGACTTGTGTCATTGGAACTAATCAGTACCTCGATCAACACCTACTTCCAATTGTCCTACAGATATTTAAAATTTTTATTTTCATATCTTTAAAATAGATGAAATAATTTTTAACTCTGTGTACAGTACTGAGTCTTCTGAAAGCATGTTGTATTTTTGCTGCGATTGGGTGTAGATATGAATTCAGCATCTTTCGCGTGTTGAAAATAATTCGAAAAGCATTTTCGTTTTTGCGCGTTAGGCGTTCTGCTGGCAGCCCTCGAAAAAGGAGGTGTTATCCAACCATTGGACAAGGCCGAAGATGGAAGCAGTGGCACAAGCGCGGGAACCGTATCTGCTGGCTACCAGAACTTCCTAGTTTGCATTGAAATGTTTTTTGCGGCCATTGCTTTGCGATACGCATTTCCCATTTCCGTGTATTCCCCGGCTGCTGGGGCCGGGATGGGCTTTGGACAAGGCCGCTCTGTAACAATGCAGAGTATTTCGTCGTCCTTGAAGGTTTGTTCCTGCTTTTGAAATTAATCAAAATTCCTCTTGAAGTCCTTATGTGTACTGATGATATTCATTTATTATAAGATAATGAATATGCTGTATGCATTTCTTGTAAAATTAATGTTTGCTGGTCATATTCGACGAGTCTTTTCTCGTACTAGTGCCGCCAGAAAATACCGCAGTTCATCGACAGAGGAAATTGTATCTTCGATAATAAAATTAGCAGAATCATTGAGTTTTCTCTGCCTACCCGAATGTCATCATTCAGTGGAGCCTCATTTCTATTTTTTTTAGGAAACCATGAATCCAAGGGACATCATGACTGACGCAATACATAATTTCCACCCGCAGTACCAGCATTACACCCAGTACAGTTCAGGTAAGACTCTATTCACTTAATATTCGGTTTTACATTCATTGAGCCCTTGTGTGTTTTTCTTCTAATTCGTGCGTTTCACAACATCCAGTCGGTAAGTGATTTTTTGTATCATCAATTGAGGAGCTTCGGCTAAGACGATAACATTGAGGATTACGTAGTTTGTTTCCGAATTAAAATTTGAATTCTTCCTGAATTCCTTTTTTGATCCTCATTTACAGTACTTTTTTTGTTATTTTTCTGTATAAGGCTGACAGGTTTCACCTCAATAGTTACAGTTATGAAAGAAAATGTGTGAGGTTGCTAAAATGACAGAAGATCCCTTGCTTCTGCCAGATGGTCTTTCGAGGCGTTTGATCATGTCTCAAGAAAATATCGAGCTTGTTATGTCTTTTTTGTAGGACCGAGGAGTCCAACACGGAGCCCACAAGGGACCCGACGCGTCCCTGGAGAACCAGACGAGGCACTTCAGGACAGGGGTCACGTTACAAGGGAATCCGCGTCGGCTGTGAGGTACAATGGAGGCGGTTTTTAGTTTTTGGTGGCGGAATGAATAGGGAGTGCAAAAAGTAAGTGGAAATTTCGTAATTCTAAGGTATGGAATCTCTTCATCGAACGCTGAAGCTCCTACAATTCCACACACATCGCAGAAAAGTAGACGCGTCACTCCCCCGGTCGTCAAAACCACGGAGCCCTCTGATTTCTCTTACCAGACTCAAGCGCCGGCGAATTCCCGACCTATCGTGAACGATCCTGCTGCAGTGCCCCGCCAACGAAACAATGAGAAAACCCTGCTTCTTTCGTCTGATGAGGACGTTCAATGAATCCTTGATTTGTGAATTTTTGTTGAGGCAGCGGCTCTGTGCGATTTACTTTCTAAAAATCCTGCGTTTGAGCCGATTGGAGCATTGCAAATACTTGGACATCATGTCGAACTGACTCTTCATTATGTACGTGAGTTGATGGATGTCAATTTCGGAGGCGTCTCGCGTAATTGTTTTTCTGAAGCATCTTCTGAAGTACACGAGGCCACGAAGACTTATCTTTTAGATACTTCCTGATTTATTCATGCAAGACATGCGTTACAGTTCCCTCTCTTCGATTTTCATTATCTTGTGGAATTTTGACTCGACGCTTCAGATTAATATTCTGAACAGTTCATGATTCAAATTCCCATTGATCAGTCGTTCCAATTTCGTTGAACTGAAATATCAGCTTGTACTGCATATCAGGGCGAGTTGTAATCAATCATCTTGACCAAAGGTTGTATTCATTGAGGTGGGTGAAAATGTAGTGATGTACGAGGTCTCACTTTCTAAATAGGTCATATTTTTGCGAGAACACCACAAAGATTCATAATTGAAGTGTATTTTTTTAGAGATCCAGAATTGGTAGATGTGAATGTCATGATGTCCAAGTATTTGTAAAGCTGAATAAAATTAACTACCTCTGTAAGGCGCAGCTTAAATTTTTTTCCCTTACGGGTTGTGACTGTTTAAATCCAACTAATGTCCCGCTCAAAAGTGTTTTCCTGTGTTACCAGGCGTTACTCTTGGCTTTTGTCGACAATCGACGGTTCATCCCTTCAACGAGCGATACATTCCAAGTGTGCGAGAATTTTTTTTTCGGGGCGAAAGTTGAGCCAAAGATGGTGCGATGGAACGACTTGTTAAGCCTAATTTCATGTTCGCTGTGTTCTTCGCTCTTGGAAAGGAAAATTGCTGAAGCTTTACTGATTTTATCATGGTACGTGACGTGAAGGAAGAATTTAGTTTTATTCCACTGAACGATCTCTCTCGCCCTTCGTTCACGTTTTCTTGAACTGACTTGATCAGGTTTCGAGTGCGCGTGTTTTCTTTGGTCTTGAGCTGAGTGGAGATAAGGTGCGGAGGAAAATAATCGAGAACGTGGTGGACAGGAGAGTGGAAGTATTTGCTCTTTCTATGTTTTCTCGGTCACTGCGTATTGGAAAAGGAGTGTACTTCTCAACGATGAAAATGATACTGAGAACTAAAACTCCATGACGTGATCAGGAAATGCTCGATGGGTGTTCGTGGGTGGGTTTTTAATTGATTCTAGAAGTTGATCTTCGCATTCGCACAGGGTGTCCAGATAAGTCACTGTGCACTTGTGCTGTCATAAATCCTTAATTTATTCATTTTTTAATCTGTCCATAAGAGGAAAATCATTTTGGTTAGATGTCACTGGCTATTTGCACGTGAGCCTCGCGGTGGTATTTGACGATGTTGGATAATTTTCCATTATGAAAATTTGGTTATAAAATAAGGATAATTCATCTGCACTTTTGCATCAAGTCGTAGATTATGTTGGCTTATCACCAATTTCTTCTTTGCTGAAAGTAAAATTACCATAGAAATTTAAATAATATAAAATTATGTAGATTTCCCAGGCGAAGTTACGGCATCGCCTATAATTTTTCAGACTCTTCGTACAAATTAAATTTTCTTACAGAATCGTTAAATCGAGCTGGAAATGAATTTGCTCGAACTTAATTATAACGGTAGCTTTGTTACCTGTAAGTGATGGGAGAATGTGGGCAAGGTTAATTGAAGGTGCATGGATTCGACTTTCATTACTGTCCATTACGACTGTATGGCCAATCATGAAACAAACCTTGTAATTACCAAATTGATGATGCCCGTCTCTCAACAACTGAAATTGTTAACTCCTCTGCCAAGTAAATTTTTGGACATCCTGTACTTGCCATAGTTGTGCTGCGATTCAATTTTTACTGAAGGTCAATTGGATTCCCACGTTTGCTTTTTTTTGCATTTCTTTCGTGATTCATTTTCTTTTTATGTGTTCTGCAGTAGTGGACATCCGGTGAGCAAGTCCTGATACTCGTAAGTTACGTCGTTATTCGTGGGAGGTTTCTTTGAAAAGGCGGGAATCGTTAATTGTTTCGTTTGGTTTAACCTTGCCCAGTGTTGACGCAAGCGTTAGTTAAGCTAGCTGTGTTTGCCATAGAGATATCCTGACAAGTTATAATGGCTTTATTCCCGGGAGTGTGTTTTTTTCTTGTCGTACCCGACCTGGTTAGCGATTGCCAAACGTTTCCCTATTTTTAAATTTTTATTTGTGTGCCTCCGAAGGCTGTTAGACGCACTCGTTAATTTGCAGCTAAGTTCTCGGCGTACTTTCCGTATTTGGGAATCCCGGCAGGTGGTTTGCTTTGATGCGAACTTTTTTTTATGTGATGCGCAAGAATTTTTGAGGTGACCATTTTTTTGGGGGGCTTATCCTGCGATAGATAGAGCAGCAGACATCGTCCCCACGAAGGTGTTTGGATGTTTTGGAATGCTTGAAATGCAGATATCGATGTGATCCGTGAAATTGCAGAACATGGGATTGATTTTATTTCGCGATAATCTCTTCGTAAGTTATGGGTACTGTCTTTCTGCTTTCATGTTTCTAATCTGTTGCTCGCGTTCCCTGGATAACGAATGCATGTTGACCGGCATTTGAAATTTTAATGTCTTTTCACAGGGCTTAGAGAGGCGATTAATCGCATGAAATGAGCGTTTCGACGCCTACGGATCAATTAATTGATTTCTGAAAGAAAGGTATGGCAAATAGTTTGAAGGGGTAAAAACGGCTCGATCACAATTTGGACTTACTCGCTTTATTCGGTTACCATGCTCAAGAAGGCGTGACCCATCATCATACGAGGGCTATATTTTATGAGCTTTCCTAGATAGCATGCGCGTTGATATTGTTTTGAAGGTTCTAAGTAAACGCATTATTTATGATGAACAATTAACGGATGCGTTAATCCCCTACTAATGGTGCAATGGTGAGTGCTAACTTTCGTGAATGCTCTGGTAAAAAACATTTAGCTCGTACATAATACTGGAAAATCTATCTCCACAGAATTCGGAAAACAGATTAGCGTCATGGTACTGATTTTTGTGAACTGAACTGTATTTCCGCTGACCTGATAAAATGTTTCTGCAAAAAAAATAACTCAACATTCCGTCATGATTGAAAGTCCATTTCTGTCCCTTGAACAATATCTTATAAATAAATACCCTTCTTTTCGCGTCTTGCACAAAAATCCGTAAAAAGTTTCGTATCACCTACTCACTTGTTCCCAATAAACCAACACAGTCACACACGCTGGCCGCCAATTGCCATCTCCAGCTCCCGAGAGGTGCTTCACGACGTGTTTATCAAAAACACACGAAAGCTCATTTAGATGAAGAGAGCTCAGTAATTGCAACAACCGTATTTTCAACCGAGGATATGGAAACTTCTGTCAGCGACTAACATCTAATGCATAGCTAGCTGCTGTCGTCAGATTCGGACCCTCTAGTTCTAGTAGTCAAGGCCAGTCTAGGGCTTTTCAACCAGGGATAGGCGAAAGAAGCGTCTTCAACTGAAGTGAAGGGCATCTTAGCAGACCTCTTCGAAGCTCTGAAGTCATGGAATATAATACCCTTCAACGGTAGTATTTGTCCTAGTAAAATCCAGGAAAGAGGTCGAAAAGCCCTTGACTAGTCCAGCTCATGATCAACACAGATGGACATTTCACGTGCGGCAGTTAGGTCATTCCAGTTGTTCTCCGTTAATATTTGCGTGTGTCACGTGTTCATGGGAATCGTTCAATAGATCAGTGGTCGAAAGCGAATTTCTCGGAGCCTGGGTGCTCGATCTCGTTGTCTGATTGAGGAGCAGAAGCGATAATCCGAGCGCCAGCAAAACTGCGGAAACGCCAAGTAGAGCATAGCCAGTTGGCGGAAGTACCATGTTCATCACAACGGGTAAACGGACGTCTTTGGCAATGTTCTCCGACATCTCGGCGACTTGTCGGAACCACAGCATCGGCATCATCGTTGGTCGCACCTTCGCAAAAGGCCTTAAAAAACCGCGATGAAAATGAATGCTATCATTTCAAGTAAAGCCCTCCGTTTCCGATTCTAGAGTAGTGTAGGGTACAGTACATATATGTGATAGCTTAAAAAAAAAGGTTTTCTTGTGGAGGTATTGTTTTTGTTTTTAACAAATGACAATAAATCCATCCTTTAAGGCTTGCGTTTCCCTTGTTTAAGAGTATCCTCGAATTCATACAAGCGGACGGCATTTTTGTGGAGTAATGCTATCACTTCCTGGCTACTTTTCCAATTTTAGCAAATTCGAGTTGACCAAGAATCGACATGCACCTCATCACTGCCAGGAAATACTTTAATGTTCACGCCTACACGTTCAACAAATTTGTAAGCTGCGTAACTGCAGTCAAATATTTGAAAAAAAAAAAAAAAACTAGAGTAGTGACAATCATCTCTGGAAACACATGAAAATATGCTGCGATGAGGCAACAAAGTTCTGGGAACTCATTTCTGGTACTGCATTACAAAATACTGTATTGCGCTTGCGACGCTGAATCAGAAAGTCGTCTTGAACTATTGATCGCCGAGCAAGAAGTTTTCCAGACAGGTATAACTCAGTAATTTGAATATGCAAGTAAATCAAAGAATTCCAAGGAACAGTATTCAGAAACATTTCGAATCAGGCCTGAAAGATTAAAATCACACAGATGAGAAAATTATCCACGGAACGGTTACGCACAAAAAAATTGAAATTCGTAGTCCTACCATTCCTTGACCCCGAGAGAAAACAGTACTTCTCTATGGGTATGACTAATAATGATTTCCAACGCGATAATCAAGTGCCATTCAACTCACCCGACAAATTGACACTTGTTCATTTGAATGTTGATTTGAAGCGCGGCGTTGACTTCCAATGGAAGACCGGTTACCTAGTAACAAAAAATAAAAGGTCATCAACGTTAGAACAAAATCTTAGTATTGTTTCTTGGCTTCAAAAATATCAGAGCTAAATTTTTCTAGTTCAATACGTAATACACCATCACGCCAAACCATTTCATCTTCTCCGATAAACTTGAATTTCATACTGGTAAGTCAAGTAAAATAAGGTAATTACTGTGCTGTATAAGGGTATTAAAAAAAAAACATAACAAAAAACTAGGTGAACTTTCGGCATGATGCCTTCACTTTCAAAGATTCACTTAATTATCTTGTCTCTGCAAAAATGCTACCACTCACGGAAGAAAGATTCTGAAAAACTACTGATTTTCTTTAAATCGCGTTTCGATTTAAAGTGAGTGGTTTTGTGAATTGAGGAAGTTCACCGACAGGATATTACGCGAGATCAAGGTCGAATAACATATCTCGTCGTTAATCATCTATTGAAAAACATCCAACTGGTCATTCACCGGTCCTAATAATAAACTAACCGGTTCGATCGTCAGAGTCATTCGATGACGATCAGGATCCGGCTTCAGACCTTCCACAGCGTCAAGAAGCTGTGGGTCCGCCAAATAGAAATGCGGGTACGACATGAATGCGGGTGCGTTAAATTTACACTTGGACACGCTCAATGTCCCGCTAGGCGAACACTTCTTCCGGTTCCCGTCAGGACAAAAGCACCAGTTCTCCGGGGCTCCCTGGTCCGGGGCGGCCAACATCCGACGATCCGCCCAAAACTTGAGGCCCTTCATGCCTAGCTTCCAGTGAACAGGACCGCCGCCTTCGGTTTCCATTAAAGGCATGTTGATAGTGCGGCAAATGTCGGTGACGAAGAGCGCAATGGACTTGGCATCTTCCTGGAATGGTGAGAAGAGCTCGCCGGCTGAGCCGTTCACTCGAGCACAGTCCGAGACGTAATACTGGGTTTGGTCCGTGCCGTTCCAACGAAGCATTCTGCCAAAGGTGCTCAGATCTTTTTGACCCAGACCCATTGTGAAAAGCCCGTCGTACGAATCAGATCCGTTTCTCTATTGAAAAATAAAGACGAACATGAGATATTAATTTCACGGCAACAACTCACTTTCTGAGAATTTTCCATGATTGCGTTGTGCATGAACGGGTACATCACGCGATATAACAGTAATTATACAGTATTATGTCCAAATACATATATTATGTGAGGTCATCATCTAAAACGTACAGTATTTTCATCCTTCGAATACAAATTTGTACACAATCGAAAGCTCGAAATACAGTTATTTGTTTTGAATACTGTACTCTGACAAAGGCACCTGTGGTCATAAGCCCGAAAATCCTGAGTTTCAATGAACATGAAGAGCATAAAACGAATCGTTGATAAGAAAAATCTCGTTGCTAGGAGATTTTTCAATGTGATTAACCCTGAAATGCAGTGGAGGGGCATAAAACAAAGCTGACTCAAATCTCAATTACAATACTAATCGAAAAAGGCATCGAAATGCATTTTGGATTACGGCTCGGAATTTCCTCCCGAAGGAGGATCATCGAAGAAGAAGAATCCACCTACCGGATAAAACCAGCCAAACTTGTCAAATGGTATCTTGAAGATGTCAAAGATGACAGCTATGGTTTCAGCTGCGTTGATTATGGGGTCTTCATAACCATCGAACATGAGTTCTTTAACAGTTTTGTTTTGGAATGCATGGATTTGCTCCACCAGGAATAAGTTGTTCACCATGAGCTCATAGAAAACGCCCAGATCCTTCGCGACATGCAAAGCCGTCTGCAAAAAAAAATATGATCAACAATAAAAAATTACCAGCACTAATCAGAGTAATGACTGCAGTATTCATTACGGCTCCTATGATCAGGAAGAAGCTACCACGCAGAACTTCTTTTTAAAAATTAAATCACATACAGTATTAAGGTTGGTTCGGGCGATTCATCAATCTTTCCACCTGACTGGCGTCGAATGAAAAGACAACATTTATCGATGAGGGACATGTGAGTAAATGGTCTTTCACTAGAATCCAAAATCTTTCGAGATGAAAAAAAAAAACTAAGCACTGCAGTGGTCACAATTTGAATTAGCCTTCGTATTTTTATGTTTTCAAGAACCCCGAATATTTACAGCTTTACTAATTTAAAACATACACTGAGTTGAATGCCGTACAATTAAAGATGTCAAAGCTAAAACATACCGCGGCAACTACGTTGAGGCTCGTGATCATGTCATCCTCTTCCCCGACACTTTTTTCCGGCAAGAAGAACCACTCCCGACGCATTTCGAAGTCCACACTGTCTTCGTCGTCATTCCACTTGACGTTTACCTTCTTCCTCTTCTCTCTTGATCAAAAGAACAGGCATGAAAACCCGAGAAATCGTAGAAGCCAGCGGATGTAAGAAGTACCGTAGTCTCAACTCACTCATAAACGTAAGGACCTATTTCCTCTACAACAGGCTTGGCCCCGTTTTTGGCTTCTTCTGGATTTGTCACGTTGAAGAAGTATGCCTCCAACAGAATGGGTATCGGCGATTCTGTCCAGAAATCATAGACCTGTCCGCCTTTCCGCAGGTTCAATTGCTGATGAGAGAAGGAACACAGTTACTTTTATACCACATCCGGCATAGAAAAGGGCCTCCAATCGTTATACGGTAACCAACTCGTCCAAAAAATTTATGTTTTCCCCTAAAAGACACCCTTCGTCTAACAAGAAATTCCATTCAATTGCAAGAGCATGGAGTTGATGAACTATCAAAATTGACTCGATGGGCCTTTATTCGTTAACTATGGGGAGAATTTATGCTCATTAAGACTGGCATTTTTCTACCAATGATTTTTGATACGACTCAACGAGGTGCTAGCAGTACTGCAGTAGCTGTGTTCAAAGCCAATACATAAGAAGTTAATTATTTTTCGGAAACCCACATTCGCAAATTGTCGGGAATATAATTCTAATTTTCGGTGCGACGGTTTGAAGGTTAACGCATCGCGATAACTAACGAAAACGAGACCCTCTTTTAATCAAAATACAGTACTATACATATGTATTTACCCTTGCATATCACAACATGTGCCTGAAATTGCGCTAGGGCTTGAATTTTGATCCTGTTTCAACTTTCAGAGAAACAAAACGATAGTGAAGCCTTATCTTTTCGTCGACAAAATACATTCAACATCTCAACGAATAAACTCACAGATTGAAGAACGGATTTAAAAACCGGCGGCCAAACGAAAGCGAATATGCAGCCGAACACGAACACCACAGCGCCAACTGTGAAGGCTATGCACGGGGCTTTATGTTTACCGCGAAGGCACAAACGTAATGCCATATCACAATGAAAACCTTGAAAAACGTGCATGCGACACTGATTAAATATGTCCATGGAAAACGCGGTTCGACGAAAAAACGAATGTGACCAGATGTTTTCTGTAGTCGACGTTTTCTTCTGAACAAGCACGACGAATAGTATCACGATTTCACCAGCACTTTGACACGACGAGATCATCACTCGAGTAAGGAAAAATCACCACCATTTAAAAATATCTTCATGCGACGAGAAGAGCAAAGAACGGAGCACGATCGTCTCCGAAAAATTTTCAGCATTTCGATAACTTCTATCCTCAACTGAAGCACATCGATCGAATAAATTTCTTCGCTTGAAACTTGAAAAAAGTTCTTGACTTCATATCGAATGATTCAATCCACTAAAAAGAATACTTGGGGAGAAGTTACATCATTCATTCCAACGCATTAATAGACAAAATCGTGAGGAGTCGGATGAAAGTTCGCGGTCGCATATGTAAGCAACTCAAGAAGCATTTTTTTATCGGCAGAAACGAATTAAAAGCATTTTCTCACTACATCATATACACACCACAGTATATAAGATCACGCGAGTAAACGCTGAACCTATCTGAATTATCATCACGAAATTCTGTTGAAATCCTCATTGATTTTATTAATTTCATTGGAGTAAGTCTTACCGATGGAGAAATTCAACTTCCATCAACCTGAACATCTTGACGCGACGTCGCATTTCACAGAATTCTCACGAAGCAAGTCTCATTAACGAATACAGAAAGGAACGCGATTTATCCTCATCCGATTGAAAAGGAAAAGGCGAAGAGATTCACCAGCGACATTCCGTCCCATCACGTGACGATAAAGATCGAAGGTATTCAAAGAAAAACAAAGCCTGTACAGGCATCGGTTTCACTATACTATCCGCTACATGTGGCAGTGGCATTCAACGACCATCAGCCCCAGCATATCGACTCGATTATTGCCTTTCACAACGTTTCACAACTCAGAACCCATCACATCCTCAAAAACAAAAAGATTGCAAAGCAGTAGAAGATTGTATAACTTGTTTCATCCCATCACGTAGCGAAAGAGATCCACAAGCGAAACGTCCTCAGGCACAGCACTAGGGTTACAACGGAACACACTCGTGAAAACTCGTTCAGAGTGTGAAGATCGCAAGGCACGTCTGTGGCCCAGCGGACAAGAACCATCCGCTGAAGAGCAAGTGCCTCGCATGTACCGCTTGCACACGTGGAGATTCTTGCATTCTTCATCCGTACAGCCCCCTTCATCTGAAATCCACATAATTTCACACTAGATCGTATCATATTTAATCGAATGTGAGCCGCACTGTCACTCTCCCTCATAATAAAGGGAAAAAACGCAGCGCGCTTCTAAACGTTGATGTATAAGCACTGTGGATAATCATGTTTGATGGTATTTTAGATTCGCAGATCAAGGACATGATTGCTCCAGGCCGAAAAGTCTAAAATGGAACTGAAGAAATCATGAATCAAGTTTTAGGCTCAAGGATACTGTACAAAATTTTCAACCTCAACATTATTATCGCGAATATTTCATGAGAATAAGCTGGTAGCTGAGGCATCAAAATAAATGATCTCCGATTCCGAGGAAAAAGAATGCAACGAAAGTGCGTCTTACATTAACGGATACAATTTTGAGGCACAACATTTGAGAGGTGCAAACAATAATCGATGGCGTCAAGCATTCGAGTGGATACGGCACTGACGAAGCCATAAAACCGGTACTTGCTTGTAAACGCATTCCCCCAAAAATAAACACATATAAATATTATATTATACAATAATATTCGAAGAAGAGGCCCTAGCAGTTACTGTCCGTATATTTTCTCTATTTGATCATAACGGAACAAAATCAACAAAAATTTGGTCTGTCTTTTTCAAGCTTCGAAGTACAGTACTCTACATAAATAAACAGGGGTTAAAGCGATGGAATTCAAAGAAATACAATTGAAATACTGAACACGACGATGTAGAAACCTCACCTTGTTGACGGTTGTGAGACCAACAGCAAGTGAGCAATCCCGATCGGAGTGATATATGTACGCGGGTCCACGAGATCCTCGACAGGAGAAAAGACGCCAGGTGATTACTCCTGCCGTAGCCGCGTTCTTTGGAGACACGGAAAAGCGATCGGCGCCACTCAATCAATGCCCGAAGTTGGCGACGAGTGCACTCCGACTCCTCGGCCAGTTCCGGCGCACGGATCCCGCGGCGCGAATAATCGAGCCGCACAAAAACGGCCAACACTTTTCCCATGGTCTTTTAATAGATAAAAAAAGCAGCTTTCAGGGAAAAAAGTACTGGCGTAGACACAAATTCTGGTGCAAAAAAACCTAGACACGAATATCCACCTGCTGCAGGTTGCGAAGGGAGTACATAATTTCACGACGGGGTGGGGTTGGCGGAGTAGCGCACGATTCTTGCTGGGAATCGACATTGTGGTCAGCCTGCTCCACAGAGTCATCTGGCTCTTCGTCGTCGGACAAGTCTGCTTCGACACTGGAACCGTCAGTTTTAGCAGCAGATTCTTCGTCGCTATCACGCATGACTTTCCTGCGCTTCTTACCATTTGCGCTCTTCAAAAAAATAAAGGAAAACATTTAAATGTTTGTCGCGTGACGCTGGGTTGAATCAAAACCCTAGTTTGGGCAGTAGAATATCGACACAGTTAAAAATGTCAAAATTGCGCAAATACAAGACGCCATCGATTCCAAGACGCACCTTAATTTATCGCCTCTCTAACTGAAAAAGATGGCTGAAAATTACATAATATTCTCCAAGGATCTTCTCACATGACATTAAATTATAGTTTAATGAATGATAGGTCACCAAACCTTCAAAAAACGAAGGTTTTACTGCATTATATTTTCACAAGTGCATTCTAAATCGCACACTAATGGTAAATTAATTAGTGCAGACCATAATTCGAAATTATCTCCAGTAAAAGAGAGTTCAATACGACCTAATTATTAATATTTTGAGAGCGCTCATTTCTGGACAGCCTCTTGACTAGCAACTTAAACGCGGAAAGAAGATACCTTGGATTCTGAGACGCACCCTGATAACTTGGACATTTTTTTATATTTACGTGAATACGATAAATGTAGAATAATGCAGTATACAGTACTGTAATCATGACATCAGTCATGACGTCTCGGCAATAAAAAAACAGCGTTTTAAAATTAAAGACTTCTGCACTTTCCCAGCATGAAATACAGTACCCAGGATTTGTCTGTCGGTGCATCAGATTCGTACGATCTCCGTAGAAGGCGTTTCACAACTCTTTCCAGGGTAGTCACACGTTCTTGAAGTTCAGTCACACGCAGCTCCCGGGCAACGGTGATCACATTCGGTTCATTTCCTTCGTTATCACTCATTTCGTTTTCTTCTCCCAGAGTGTCCAAAAAAAGTGACTTGACTGAACCCGGTCTCAGCTGAGTCCTGCACTTGGGGCAACACTCAGAACTACAAGCATAAAGTAGAAAAGGAAGGCGTAAAGTTTAAAATTCACACCACTTCACGAAAAAAGGACGAGATTCCTTCTCGGAGGTCAAGTTTTCAAAATACTTTATTATGAAATTTATTATTATGCTGAAGTTGAGAAAAATCAACTTCAGCAGTTGATTTTCATCAAGATCGTTAACCTTCCTCCATGTATTTCATGCGAAAACCGAAGATTTAGAAAAGTTCAACACCACATTGTTGAGTTTGATAAGAAGTACAACACTTCTTAAGTTGAAGTTTTACGCTGTTTCTTTGTTCCAAAATATGACTTACAAGATTCTGAGGTAGAACAAACGCCATATACTTCATATGTGAACTTGGATTACCCGTTCAGTTAAACTTGGGACACTTCCCCTCTAACTAAAAAGTTTGAAAATTCGATTATTTTCTCGACGATAATGAAGTCCGTATCTCAGTGGAACATCTCACTTATTTAACATTATTATAGCAAGGAAATTTAACATTATTATAGCAAGGAAACAATTGCACTAACTTAGTCAGCCATTCGTTCAAACAACGACGGTGGAAGACATGCGAACACAGCGTGACTTTCGCGTTGCTGCTGGAAAGCCCGGCAAGGCAGATTGGGCAAACCAATTTCATCAGCTCGCAATAAATCACGACACTTCACAGCACTATACAACGATCAACTTTTGAGAGAAAAATACAATTTACGATTCCGAAATACCACAAAAAATTAACGGGAAAGCAAAAAGAAAAAGAGACAAAAGAAGGTACAGAAAAATACGTTTGGACGCGAGAAAATCCCTCTGTTTTACCGCAGAATCAATCGCCGAAAACACCTTCAACGACACTGATCATGACTGTCGATAAAATCGATAACACATTGAAAATAGTTTTCGAATTCTGGTAAGAAATCATCGCTGAAGCAACAGGGAAACGGAACTTGAATAATTCTTCTGCTCCACCTCGACAAAACTTGTTCGGGGCTCATTGTCGAAGCTGAGGATTTAATTTCATCACGAAAACAAAGAATCACCTGCAAATAGATAGTACGATAGTACACTATCGAGGATTATCGGATAATCGACGTACTTACCAGAATCCATTAACTTGGAAAGGGATAACATGACTGACATATTGTAGGATTGATGAGCAAACTTGCTGCAGAAGTACAGTATTATACTGTAAATACGAAGTTTTTCCGAGTTATCTGAAGTTTTCAAATACTGTATGTTCGCGGCGGACAGAACAACCCTAAATACTGTATCTAAAAAATTTACATTTAACGTGCCCAACGCTTTTTCTTATTTTCTATGATCTGCTTCCCCATATGGCCATATGGATTATGCAGAATAAAACCTTTCAGGTGGTAAACGGATCGCAGCTTTCCTGTCCCAGTAGAAGTGTTGTGTTCCTCTACGCTTCAAGTCACGCGAAAATATTTCAATGTTTGAGTTACTTTTTCGAGCGACGGAATAATTTTAGTACAGTACTTCGTTCAAACAGAGACATTTCTACTGCCACCAGAACGCGTCGAGACCGTCAAGGATTGAATGTTTTCCCGGAACACAACACTTTAACTGGGGCAGGAGTGTTGCATTCTAGTATCCGACGTAGTTCGTGTTTTAGGCATATCCACCAGTGAATAAAATTACATAACAAATATGCTGAAAAACCCTCAAGATGTTCTGATGTATGAACAACGTAAATCATTTCGTCTGGCTAACTACTCCGCGCAAATATTGTACACTCGTCGAAACTTGTACAGTACATTCAAAAAGGGGATAGTTCGGGAAAAATGCAGTACACTACAACAATATAGAATTACTTTCAGTAAGCATCCACACAACAAATCTGTACACTGTGCAATACTCGTTTATATTAAGCGGAATTCCAGCATCACGAATCTAATTTTAACTCACGCGGGTTTCAATTCGAACTCCGCTTGATAACAAATGGATCGTCCACATCGTAGAAGTCGAGGCATACCAGAATAAGCATCCACAGATGTCGACGATCAGCAAATTAAGCTGTTCATAAGGGGTTTCCATGAAGATAATTCCGAGCATGCGATAAGATTACGACAAATCTCGCAATATTTGTTCAAAATAGCATTCTAAAATCGTATTCGAAAAATGGTTGGACTCCAATGACGTAGACCGTGAGAATGCTTGAACAAGCCAGCATCGGAAACATTTTCACACTCGCTGATCATTCGAATATTCGCTAAAAATGGGAGAAGACTTAAAAAAAATCAGTGTTGCTTTCCTGCCTTCTGTTGATACCTATCACAGCAACTGTGTACGATGTCAAGTTAAAGCCAAAAAAACTTGCCCGATTTCATAATACAGTACGTACATTAAAAAACACTCACTTTTATCCATTGAAATAGTAAGTCGCTTGATGCCCATGAAATACAGTATGCTCGTCAATTCAACATGCCCGAAGATCATCACGTTTGGCTAGGACAGGTAATCCAGTTAATTTTACAATCGAAGTTGCAAGCAAACATCACCCGATCACGGATGCGCAACTCCGAGCGAATCATAACTTGGCCCGTGATTCAACGAATTCCCCGAAAATTCCGACAAAAACAACACCAAGATGACTTCCATTCCATCTAAGAAGGCAAGAAATGAAAATTCGAGACATGCACAACACAATCTATAGCCCGGTTCGGAAAATTTAGGGCTTCCAACAGAAATGATCACAAACATTTCCTCCGGGACGAATTTATCGGGATTAATCAGACAAAAATAGTAGCTACGAAAGGCTTCCAGCAAAATTGAGAAGAAAACATTCGCAGTCTGAAGTGTCCACTGAATATGACCTCAAGACATTCAATCATGCAATGCAGTAAATGCTAAGATAAAATTCGAAGAATTGTTCCTGTAAGAATGGCCAAGATAAATATTTTTTTTTACTCAATTTCGAAAATCAATCATGAATAAAAGTAAACAAAACACGCGAAAACGGGATCAATGTTTCACATTCCAACATGAAACCGCCACATTTCGTGAACCACACAGCATTTCGACCGCACAGAAAATTCCTCCTTTTTTTTTAACCTTCGTCGCTGTAACACTCGGCGTTAATGACTACCCGTGTTCCATCGTATCTGCTAGAGCTGTCATGCTCTCCAGCGTGAATCACAACTTAGGCAATAATAACAACTTTCCGCATCCCATCAAAAGCCCAATTTATCATGGGATTTATCATCACCTGAGGAAACTCGGTCACCTCAATAATCAAAATGGAATACACTTGATGAGATATATTCGTTGATTTTAACGAGAAAATCACCGCAAGAAATGAGAAAAAAAAAGGATGACCACGACTCCGAAGAGAGATTTGAAGGAAACATGTAACTATTCCCGTGACAGTTGAGCGCTTCCAACGTGCAAGAGCATGATTTGTTTTAAAACAAATGCTCTTGAAAATTTTCGTACATAATGCTAGCATCTAGAACAGCACCAAAAGATATGAACCATTGGCGATCATCAGACGCCAATAATTGCACTCACGAAAACAAAGCGTTCAGGTAAACTCTTGAAGTTAACCTGGACCAACACAACCGTATCATTACCTGACACTGAGAAACTCCTCTGCTGCACAAACGTTAATTTGAACTTGGTAATCGGAAAAGTGCTCTGCACATACACAGTTTCCCATTTTGCTGTTTTGGCACGCATTTTTTGTTTAAGATTTCGTTGGTTTAGGTGCGTACGCATTCTTCCGGACGTGCAGTCTTACGGAATGCGTCGTTATTTGGGGAGCGCTCAACTGTGCGGTCACGTAGGTCGTAGATACCCGAAGCATGGAATCCTCGAAGAGAGAAATTCGTGAGAAAAACTCCTTACAAATTCAGAACATGTTGAAAACGAACTAGGGCTGGAAAAATTCAGGAAATTTAATGATCCGTTAATTATATGGCACGGATTTCAGCACTATTAGCCGCATTTGTGGTGAGATTAACACGATAATTCTTTTTGCTGACAATCAGGACATAAAATCCAAATCACGATGAACCACGTATCAAAGCGGGAACACACACTTGTCCAGCAGAAATCAAGCGGCACTCATAGAAACGCTCGAAACTTGGACCGAAGTACGAAATGTACTAAAAAAAGTTATACGCTTATTGCACATTCATCCAGTGTTTCATAATCGAGCGTCGTCATCTGCTCACGACTTCAAATTTGTCTGCCGGCACAAGCGGATACGTAAGAAAATAAATCAAACTGCTGACGAACAGAATTAGTATTTCACACACAATGGGGGAAAAAATATCGGAAGAATGATGATATCGATTTGAAAATGCCCTTTTTGATTATCAAAGACAAATGTCGACAGGTAACCTCCCATAGTTCACACCTAAAGACGCCGCCGGGCTCGTCAACAAATTCACCGCCGCCGAAAAAGACATCAGACAGACGCTTGACGATCCGCTCGTAATTTTCTATAACCTAAGACATACACGCTGGTCAATATGATAACGTCGTCGTCATCACCAAGCAATCGAAAATAGAAATTAATGTTCCTATTACTCTCGCCACTCTTTCTCGTATCCCCCGCCCCCTCGTCCCTTTTACGAAGGTCGGCAAAAAGAGCCTTTTTTTCGTTTATGCTTCTTTTGGGTACCAGAGACCCGCTGACCTCGGCTTTGATCGTCGCTTGCATTGTCTCCACACTCAGCATTTTCGCCTCCGGATCCCGTGGCATACCTCATGGCATTGGTATTCTGCTGCGAACGACGTGCATTGCCCTGCTGGATTTGTTCTGCGACGCATTCGAAAAAAAAAATTTTTCTAACGTTTCAATCTTTCATAATGATCCTCCGTAACACTTCAAACAAATTAACGAATTCAAACAGTTAATCACGGAAAGGTCAAGAGGAAATCGTGAAACGCGACTTTCTTGCAGTCTAAGAAAAATTAAGAACTCAACATAGCACAGAAAACAATATACTGTATCAAGAAAGAAAGTGCAGAAAAGGGCATGCATAAAAAACGGTTAATGCCGAAAGAAAATATGTTGAAGGGAGCAAAATCAATATCCTAGTCTGAACAGAGCTTGCTTAAAGCAAGACTCAAACCTCATCTAAACGTTTGAGGCTTACTCTTATGAGACTTGCTCTTCTTCTTAGAACACTAGAAAGAAAAATCGTTTCCTTCGTTATCTGATATTTCTCATGTTGCTAGTCCAAGTGAAATATACAGTATTTTTTATAGAAAGAGCATTACACAACTCCCAGTTTCAAAACTTACCGTTGAGTTCGTGCTCCGTGATAAAAGCAACACCTCCGATTTCAGTCGCGTCGGTGTAAGCTGCGAACGTGCTTCCGCCGCAGTCATTATCTGGGAAGTGGAGGTCCTCTAGGTATGGAATCACAGTCATTGATTTGAACTCGTCGCCCTCCGAGCTCGGGACGCAAACGCACTCTTTGTGAACAGCTCCTTCTGACCGCGGGCGGCGCAAAACCCATCTGTACAACAAGGAAAAACTTCGTTCTGCTTTCCGATTCACTTCAAATTTCTACTCCTCGGTCAACTTTTACAGGTTCTTGAATTGAGTAACTATGAAGGATAACTAATTTTTACGGGCAGAAATTTAGCTAAAACGTCTCTCCAAGTTTAAGAATTTTTCAATGCTCTGAAACCTAGCTGGTTTCATCCACTCAAGTACTACAGAACCATCCCGAACAAGTCAATCTTTTCACTAACAAGAGATGCCAGTAATTTTTTTTCACACAAGGAAAACCATTGCGCAAGTATGAATTTCTACGGAAAATGTGACAAAAATCCATAAAATCTTAAACTGAAACACTTGAAAAAGGGGAAACAACAAGAATGAAAACAGTCGAAACAACAAATGGAACTTCCACATTATTTCGGGGCGTTAATAACCACTCACTCGTGTCGCTTGATCTCCGTAACTGACAGGCGAGTTTCGAAATTCTTGTTGAGCATCCCCGAAAGGAGATGACACAGCCATTCATCCAAATTGGCGGGCAATGCCAGCTCCTTTTCCGCAATGCTTTTATAAAGTTGGAACACATTGTCACCGTAATACGGATATTCCCCTGTGACGAGGTTGAACAGCGTCACACCGCTAGACCACACGTCCAGCTTGAACCCCGGAAACGCTTCAAGTCCTATGGCAACTTCCGGCGGCTGAAACGCAGGCGTGCCTTGGCTAACGCTGATGGTGTCATCAGGAGCGAACCTGTGGGAATTACGTGTGTCAACGACGGTACTACAGTATATAAAAGAGTAGAGATCTTTTCTTAAAAATAATGGCCAAAAATTTTGAGGGTGTGTCAGAGAATCAATTACGTTCTAGGTCCACGAGCGAACTGCTCGTTCACGATATTGGCCAAAAATATGCGGTCATTAAAATACTGCGATTCATGTGAAGTATCAGAGGATCATTTAAAATCTTCTTGCCTCCGAGGGTACGTTTGCAGTGTGATCTGAAGTGAAGTACAGAAAATAGACAATGCAAAACGAAGATACGAGAAAACACCCGCTTCTTTGCCGAATAATTAACATTATTATAATGGTCAATGAATATTGAGTACAAGTTGACTTTCACTCGAAAAAAAAAAATTCAAGCGAGCCTTAACACGGCTTTTGTCCAACGTAACGTCTTAAAAGCAAATACAATATTCTTCTTTAAAAGGGGGTGAATTTGTCACTTTCAACCAAAGCGCATCAAAATAGTTATCATTCGATAGGGACCTTTTTTTCTGTTTAAAAATTAAGGTCGTTTTCGGGACGATGGGACCTGGAAATCGCGAATAAATGGTTTACTATAGCATCACATGTCGCGATAATCACCTGTCCAAAACCTCCGCGACACCGAAGTCTGAAATCTTCAGCATTCCGTCTGTGGCGAGTAGGAGATTTCCCGGCTTAATATCTTTGTGCACGACACCACGACTATGCAAATACTCCAGACCATCCAAAAGCTCGCCGAAGTACCTGTAATTTGAAAAGTAATCTCGAAATGATCATCAACATGTGGAACACAATCGTCAGACCAACAGAGGGGGGTGTTAATATTTACATAAATACGGTAATTTTCAAGAATGAAGTTCATACTTTAAATTTCATGCAGTAGAATCTCGTTATAACGAATAATTATTGATTACAACAAAGTCGTATTTCAGGTCCCTTCACGATAGCCACAATGTTGAAAGAGTTTCGTTACAACGAAGTCTTCCTTGAAACGAAGCTATTTTACTGGCCACAAAGGTTTCGTTATGACGAGATTTTACTGTATCGGACTAAAAAAAAAAAATCTTCCTCACCCGTGCGCTTGCCACTGCGGCAACTTTTTCCCGGGCGCCTTTTCCAAAACGTCATGAAGCCCCACCACACAATACTCCATGATCATATACATTTTCTCCTTTTCCTCGTTGGCGAAAATGGCAAAGGAACGTATCACATTCGGATGGCGCAGCATTTTCAGCGCCTGTATTTCCCGCTGAGCATTGAACTCTCCGTTCGGGATCTTCCTGAGTTTCTTGGCCGCAAAAATTTTGACGGCTTTCCGCGTCAGGTTCCGGCAATCCAGGACTTCCTTCACCTTGCCGTAGCTGCCTTCGCCGAGCGTGTCGCCAACAACGTAAGCCCCGCCAATTATTTTGCAACGTTTCCTCCGAGCTTGGTAAATCACTTCCGAGGAGTCCAGTCGCGTGAAAATGGGGATCGTCGGATCGAAATCGTCGGTGTCGGCGTCGTCGCGCAAGTCAAAAATCGGGTGCGACGGGGCTTCGTCCCCCGATACTTCCTCCGCTTCTTCCATTCTCTCACCCAACGAGATCACGCAGAATCTGCAAGGAACAAAATGAAAAAAAATCAAGTTTCGAAACAGTAGCTCGTGTACACAAAAAAGGCGGGAAATACAGTATTGTGCGACAATACGGGCTAGTCGCCAAAATCCGAGAAAAATCGCTCGAACGAAAGCTTTCGTGCGGACGTTGAATTGAGCGGCCGTTTATAGCAGGAATGTACGAAAAAGAAAACCGTTCCCGAACACAAAATACCTCGCTGCAACTTTCAAGTAACCGGAAAATTACCAGTATAAAACAGCCTCGTATAATTCCACGGCGGATGTTCCTTCACTTGCGCGGAAATTTTAGGCATCACGCGGAATCATAAAAAATTATAAATGATTTTTTTTTAAATCAGGATAGTCTCAAACATCGACATAAGCATAGATTTTAGTTGTTAGAATCCGACTTTATTTATATTTCGCAACTATTAATACTTCCGCTAGGAATAACCGGGTAGAAACTCGCAATCTGTTCTAAAATACTGTACAGTATTTAATTGCTTAAATGTGACCTCGTCTTCATGGACCCGCAACAGAGCTGAACACGGACGTGCAACAGAAACGCGCGAGTTCACAAACAATTGAAGGTCCTTTCAAGTACAATACAGCTAGAACCATAGCTCAGTAACGAGCAAGATAATTTCTGCTTTGTATCATTCATGAATTGCACCCGTAGTGATCATCAAGATAACCTAGTCCAGAAAAGCTTGAACGACGGGTTGACCTAACCTCAACACGCTACATCATAAATTGACAATGGAACATTTTTCTGCCCAATAGAGAATTTTATGCTCGATATTTCAAGAACTACTTCTGAAACGCGAGGTCTTTTCTTCTTAACCTTTTGCCGATCCTAACACGAGCTTTGCAAAAACGCGCCATTTTGTGGAAAATGTTTACATGCCTCCTCACGATGAAAACGATTTTTGTGAGGCTGCGCAGAAAAACAATACAATTTTCCTCGTACAGCAGCAGCAAAAATGAAGGAACACGCACTAATCATCAAGGATTATACAGTGCGTTCACCAATCACCAACGTTCAATCCATTTAAAAATTAATGAAGAAAATTTGGAAGACCGTACAGTACTGCACGGAAGAAACCACTAAAATCCACATAAACTTCTCAAAATCCGAAACTTTCAGCAAACATCTTTCTCCAATATGACACAGCCACCCGATAGTGAAGAAATCAAATGTGATAAAGGAATGCAATAACTTCACGGATAAGCTCAAGATACCGTCAGTCATAATCAAGAATGTTTGCAACAGTTTTCGCTCAGCAAAACTCAACATTTCACAATACTGTATTGTATACTTAGCTCGTAAGCAACAAAGCTCCAAACAGGAAAACCTGTTAATTTGTTTTTCGAACTGAAGGAGTCATTATGGAAATAAACTCACAGGATGATTCACGTGCTATTGTACTAAATCCGCGAAAATATCAATATTTAGCGCAGTTGATCAACACTCGATCACGATATCTGCGTTGACGTTATTCGAAGCACTGAAGAAATATCGAAATAAATTCCAGAACAGAATCATCATAATCATCCCAACAAAGCAAGTATCAAGTGTCTTTCCAGGGATGAACACGCGAACGATGCACTAGAAATTGAGAGTAAATCCGTGATTTAAGATGAATAACATTGTCCGTAAAAAAAAAAAAAAAAACGGAAAGGAAAACGAAGCGAGATAATCGTTGAAAAAACTGTTTCTAACAACTTGTTTTAAAATAGTCAGTGAACCATTGTATTAACCACAAAGAAGACTAAACCATTTATTAAAACCTCGACGTAGCTTGGATAAAACGTCACTGTCACTTTTTTCAAACGGTTTCATATTTTAAAAGTAAACTACATACATCATTTCATCTTAATGTCGTGGATCACCGTATTCCACCACACGGGTAAAACGTCTTTGACACAACAAGTTAAACTTCACATCAACTTTCTCAAGCACCGAATAAATTATTGAAAAGAGGCACGTCTAATTCACGAAATCAACGTTTCAGATTGGCACGAACAAATTCCATTTTCTCAGAAAACCAAGCTTGCGAACAACCGAATCATTGCGAAAAATCTGAGAATTAGGGAGAAACTAAAAAGAAAAAAAAAAGATGCAAGGTTAATTTCACGAGGTCGAAAAGTATGAAACACCAATTTTACTTTCTTATCGTCTAAAACCAAATCATCAACTAACTGACTACGATCGCTCACATTCAGTCCGACTCGCCGAAGAAACTTTCACCCTGTTTTCCTGCGCAAACGTCGCGACGAAAGACGGCAGATTAATTTGATTTCATGTTTAGCAACGTGATTCGCGCCAATGTCGACAGTGCTCATGGCAGCGTTGTTGAGAGTGTGGATCCCGGTCGTGTTGGCGTTTTTGCTCATGGCATCCGCAGCGTGGCTCCTGTTTTTCCAACGCACGGATTTATCGCAAGGCCTCAACGAAAAACTCGGTGACTTCTCATTCCAAGTACAGTGAGACCCCAAGATGCGGACATAATTGGTGCATCCAGAATGTCCCCAAGTCGAGTCTCATTTTCCCTTAGACTTACATTATTTAATTTTTAATTGGTGTTTCATGAACAAAATACTCACCAGCATTCGATGAAAATAATTTCCTCCCAATTTAAACTGATTCCAATCAATTTATTTCAACACAATATGGGCATTGGGGGAATTGAATACTGATACCTCTGTACAGTACTTAAAAATGTTGGCATTCCCTGTAAAAATAATATTCAAGTAAAAAAGAGAAAAGGAAGTCCCTCTCTGCTGGAGGTAATTTTTTAGATCAGCTAAATGGATTGTAAATTGGTGAGAGAAATGCCCAAGAACTTTTCTTACATCAATTTTAGGGTTGGAAATATCTGTTTCTTGCAATTTCGCCTGAAATGTATTCGCAATTTTATAAAAAAAATGTCCCTATGTTGAGTCAGTGTCCTCATGTCGGGCCTTTTTTAATAATTTTTTTATGATAAATTAAGTGTCCCTATGCCGAATTGTCCACAGGTCGAGGTGTCCGCATGTGGGGGTCTCACTGTACTTTGTACATAGTGGAACGTAAGATTCTATAATGAAATGTGTTCAACAGTTTCGATGGCTATGCGAAAGCTGCCCTGGGAGAAAGTCGACAGCGAAAAGACCGAGCAATGCAGTTGAGTGTTCTAGAGAGAAACCATTAAGAGTCGACAACATCCACCAGAGAAGAATAAACAGCCTTTTCGCCATCTGAGCACTTTAAAATGATGACAGTGAAAAACATAACTTGACACCTAATCTAACGAAGCAAGAACTGGTTCGTAGATGTCGCAGGTCATCTACCCTAAAACGGGGGTTTTCCGACTGACATCAATTACAAGACGGGATAAATTTCATGTACCCTTTCTTGTTTTCCAGCTTTGACTAACTTCTCCGTTGTTTCATCAACTTGAGTAACGGACACAAGTTTCCTTCCTCTCCCTTTTGAACAACTAAATTCTTCCTTTTCATCGAAATCACACGAACAATCTCTCCCCAAATTGATTTTAATTTTTTATAAAAAAAAAGTTATTCAGAAATTGGCATCATACATTTCACTTCTGCATTATAAATCCGCGCATTACTCCAGAAGAAAGAACTATCAATGCATCAAAAAACGCCACTTCAATTGCTTACAGTTGCCTTATCTTCTAGATTTCTTGAAAATCCTCCTGAGAAGTATGCAGTATTTCTCAAATGGTATTCGTATGCAGAAAAGGTCTTTTGATTTCGAACGGTTATTTTAGCAACGCATTGAAGTACAGTACAGTGCATAGCACTACATTAACGGTACTATAAAATGAAGAGTCTAAAAATATTACTTATTGAAGTACAGTACTGTATATTTCGGCCGTATTGACCGGTATTTTATCTGTATATTTTATCGATATGGCTGTATTTTAGATATTTCGCGATTTCTGGATAGTTTTTCTCGGATAAATTCATCTACAGCAGAGGTTCTCTACCTGTACTTTGAGGAGCACTTGGAGCTTATAGGAGGTTTCTCGAATCCATCGAAATAAAAAAATACATTTTACATCCATTTCTATGAAAGAAATAGTGCCCTGAAAGATTATATGTGTATGTTTATTAGAACACACGATTATAGTCATAGATATACAGTATTAAGCTTCGACTTATTTATTTTTTTATTTTTTGCGAACGAAACCTAATAATTCTGCAGGCGAGCGACGTGCCTTGACACAGGAAGAGATTGTGAAAAGGGCCCTGTACGGGCTTCTCTATAAAAAAAAGCGTAGAATTACACTAAACTAAGAGCTGTTGCATTAAAAAGAAACCAAGTTGAAAATGTTAATAAAAAAACACAGCACGGTTTGTAACAAGCAGCTAGAATTTAAAACTATCCGAACAATTCCACGACAAAGAAATCATTCGAACTTTCGTTCTGAATAAATCTTTGACCATCTCCAGGAAAAAAAAAAAATCTAAACGGCGCTTCCATCAGCTCAAACTCTTAACCGATTCGGCCAAAACAGAGACAAAAGCAAATTTGAGAATCCCTTCCAATTTTACAGGCAAAATCAAAGACGAAGACCTGGACGGCTTCTTCACCAAGTTGTACTGGTACCAGTTCCACGGCGGCTTCCTACCACTGCTTGTTCGCGACGCCCTCGACCTACTCCGCTACAGCTTCCTCGTCGCCATAGCCTTGTTCATCATGAACTGTCTCGACCTCGACTGCCTGTCCCCGTACTTGGACATTAAACGAGGGGCGGCCAATTGGCTCCGGAAACGGCCGACGATTTCATCCGCCTTGCTGACACCGCGGGCCTGCCTCGAACAAGTGGCGGAGAGTGGCGGCAGTGCGGCGTGTTTAGCGGCGGCGTTCATTTACTTTTGCTTCTTGGTCCTCCGCGCGTGTTACCACTTCGCACTCGGCTGGGAGTTGCGGGAATATTACAGAGATACTCTGGGAATAATTGATGTAAGCTCAAAACCCAATTTTTTTTTGTTCCACAGTTAAAATCCAGCGAAGGAAGCAATCCGGTTTTGGGGAGATTTTCATGTTTCCTCATATGCCAACAGATTTAGATTCTCTTTGGCACTCACGTAGATAATGAGAGATATTTCTTTGACAAACAAATTTATTTCCAAAATTTTGCCTTGCACTCCATCCTGGCCGAAATGGACAGATCTTGTGTTGAGAAAAAGTTGTTTTTGCTTTCGAGTAAAATCATCTTTCTTTTTCTTCGTTCAATCTGGAGAAGTAGACATCGGTTCAAGAAATGAAAAGGTAAAGATCTGTCTCAATCATTTGCCGAATAAATATGCGCAGAAAAGTTCCAGCGGAAACATGATTTTGACATTCTGGAGTAATTCAAAAAAGTTTATAATAATTAAAATAAACTTAGACTGCAAAGATTTCTCACGAAAATCGCGACGAATCTTTCTACACGTTTTCGGCACCCAACCAAAAGCCCCCCCTCCCCCTTCACCTGGCCAAAATCCCCCTTACAAAAATATGGATGAGAGTTTCATAACCCAAATGAAATTCCCATTCATGAAACTCTCAGGCAAAATCGGGATTCGACATTCATTCCAAGGGGACCAAACGTAAAATAAAAAAAATTCAAAGATAATTCCACCAGAAATGCGAGGGGTTCTGCGTAAGTTTGGTCTTTGCAATTAGCCTTCTAACGCAAAATGGATTTCTAATTTTCCTCATGTTCGTTTCGGGCGATAGTTTTCTTGATGGTCCCATCCAATCCTGACATTTACGAAAACAAGGCAAACTTATTTTGTTTTTGAATTTTTGAATTTTTCCAGTTACGGTATATCCTTAATTTTACCTCAATTGATCTTGAGCTAGAACCAACTGAATGATTTCCCACACGTTACTACGAGAAATCAAGTCTTGGACAATGAATGCCTTCAGGAGTTAACTGGTCACGGAAACATGTTCTCAAGGACCCACAGTGGGGCGCATCACTCCATTCAATTAATATTTCCTCTTATCGTATTACCATTGAAATGGGGAAGTCTTCGGAAAGTGCAGAGTGATAAACAAGATACTCGTGCTATTGTTTTTTAAAATTATTATTTCTGCATTAAATAAAAGAACAGTAATGAACATTTTTTACACAACGAAAGCGATGACGTCAGAGAAACAGACTGGGCAGAGGAAAAAAAAAAGAAAAGAAAAAATGAACCTAGCACTGCACTGTAGTACATCTTCGCCTTCAGCATTTTACCCCATTTGATCGACCTTGAAACTCATCAGACGACTCTCGGCTTTATTTATATATTTTTTTAGGAAGATCTGGATTTACTGGAATGGAGGGACGTGGTGGAGCGGGTTCAAGCCGCGGCGGCACACGGCCGCCTCTGCTTCACTCGCTCCATGCTTTTGACGGAATTGGACATGTGCAACGTGATCCAGCGTCGATCCAATCTCCTGCTGAGCCTCGTGGATGCGTCCGTTCTCGAAACTGTATTCCACGTCCCACTGCTCGGCACTTACATGTACATGACTCATGTTTTGTGGATCAACTTGGAGCTGCTATTTTTCGGTAACGGCTTTCGGGAAAAGGACGATTTTTAAATACTGTAGGCCAGGGGATAACTATACAGTGAGTCCCCGCACGACGGAAAATTCGCTGAGCGATACTTTTTTTTACGGGGAAAAGTTGACTCACATCATGACATTTTTTCACTCGACAAACATTTTCAGCACAGAAATGATCGAATTCGACAAGTTTTCAAATGCAACTTCCAAATTTTATAAAAAATTGAGCCAAACAAGGAAAGAAAGAAAAAATTCTTGCCTCTCGTGCCTTCAAAATTTGTGGAATTCAGAAAGGGCAGAGCACAAACTCATCAGTATTACCTTAGTTTTACTTCATACTGATACATTTCCGCTGAAAACTTGGAAAAATACAGTTCTGATGGTTAATTTTGCCTTGTTGGTGTCTCGAAGAAAATAAACACGGTAATATAATACACAACCTCAAGGAAAATCGCGTTCCGCATTACGAACATTCCGCACAAAGAAACCTACCCAGGAACGAATTAGTTTTTATGAAATATAATCCACTACATTATATGTCATACTTCAAAAGAAGAAGAAAAAAAACACTACCTGTGTTACATACAGTACATGTAAATTACGCTCTATTTAAATAATGCGTAATGAAATAGACACTTGGTACTACGGAAAAGAGAATAATATAATGTATAATCGCAATACACCAATAATTTATCGGTCAAGACATACGAATTGAGTCGTGGTTTGAAATTCAAACGGAAATTTTTTTTATGAAGACAAGCGGAGTCCAGTGTTCTGTGAAAAGATCCACTGGCTTTACCAGTATTTAGTATGAAAGTTTATTCTAAAATGCAACATTAGGCAGAGCTTCGAAACCTCTGATGACTACAGCATTATCTTCATCATTTCATTTCTCGCTTCGTTATAAGGAAGCTATTTTACTAGTCCCAATGGCTTTTGGTACAGCGATATTTTACTGCATTTTCATAGCGATAACATCCGAAGATTCATTCCTCAATGAATAATGTATCCATTCTCTCTCCTAGTTGCGTGTTATTTTTTTCTTTTAAATTGGCCATCAACATTATAAACGAGGCTTCCAATATTAGAAACCCAAAACAATTTTTTTTTCTTCAACGATCCAGTAATTGACACACAAACCAACACTCGAAAAGCTTAAGACATTTCCTCTGCGACCCCGACCGGAACTTTTTCCGCAGATTTCCCCTTCTCCCCCTGGTGGCGCCACTCCCCGTTCCTGCGCGGCCGCCACTTGCAGCGCCCCTTTCGCGATTCGCGACAACGAGCAAAGGCCGTGCGGTGGCTCAAGCGCCGCATCCTCTGCTTCGTGGCGGCCAATCTTCTCCTGGCGCCACTGCTACTCCTCTATCGCGTCTGGGACACCATTTGTGGATGGCTAGAGACCATGAAACGGAACCCCGGGGACATGGCGTCGCGGAACTGGTCCGTGTTTGCAAACAGACTGCACCTCCGACACTTGAACGAGCTCGACCACGAGATCAATTACCGACTCAACTCGGCCTGTGAACCGGCTACGATGTATATGCAGTGCTTTGACAGCCGATCGCTGTCCGTGCAGTTCATCCAGTGAGAAAATACTAGTCTTATTTTTTCCCCTCGGTCAAATACACGGTGTTGAGAAAACCACGGACCGAATTTCAAATCACAATAAAAAAACTAAGGCACAGCGTTCAAAATTTTAATTTTAGACTCTTAAAGGAATTATTTCTAGTTTTTTCCGAATTGAGAATCGCGTTGTTCTCTGAAAATACAGTAGTTCTTGCTTTTAGATACTGTACTAGTTACCAAAGTAGGAATACAATATTGACGAACGCAGATAAAATCAACAAGGAAAAGATGAGTTAGAGTTAAAAAAAAAAACGATAAACTCATTTTTTCAGATCAGGAATTTCTGACGGCTATGCTTAACTTTTCATGTAAAATGAAACGGATTTTCTAATTCAGAAGTGGCCTTACGTTTTTGAAGATTGAATTTTCAACGAATATGGCCAATGACAGAAGAAAATGAACTATTGCATCGGATTGATCGATAGTAAAAACGACTGACCAACATTTGATACAAATTTGCCTTGTATTCGAAGTTTATTCGGCCTCATCAGCAAAAATCAATCAGTTCTTCATTCAATTTGAATTTCCACCGAAAAAATGCCATTTATTTCCAACCTTACTCTTTCGGTAGAAATTGGCGTGCCTATTCAATGTGAATTTCGTGCAGACGTGAACGGATATGCCAAGCCAACGACACGAAGAAACGTTTGGTGTTCTCGAATGTGCGAAATATGAATTGTTTTAATCTTTTAAACTTTACAGACATATTACAATACAGTACTAGAATTTTTTCACAGTGGGGTTTTTTGAACACAGCCATTTTATTATGCTTCGCATTTGTAAAATACTCCAGTTCAAACAAAGTACTGCACTGTACTCAGTATCAGTCTTGGAGTCTAAGATATGTCATAGCTGTTGACTACTGATTGAACGTTATAAATTTCAACTAAATTCACCATATAGTCCATTCAAATCAAGAGGTTGCATACATCATGGGATAACAGTACCGTATTTGCCTCTTCACAAATTCCAACGAGAGACTACTGAAAACTGCGGAAGTTAAAAAAAATATTGTCATTGAAAATATGGATCTGATAAAAAGTTGACACAGGTTCAACTGGTTCAGAAGAATTCGAACGATGATAGATTTTTCCCAGAAAATCCTCTCTCCATTCGGCCTTTGAAACTGAAAAAAATAATCCTATCTTCATTCCTTTTCTTTCCCACATTTTTGGCGAGATAATGCTGATGCATCAAAGTTGCTTCATACGGAGACCGTAGAAGAAAATATTTTCGCATGCGTCTGAGACGTCTGATGACGTCTGAGAGTCAAGAGGACGTCATTCATTTTTTGATCGGAGACGGAGATCTGATAGAAATCCGGGCGTCCTTTACAAAAAAGAGAAACGAATCTAAACTGTTTCGAAATATCGCAATGAATTTCGGGATTCTTGAAAAAAAGATACTGTACTCCGATGTATACTAAAGTTGAAAAATCTGAAATACGAAAGGTTAACACACATAACTAAACAAGTTTCAAGAAATAAATCCATTTAACGAAATTGTTCATTGACGAGAAAAAATGACGCTTTGGCAGGGGGATCAAAAATTCTTGACGCATTTTTTTACTGAAATGTAGCATAAAAAAACTAATAATTCGTCATGACGAGATTCGTCGTAATAATACAGGTATTTCACTGCCTCGCATTACCTTATTTACTGGAGTACCATGACCCCTCAAGTAAGGCGTGCAACCCATTTGATAAACTTTGGATAAAACCCTACGCCCTAGTAAAACGAGCATCCCATTTTTCGTAACCGAAAAGCTTCGAACTTGAAAAATATAAAGCACTTCAGAATTTAAATTTTGACCTTGAACTGGACCCGAATATAATTGATTCAATTTTTTTTCGCATAAAAGGTTATTTTTCTTAATATTGGTCATAATTTCCTATTAGAATCCAGTATGATGCGCACCTGAGCTTTTGAAATCCCACAGAACGAGTTCGGTTCATATCAACGCAGTACAAATTTTCCCCCTCAAATCAAAGTTCAGCACACATAAAACAACAAAAACCCGACGGTATCGAATCTCCGCACCCCTCGCCAGTTCAACTCTCCCCAAATACCGTATTCCGTTTATTCTCACACACAGGATGATAGCTTATTTGATGACAAGCGTGCTGGGAGTGTTGATCCTACTTGTGCTCTACGACGAGTCGCTTCTCGTCAGCACCAGGGGGCTGGTAACACTCATGAGCGTCAGCGGCACTGCACTGGCACTCCTCCGTGGACTCGTGGCGCCAGAGAAGGCCGTCAAGGCGCCTAAACGTTACATGCGATCCGCCATGTTTTATATACACTACGCGCCGCTGATCTCCGCGTTGAAAGCTCCTACGGCCCGATCAGTGCGCAAAAACTTCGCCAGACTCTACGAGACCCAGTGGGTACGAAAAACAAAATCTAATCCATGCCCAGACGGCACCGTAATCTAGCCAATTTTCTTTCGAATTCACATCGATTGATAGATGAAAAGAAAAACCCAACTTCCCTGTTGCCCTAAAATGATAGAAACTAGCGTTTTTTTTTAATGCACCTTGGAAACTCCTTTCTGATGGCTATAAAATATGCAACGATAATAAATTATTCTACGATCGTGAAAGATTCTTCTCAAAACGTCGCGAAATTTCGCGAAGGAGGGCGAGTTTCAGAAAATCCAAGTGAAGATTATTTTAAAATCGACTTTATTGATGAACCACGCAAAACGCGGTTGCACTTTTCTTCGCGAATTACGGTATCCATTTAAAAAATAATCTCCAAAAATATTCATATTTTCCGGCCACGAAAGACGATGATCCTACGATGGAATTTGTCATCATGTCTAGAAAATGTCTACTGTATCATACCGTATTCTACAATCTAAGCAAAGTGTTGAATTTTTCAAATTTTCCTCGCGAAAACGATTGTTTGAATCATGTGAGTAAATCGTTACTTGATTCAGCCATCTCGGCTGAAGTGATGAAGAAGCATTGGCACTTTTAGCTGTTTTTACATCAACAGCTAATACTGTATCTGATAATTATAATATAAAATACTTCAGGCTGATAAATCAAGTCAAACCTAGCCTTGATCAACAAACACGAGCACAGTTACAAGCATTCAATTTATTTTCAGTCGTTTCATAAGACGGATTCAAGTGAATTAGCTTAAAAACCACAGCCGATAATCGGAATTCAACCTGAAATTCCAGGGAACGAGCAGAGGAAGAACGCTTAATTGCATATTTTAATCCTTTGATACTTCAATCATCTCAATTTTGAATTTTGAAAGGGGAAACTGAAGTTTTTTTCTTTTTCCCGTCAATTAAGACAAGCCAGAAGAAAAAAGGGTGACCGGATATGGTCGATCTCGAAGCATTACATGAGCCATTATTTAATCTGCCAGATAGTTTAAAATTGCTTAGAAACTACATTTCATCTAGACTCGTCTTGAAGAGAATCACGATTCCCAACAGGCAACAATTCTTACACGACTCCTGGCACCAATACTGAACCCAGCCTTCCTCGCATTCGAAGTCTACCCTAGAGCCGAACTCATAGTGGACTTTTTGGCTAAGCATACGGTAAAACGACCAGGGATAGGAGACGTATGTACGGCAGCATTGTTTGATCTGAAGTATCACGGCAGTCCTATGTGGTGGCCAAAAACATTTTTCACGGAAGGAAACAGCGACGATGCGACTAACTGGCCCCCACGAGTTGAATTGTCTTTATTGAGATTCGCAGCGTGGAATCAGAACTGGAGACCTCGACAAGGTTCCGTTCAAGCAAGATTTCTCCAAGCTGTTCAACGCGAATTTCTCGGCGAAGACAACGACAAGCAGCAGCAAACAGAAGAATCCGAATCGGTTTTGCCCACGTCGCAGAAAGGGGTATTCAAAGGTCATTTATTACAAGAATTAAAATTGAGAATTTTTTCCCGACTAATAAACAAAACACACAATACTGTAATGCAATCTTACGACACTTTCTCGCACTCAAAAAATTCCAGCACAGGATTACCACGTACATCAGGAGTCATTGATTCCAAGAAGCATCCTAATTTCTCAGATTCTTAGATCGAAGTTTGCTGGCAAAACGTAGTTCAAAAACACTCGCTCGCTTACGAATTACGATATTTCAAATTCCAGTTTAAAAAAAAACTGAAAAGGAATTCTTTCGTGAAGTGAATACATGCACTGTACTACATTATTCAAAGGATTCCTTTTCAATTTTTTTGTAGAAATAAACCTTCCAAATACAGATTATCATTTCATTATTTATGAAACGAACATAAAATTATTACTTTTATCATTCTTCTAAGTTCATACTTCAACTTCCTCAGAAGCAGTAGACAGAAATTAAATGACTTAATGAGATACATTTTCAACCTTTACCATACGGGCGCTTTTTTAAACGCCCAAAAGATCTCGAATACGAGAGTACGAGACACCGATTCCAATTCTTTTTTTTTTTCATTTTTCGAGCGTAAACATTGGAAAAAATGCAGCTTAAATTCACGTGAATACGATCAAGTCCATGTGAGGATCTGACGATACGGAAGCTCACAGTCGATACTTCTTCAAACATTTCTCGGATATCGAGAATTGAAAGAAAACTTTGCGCTAAAGAATTCACCGCGAATACATTGGAAGAAATCGGCGAATTTAAGGAAGATACATTTTATACTCGCAGAGCCCACTACGGAAAAAGTCCAACACATGAACATGAAAAGCATTTGTGATGGTCAACTGGAAAAACTATGCTCGAATCATCATGGTCATAAAGGGTGCTTTCTTGTTCGCGACGATGACACAGTCGACGAAGGGCATGCATACCTTGCCGAGGTTATGAACGAACCAACGAAAGCTGCTCGAAAGAAGAAGCCAGAGGAAGAAAAGCGTTTTCTAAGCGAAGAAAACCTTGGAGATGTCATTCTTTTTTTGTACGACGTGTATTGGCATAATCTTCATGAGCAACAAAGGCGTCTCCGAGTAAGCGGAAAGTTTGTTCTACTTTAGAAAAAAAAATTTTCATAGTTTTCTCAATCATTATGCTAGCGCGAGGGCGAAAGTAGCGAGACTATATCGGAAAGTAACAGCAGCAGTTCCTTGATACATGGCCATGAAACGCGAGGAGATACCCGTTTCCCAGCACGAAGAACTGACATAGATCTAGACATACACACCACTCAACGGCGACCACCGGCGGTGCCGCTTACGGAAGCTTTGGAGAACAACTGACGATTCCCATGAAACAACAAAATGATGACTTTTTGCACAATTTGTATACTTCTAGCGTGATCGAACACCTTATCAATTTAACGATTGCTTCAAAAATCTCGCGCTCCTTTTAGGATTCCGAATGCAAACTTGTGAAAAAAAATTCACTCACCGTTCCGGAAGCTCAAGAAGGTTCTCCTACATGAGGGGAGTGGTATTGCCCTCCAGCTCATAACAGCTTCACTTCTTACACAATCGCTACATCTACCAGCGCGCGATGATCAATTCCGTTCCTCTTCTCGGAAGCCATGACATTGTTATCATGCTTCTTTATCATTTTACGAACTGCGGAAATAAAATACCAGGTGAGTGTGGCGCGAAAATGTCCACGGATTCATCTCGCCACAGAAGCACGCCTCCTTTCTCGAGGACCGCATTTACACGGTTGACTTACGTGCAATTCCCTGGGCATCAACGAAGAAGTTAATCTACACAATCACGACGAACACATCTGATCACACTCCCAAACGCACGGAACTTCGTCGCCAATAAATCTGCTTTCGCAATTTATATCGCTTCAGATTTGATGCGGCTGCGCCACATGACACGCTGCGCACCGTTACACAACAGTGGCTTGCTTTTAACCATAAATGAAAGATATGCTCATATAATCCCAATAAAATTATTTATTCGACAGAAATGAGTACATGCAGTACTAAGCAAGGTTTTGAATTCGAAGAGGTAAATATTAAGTCTTGTAGTTCAATTCTGAATCCAGGCAGAGAATGGGAACGCTTTTTTTCTTACATGCAACAGTGTGGTTATCCGTGTCAACCGGCGAATCGACGACGGGAAGGTTAGGGCTGGGTGACCGCGACAGCCAGAATGTGTTCGAATTGCCGAGTTGTATGCTTTATTTCTAAGGTGGAAACGCGTGACACAGCCGATCACATCGCTTCGGCAGGCTTCGGATTGCCGTGGACGAATCGATGGATGGGATTTTCCGTGTCGGAGTGGCTACCCTGGTCTGCCTTGCAGGGATCAGGGTGTTAGGAGAAGGGCCGTGTATTCCTCCGAAATTACCGCAAGATCGTTTTTGCAAGAAAAGGTTTTGAAAATTGGGGCGCCGAACGAGAATCGAGCACCCCGGCCTTTGCGTCCCTGGCAGTGATTTAGTGTTAACTCCAGTGTAGTTTAAAGTCTGTCCCTGCATGCCATGGAACGAAAATGTCATGGAAGTAATCGTGGCGTTATCGTCGGGGTATAATACCGTGCGCAAGACGAGAGTTTCCGTGTTTTTCAGTTCGGAAGTGTGTGCCCGGTTTTTTCGAAGTCGTTCGAATAGATTACTCCTGCGTCCAACGAGAAATTGCCCTGTATTCCAATAACCACAATTGTATATCATTCAGTTCGCAGGTTGATAAATATGGCAGATTGGACAGCGCATGCCGAAGTGTCCGACGTGAAACGAAAGAAGAAGAAATCATCGCAAGATGTTTCTGGTGAACATGTTTTGAAACCGTCTAATGTCACCGGTAGTGTCCGCGGAAGCAAATGGCCAATTCTATTGAAGGTATAGTGCATGTTAATTATTATCTAGATGCATGGTGAACTAATTTCCCCTGGGCTTTTTCTCGCCAGAATATGGACAAAATGAATGTTAGAACCAATCATTTCACCCCACTCGTGGAAGGTTGTTCTCCGTGGGATCGTGCAATATCTGAATATGTTCAAACAGGGTTCATCAACTTGGACAAACCGTCGAATCCAAGTTCGCACGAAGTCGTGGCGTGGATTAAGCGAATTCTGAAAGTTGAAAAAACCGGGCATTCTGGAACTTTGGATCCTAAGGTTTCAATTGACTCTCATGGACCATTTTTGTTTTGCATATCTTGATGTGTGCTGTAATTTTTTTTAAGGTGACGGGATGTTTGATCGTTTGCATTGACAAAGCGACCAAGTTGGTAAAATCTCAACAAGGATTGGGCAAAGAATACATCTGCGTGTTCAAACTCCATGGGCATGCAAGTGAGAAAGACGTCCTCAGGACTTTGGAAAAGCTGGAAGGGGCCCAGTATCAAAGACCACCAGTTGTTTCCGCTGTCAAGCGTCAACTTCGAGTTCGTACAATTTACGAGAATAGACTCCTTGAGTACGACGCAAAACGAAATGTTGGTGAGTGCCCCTTTTCTCTTCGCTTTGTTTTATGTTAATTGACGCAAGTAAAGTATGAATTGCAAAATTTTATGGGGTGCATAACGTTCTTATTTCACAGGCATATTTCGTGTGAAGTGCGAAGCCGGCACGTACGTCCGAACAATCTGTGTATGTTTGGGTCTCATGCTTGGGGTTGGTGGTCAAATGCAGGAGCTTCGTCGTTCGAAGTCTGGTGTGCAGACGGAAGAGGAAGATATGGTTACCATGCACGAACTCAAAGATGCACAGTGGTTGTACGAGAATCACGGAATCGAATCTGAGCTTCGTCGCTGCATTCGTCCTCTTGAAGCTCTTCTGACGCAATACAAGCGCATCATTGTGAAAGATTCTGCAGTAAGTGATCAAATCCATCCGTAAATGTTCATACTGCATTGAACTGATTCTCCGTGGTTTAGGCGAAAACAATTTAGAAAATCGGCTCATTCTTTTTGAAAGTGCGTCCACAGGGCCTATTTCCTAATTTTTTTATTAAACAACGCATGTCAACGGTACTGTAAGAAATTTGGTACCACGTCAATTTTTTCAGTCTTGTTTCGAACTTCCGATGCTTGAATAATCCATTTAATTAATATATGTGTTCAGTTAAGTTACGTTATTTAGGCATTTTATTATGCTATTTGAGTATGGCATAATGTTTCTAAAACTGATCATATTCGATTGGCTCAAGTTTCTATAGTTTAATGATAGGGAAGGTTGCTTAGAAGCTTAGATCACCATCGTTGCAACGGATAGGTGTCAACGATGATCATAATTAGCCAGAGGCAGTTTTAACGAGGATTTACGAAAATCTTTAACCCAGTGATTTGCTGTGTTTTGTCTGAATCTCCATCCTCTCTCGTGTCAAGGTGAACGCCATTTGTTACGGTGCGAAGTTGTTACTTCCGGGAGTTCTCAGGTACGATGACGGAATTGAGATGAACTCCATAATTGTTATCGTCACGACCAAAGGCGAAGCTATCGCACTTGGTAAGGAATGCTGTTGAATTTTCCCGAGGAATATATTTTTAAGTAAATGATTTTTTATTCAGGAATCGCTGTTATGACGACCAGCACAATGTCAACTTGTGATCACGGGGTTGTTGCCAAGATGAAGCGCGTCATCATGGATCGTGACAAGTACCCGCGCAAATGGAAGCTTGGACCGGTTGCGCGTAAGAAGTTGGCGATGATAAAAGATGGGCTGTTGGACAAATACGGCAAAGCTAACGAAAAAACTCCTGCATCTTGGGCTAAAGATTACTCGGAAACTTTGTAAGTTTCTTTATAAATTTGTGAAAGAGGATTTTAGTGATGCCGGTGGTAATTACAGGAAGCAAGAAGCTGCTGAAGATGATGCTCCAGTTGCAAAGGTTCGTGTCTCTAGTTACCGTATAACTTCGAATTTTTATATCGTGTCATAACTTCGCATGTTCCATGATTTTATTTTTGCTTCCTGATCTACGAGTGTCTATTTGCAAGTTATTGAGCTTGATTTAAGATTGATCGGGTTAAAGCAATCGTGTCTATATTGGGTCTAGATTCAAGTTTTACCAGCATGACTTTAAAAATGTAAACAATCGGGTGTTGAAAAAATAGTAAAATTTGAAGTTTTACTTCATTTTTTAATGCTTCATGGGTATTCGACTGCTTTGTCCATTTTCAGCGCAAGTTGCCGGGGAGCCCTTCGGCTGCGATTCAGGGTTCGAAGAAAAAAGCGAAGCCCTCGGTCGATGAGAGCTTCGTCAAAGAAGAAGCTGTCAAAGATGAACCTGTTGAAACTCCGCCGAAATCCGAGAAGAAGAAAAAAAAGAAGTCTCAGGTGCCTCAGGTAGAAGAAGAAGACGTTGCCGAAGAACAGGTTGTTTCTTCGGAGAAGAAAAAAAAGAAGAAAAAAAGTGTGTCCGCGGACGAATGAGCGTCGTCTATCCTTTTTTTTACGCTTTTGCTTGGTTTGCGGCACTCTTTTTTTTTCTGTTTCGGAGCCGAAAGAAAGGCGACATTATGTGGAGCTTGGTGTTTCATTGAAGTCCGATCGTTAGGCTTCGCAAGAATTTTTTGTGTGATTAATTTGAGAGTTGGGAGAAAGGTAATGATTTTCGTGAAGTACAGTACTTCTGAAAAAGGAGAAAAATATTTCTTCGTTACTCTTCATGCGTATGGACAAAAATATCCCCAATAACTTCAAATTGGAAGACCGGTGATTTTTTTTCATTAACGCGTATACGTGTAGAAATGCCGTTAACGAAGCCCAGCGATATGACCTCAAGCATATTGATGCTAGGATCTGCAACATTTGACGAACATCATACATGGTATCTTCTCTTCATCAAATTATGACAGTGGTCGCAGAATGGATGTTAGTGAAGATGAAGAGATTCTTCGTGATTTCCGCCCTCCTTCCTCGCGTGGAAGCTCGGTTTCGTCTTCCGTACGCGAAAAGACACACGCGATGAGGACTAGGTCAGACGGTGCTGCGGAATCCAGTAACGGAATCGGAACGCCAAGTGGATCGTGAGTACCCGTTTCCATGACAGATTATCTCGAAATCTCTGAAAGCAACAAAATCAATTATCTTGTTTCTAAAATCAACAATGTATGATTGTTTATTTCGGTAATTTTAAAAATCTTGAAATGCACTCGGTTCGTTCATGCGCATGTGCGTACGCTGTGCAATACATTTGCAACCTTTTTCAAAATTTGATTAGTTCGTTTCATTTTCGTCATTTCTGGAAGCCGAATGCCGTATTTACAATACAGTACTGTATTTGTTTACTGCATTTATTTTTGTCATGATGTCTATCTGTCTTTTTTTTTCAGGCGCTTATCGAAGTATAGGGTTTCGAAACGTGAATCGACCATGGAAATTCGAACCGTGAGAGCTTTCGTCATAGATTCGTGAATATTTCAATTTCGTTTCAATGCGTGTTGATTTACGTATATCTTTTATTTTTTACACGTCGTCGAAGATCGATGAGCAGCTGGAATACGGTTCCGATGACAATGCGTCCGATAATTCCGTGGTCTGTTTGACGGGAAGGAGCAGTTCCATATTTTCGAGGGTGCGTAACGTGATGTCTCGGGGGAGGAGAACCGAAGCGCCCAGGGAAGCAATTGTTACTGCAAGAACCTTGGATTTGGTGAATGCTGTGCCGAAATCAAACGGTAGCCGCGTGTCCACCAACAGTGCTCGAGATGGTGAGATTTATGCTGCTTCTTTGTCCACTTATTTCGTTCCAGCTTTCGTAATTTCCACATGAACGTCGATCCTTTACGATTACGGGGTTTTCTTTTTTATTTCATAGATTTCTCTTCAATAATGTTCAATTTGGTTATGAATATGTGACCGATATATTTTCGGATATTTTCTTTTAAAACATCTTCGACTTGGGTTAGGTCACGATTGGATTAAACGAAATGAGGAGGTGATTTATTCATTTTACATCTGCCAAACATTCTAGGGAGTCAGCTAGATACTCGTGAACGGAACAGGAAATTGTTGCATGATCATTGTGTGATGCATAAAGAACATTTTTTCATATTGGTATAACTGCCCTCTCCTCTTCCATTACAATTTCAGCTATTGATGAGCTTTACAGTATTCTGGATTACATCGATGAAATGCCGCTGGACTTCTATTGGTTTAATTGATATTTAAATTATAGCAGACGTGTGGTGGTTTAGGTTATGTAACCTCGAGGCAGCTGTAACAATTGAATAAACACATTTCACCTGCAAAATTCGTCTCACAATTCTTCTGAAATAGATACGGAAAATAGCTTTTCGCGGACGAGTTCGTCCAGAACTTCCGCGAATTCGGAAAATGATGTGCTGAATATGACTTTCGTCGCTTATGATGAGAGTGATGAGTCCACGAGACAAGTTGGTGAGTTTATACTGCTTTGTTTATCGAGTACCGCTCAGTAAATATAAGTTGTATCGACTTTTTTTCGCAGGTGTGATTGAGTCTCTTTGGCATAATCTTTTAATACGACCGAATCGGCAAGTTTTGCATCTCGGACGGGTGTATCAAAGTTGGACGTGGAAAAAACATTTGATTACGCTTCTGCTGATCTTAGCTTCTTTCCTGGCTCTTCGTGAGTTTTCTAAAATAGAAGTACTATATTCATTTATTTTCAAATTAAACTGCGGAATTTCAACTTTCTATCTCATTTGATAGAATAAGTGGATTTTAGTCTGATGCAAAATCGGTTTCTTAACAGTTATTCAAGCTCAGCGAGGGAGTGAACAATTTTGTGGGAATCGAATTCAACTTCCTGTGGCATTTCATGATTCTACCGAATTTCATGGTCGCCCATATTCGGTGGAGTTTTTCAAGAAATTAGTCGATGTCGCTGATTCGGTTACGTCGCAGGTAATGTTGCTGGTGATATTCTTCAAACTTTTGCTGATTTTTTTTTTTCATCCCTTGAATTGCAGATCTCCGGTGCCTTCCACTTCTTGACCAATACAACAGAAAATGGGGTCGTGCACAACACCGAAACAAGTGTTGACCCTATTCCGTCCGCAGGATTCGAACAGGTGAACTTTTCTGAAATGCTAAAAGAACTTCGAGTCGTAATTTCAAAGATTTAGTTTTGTTTTGCTGAAGAGAATGCAAATACTGTGTCCGATGGTTAGCTTCCGCAGTTTTGTTTTTCCACTTGATAAGCTACGTTGCATAAATAAGCCGTCGACGTTTCTTGGCCATTTTCATTTCAACGAGAAAATTTTTTTTTCAAGTTACAATCCAATGAGGAAGTTTGCAAATCTGAACTTGATTTTCTATTACAGTTATCAATTTTAGTGTGTAACTTCGGGCATGAATAATTTACAAAAATGTGACTCTTCTCAAGTTTTGTCTGGTTCTGGGTTCCTTGTCTGTTGGAAAATGTAAATGTGGACGGATATATCTCGTTTTTCCTTTTTGAAATTAACGGTTCTAGCCTCTGGCTATACAGTAATTATAATCAATATTGATGCTCTTTCGCATGAGTTTCAACCTACATCATAGAGACCAAGAACTGCTGAGTTTTTTTGCAACATGGAAAGCCTTGAAACATTGTACAGTACCATATAAAAAGACGATATTTTTTTATTTTCAGAAAGCCGGCGAATCGCCGGGCAGCTTTGTTGCAACTTCACAGTGCCAGTACGACCAGGAACGAGAAATGGAATTGAAAATAGTTAAGGAAAAACTGAGCGAAATCGATGGCATCAAAGAGACTGTCGACCGTCTGGCATCTGAGTTGGCTTCTTGCAAACAAGCCCCAGTCATTCAACCTGTGCAGAAGGCGATTATTCAACCCCCAGTTCAGCAGTGTCCTGAATGTGACTGTAAATGCGATTGCAGTCAGTCTGGAGCGTTTCTCGCGTTGAGCAAACAGGTTGAGACGCTTCGCACACAAAGCTGCGGCTCGGGCTGTGCGAAGATGATGGACGAGAAAATACTGTTGTACGATGCTGATAAGACCGGGATGACGGATTATGCGTTGGAAAGTGGAGGAGGTTCCATTGTTGGCACGTCGTGTACGACCACTTACTGGCGTGGTTCACGAACCATGTCCTTCTGGGGATTCAAGTGGAGAGTGGCCACTAATCCGAGGAGTACCATTCAGGATTCTAGAATGCCCGGTGAATGTTGGGCTTTCGAGGGTCAAGTGGGCTACCTGATCATCAGATTGTCCGTCGAAATCCGAATCTCTGGGTTCACCATGGAACACATTCCTGATCGGATATCTCACGCTGGCGAGGTTACTAGTGCACCCAAAAATTTCACTGTTTACGTGAGTCTCCCAAATTTGTAAATGAGTCTGGTTAATTTCGAAGGAAATGCTACTTCAAATCGTCGTATTCATAGGACTAGCCCCAGAAGTCCGTGGCCCCCTTTTAAAGTGTAACCATTTTCGATTAATATTTTCAAGTTTGGTGGAAGGTAACCCAATTTTTAAACTATGTACAGTACAGCTATTTTTTCCTCATGATCAACTTCCTAGTTGACAATGAGGACATGCAGTAATGTAGCTCATGACATTCTTACCGGATTAAGTGGAGGGGGGGGGGGACTCGTGAGTTGGTGACATCTACGAGTGGAATCCCGAACTACTTCATCCCAGGGTATTCGTCGACAACCTTCAGGAGTCTAGGTCGAAACACGAAACTAACAATGTGTCTTTGGTCATGTAGGGCTGGAAAATGGCGAAACATTGATATGGTTTTCTTAAATGGATATGGTGTTGCGTAGGTTCTTGAAATTTTAAGCAGAAGCTTGTGCTGGTAAGTGGACACCTGCACACTGTGATCGCCGGTACGACATTTTTTAGGACCACTCAGTGTGAGCAGTAAATAGTTTTAAAAAATGATTGCTTAAGAGAAACGAAGATTCCACATTTTCATGATATCAAAAGCGCATATTGCGCGGAACACTTTTTTGGGCGCAGTAAGTATCATGGGATGTGATTCAAGTTGTGTAACGCGTATAAATAGCTTACGTTTTTATTGGGATGTTCCCTAGATAAAAAATGTTCCCGTTGATTTTTAATTCACAGGGTTTAAATGATGAGTATGATACTGAACGGAAAGAGTTGGGATCATACATGTACGACATTAGCAAAGAGCCGTGGCAGTATTTTCCTGCAGAAGTGAGTTTCCCTACATCCGTGGATGCCTTTCTGTTATTCCTCAGCTTTGAGATAACGTGTCCTTATTTTTCGAATCATAGAAGGAGTTGGACAGATCTTTCCAGTACGTTATGCTACATGTGAAAAGTAACTGGGGTGAGCCGGAATTCACGTGCCTTTATCGGATTCGAGTCCACGGATACCCACTGTAGCAGGGATTGCTGTGCGGCATTCTTCTGGTTTGAGGAAATTCAAAGTGCTTCTTACCGGACTTCTCCTTTTTTGAGGTGTTCGTCAATCTCGTGCATGGTTCACGAAGTGCTGCGGCGGATAAGCTGTGATTATATTCGAAATCTTTTTTCCTTATCTTTTTTTGAGGATCACCCGTTGAAGTGTGTTGATTTTGGTACCGGGTTGTTGTTATGGCGCGTTGGTTTTTTTATTTTATTTTTTATGCAAACTGATGGTTCATGTGTTCCATTTATTTGTATTAGCAAAGGTTGTTTTGGAAGGTTGGTGCGTTCTGAGGTATTCTTTTGCACTATTACCCAATTAACTCCAGCCATAGTGCTAGTCGGTTTCCTTGGATAAGTCAACTGATCAATTACGCTGGATTAATTGCGGTTAATAGCCTTGCATCATAATTTTTTTTCTTTCATCAATCAAAAGTTTCCTTCAAGTAACAGATTCGAGCATGGTGCAAAAGCTGGTCTATTGAAGATGTTGGGCTCGTGCGACAAAAATTCGACGAGCCGTTAGAAATTTAAACGGGCGAAGGGTTCTTGAGTCAATAGGTTTTGACAATAAATGTAAAATCCTTGTTCAGGAGGTATTAGAAAAGGTAAAACGATCGTGAAATTTCACTTGTTTCACTCCTATCAACGTAACTTTTGTTTTCCCTGTATCATGTGGCAATTTGCCAACCGTTCATTCGAAAAGAACAAAGAAAACGTGCCAACCTTGAAGTGTTGTTTTGCATATCGCAATTTATGTTCACGAAAGACGCGATTTTTCGTAGATTCTCGCTTTAAATTTGTCATTTTATTATGATTCGCAACAAACGAATTCGTTGTGTCACGTACAAACAGAACATTTTGCGGGTAGAAAAGTCTGGTGTACGTTTTATTCTTCATACATAATTTTGTGACACTGCAGATCCGCGCATGTCTCATCCGAAGCAGCTTTGATGTCCCTGTGATTCTGGTTGCAGTAAGGTGGAAAGTAATTCTTTTTTTTTGTGAAAGAATCGTTGTAGTGTAAACTTTCCTCAGAATTGAACAAGAGCCTGTGTTTACTGTATCATTTTCAAATTGTTAGGAGAATGAAATCAGGAAATATGTGCACGTTTATGTTCTGTTGCTAGGTATTACGTGATTTAGCACCTGCTTCGATTTATTTCGTCTTGTGAAAAAAGCGCTGCTTTTGGACTGTGACGTATTGAGATGACTGTTCTCAGCTGCTATGGCACATTCACGTGCACTGGAAGCGCACTTTCCTCCATCTCCGACTCCCTCCCTGGTCGTTTGTAGTAGATGCGAATGGATGACGATATGCTGTCCCGTTCATTTTTTGGAGTGACGCGGGAGTGGTTGTTGTCTTCACGTTGATACGGATTGGAGCGGTAAGCATTGACCGACGCGTCTCGCAGATTTAAGCGACCTTGCGCTTGGGTCAAAGCGTCGATCGCAGGAGAACCTTTGCCGGTCTTGAAGTAGCTTTGAGTCAAGAGTCCGTTGAAGGATATGTCGTGTGGGGCCCTGCCGCGAGGTTCGAGGATTCCGCGCACTGTCATTTGATGCGGGTCAGTGGAGCTTCTGTCAATCTTAAGAGCAGGAATTCAACTATTTTCAGGAGATGAAAGAGAATCCTGAAGGGCAAGGCCAGTTCACATATAAATATTACTACTGGCTGGGAATGATTAATCTAAATCATCGAATTATACTGTCGGTCATAAACTTATGCAACATTAAATTAATGTAAATTATTGCGGAAGACATGAACTGGAGTAAAAAGTAAACGCTCAGGATCAGTACCACTCGAGCAATAAATATACCAGTAACATTAACCAGGGTGGAGTTGAGAAACATCTTTTTACTTTCGGAGACTTGCCATCCTGCCTAGTACAGGTCTTATTCTTGCATAAAATATCACCTCGAAGAACCAAAAATTATACTGTACAGCAATACATGAAACTTTCCCTTAAAATCCAAGAGCGAATTACCAGATATTCACCCAAGAATGTCTCGAGCATAATAAAAAATTTTATCGCAGCAGACAAAAATATGCAAACAAACAGTTATCAAAGCCATTAAGACAAAGGGAATACTTTATACAAGTTAAGAAATGCATGAAACGCATCCGAATGTCACTTGACTCTTCCATGAAAGTTCTTTATTATATTTTTGCACCTTTGACCTTTGTTTCGTGAGCTGCTGTTCGCGCATCGCCTGTTGTTGCTCCACGAAACTACGTAAAGCCCCTTCCTTTGATCGACGAACTTTGAAGATCCGACGACCGACACTATCTTCTAACCACAAATATTCTTCCATGATCTGATTAAAATAATTTCTTGATGCTGACCTGGAAGCACGTTCAGATTTTTATTAACATCTCCGGACTTGCAACAGTTTCACTTCCACTGTTGAAAACATTAAAGCCACAAAATGCGGTGTGCCGTTGGAAGAAAAAACATATAATTTCGCTGAATAGACTCAACGCAATCGCCTGAAAATTACAGCCTGGTCTTGTACTAAACAATCACATCAGCATGGAAAACTTCAATCAAACATTTCAAGAAAGAACGATGAATCCTGCAAAATAAATAAAAAAACATTGTAAAATATAAAAATTCTTGATTCAGAAATTTCAAACTCGATTCGGCATCAAAACCAAACTAATACCAATGTCTGAATCTGCAAATATATTATGACATATTGACAACGTAAAATAAGGGTTGGGGGCCCTAAAATTCTGAAAACCTGAAAGCTGATTCTGTTTGAACTCCTGGCAACACCTGTGAAGAAGTTTGATTGGAGTGTTTTTTCCAAGCGCCGTAAAGAGAACAAAAATGCCGAACTGATGCGATTGTCAAAAGAAAAACATGAGGAGATATGTACGAGAAGACAATGGAGACAGCGGCATGATTAATTATTAAATATACGGTTACCCTTTATCCCCCGATTAAAATCATAGGTCTGTTTTTCATCTCGGCAATATTGAACATACCCGCGTGGCGCTTCTTTTTCCTCTTCACCGCCATGGAAATCAAATCAATCAAGTCCTCTTTTGACGTTCCCCCACGCAAAGCATCTCGCAAGGAAACCTCTGAATTCCCAAACAAACACACTTTCAAGTTCCCATCCGCCGTCAGCCGCAAACGATTGCAGGTCCCGCAGAAATGTTGCGACATTGAAGTGATGAATCCAATCTGACCCATGAACCCAGGCACCTTGAACGCTTTCGAAGTGTCATTCGGATGATCTTCCAGTCTTTTCAACTCAGGATACTGGGCTCGGATCGAGTCGAGCATCTCCGAGAACGGAATCATTTTCTTCACATTCCACTTGTTGCCATCAAAGGGCATGTACTCGATAAAACGCACATCCACGTTTTTCTCCTTCGTGAAAGTCACAAAGTCCACTATTTCATCACAATTCACGCCGCGCATCGCCACTACGTTCAGTTTCACCGGCGAATAGCCCAAAGACAAAGCGGTCTCGATTCCCTCCATCACCTTTTTCCATCCAGGCCGGCGCGTTAGAAACTCGAATTTGGCCGGAATCAGAGTATCCAAGCTTATGTTCAGCCCGTCTAACCCTGCGTCCTTCAGAGCAGATAGCCTGGTTTTCAAAACGATGCCATTCGTCGTCATTGTCACGGTTTCGAGTTTCGGAATGCCCTTGAGCCCGGAGATGATTTCGGGTAAGTCTTTACGGATCGTCGGTTCTCCTCCGGTCAGGCGAATCTTCCGCACGCCTTCGTCCACGAACAGTCTAGCCAGACTCAGGATCTCTTGAGTGGTCAGAAGTTTCTGACCCGGGGTCAAAGAGACTCCTTCTTCCGGCATGCAGTAAGAGCAACGCAAGTTGCATTTTTCCGTTAGCGAGATGCGTAAGTAAGAATGGGACCGGCCGTGGAGATCTGTCAACGCGTCACTTGTATCTTGTTTGGCAAGCTGAGGGCGGAGTTTCCTCTGAGAGTGGCAAGCTCTCCTCAGATTAATTGCACCGCGAATGACATTGGAGCACTTCAGCATTCTCGCGTCATAGATTCTGGAATGATGGATCACTTGAAAAAAAAAATGATTCTGTTCTAGTATGTGACCAACAGTATAAAACTCCAAACGATTTTTTCTACAGTTCTATTCTGTTTATAATGACGAAATACATTTTCTGAACATGGTTATAGGGAGTGTTCATCAGTCTTGCATTTCGCCGAAAATCGGACACTGTTCTTCCTCGATCAGATTAATGTCTACACGACAAAAGTGTATAAGTTATATTCGATAATCTAAATTGATGAAATGATTCGGTTGACTTTTGAAGATTGCAGCACTGGAATAATTGGGGTAACCGAGAACTAAAAGTTCAAGTTTCCTTTGAGTCCAACTTCCGTTTTTATCTCTCACAATAACACGGTATGAATACTGTATTTGCAGGAATAACTTTGCAACACAAATAGTGAAGTACGTACTACAGGCCTTTTTTTCGGTTACAAGAACCAGATTCAATCTAGATTGAGACGAATTTCTGGATAGGGTTCATTGCCAGGTCACATGCAGTAATCGTAAATAAGACCTTGCCAATGAATGAGCTCCCAAGATCCGATCATTTTCGGACAGGGATACGATTCAAGCTTGAAACCCCCAAAAATTCTGATCCCAATGCCATTCCGTATAATCTACTCCTTCATTTCATCGGCTTTTCAGCTCCCCCTTCCTCTCACATTCCTACCTGCAATAGTTCGCCAAGAATTTCCAGTGGTCTTTTTTTCAGGTTTCCACAAGATCCTCTTTCCCAAACATAGAACGTTCAACAAATATTTTCCAATTGCACTTATCTCANCTGATTAAAATAATTTCTTGATGCTGACCTGGAAGCACGTTCAGATTTTTATTAACATCTCCGGACTTGCAACAGTTTCACTTCCACTGTTGAAAACATTAAAGCCACAAAATGCGGTGTGCCGTTGAAAGAAAAAACATATAATTTCGCTGAATAGACTCAACGCAATCGCCTGAAAATTACAGCCTGGTCTTGTACTGAACAATCACATCAGCATGGAAAACTTCAATCAAACATTTCAAGAAAGAACGATGAATCCTGCAAAATAAATAAAAAACATTGTAAAATATAAAAATTCTTGATTCAGAAATTTCAAACTCGAATCGGCATCAAAAGCAAACTAATACCAATGTCTGAATCTGCAAATATATTATGACATATTGACAACGTAAATAAGGGTTGGGGGCCCTAAAATTCTGAAAACCTGAAAGCTGATTCTGTTTGAACTACTGGCAACACCTGTGAAGAAGTTTGATCGGAGTGTTTTTTCCAAGCGCCGTAAAGAGAACAAAAATGCCGAACTGATGCGATTGTCAAAAGAAAAACATGAGGAGATATGTACGAGAAGACAATGGAGACAGCGGCATGATTAATTATTAAATATAGGAGTGTTTTTTCCAAGCGCCGTAAAGAGAACAAAAATGCCGAACTGATGCGATTGTCAAAAGAAAAACATGAGGAGATATGTACGAGAAGACAATGGAGACAGCGGCATGATTAATTATTAAATATTAACTTTTTCAAATTTATGAGAACCCTGACAGATCATCACAGCTTCTTATTACATTACAGTAATGAATACGGTTACCCTTTATCCCCCGATTAAAATCATAGGTCTGTTTTTCATCTCGGCAATATTGAACATACCCGCGTGGCGCTTCTTTTTCCTCTTCACCGCCATGGAAATCAAATCAATCAAGTCCTCTTTCGACGTTCCCCCACGCAAAGCATCTCGCAAGGAAACCTCTGAATTCCCAAACAAACACACTTTCAAGTTCCCATCCGCCGTCAGCCGCAAACGATTGCAGGTCCCGCAGAAATGCTGCGACATTGAGGTGATGAATCCAATCTGACCCATGAACCCAGGCACCTTGAACGCTTTCGAAGTGTCATTCGGATGATCTTCCAGTCTTTCCAACTCAGGATACTGGGCTCGGATCAAGTCGAGCATCTCCGAGTACGGAATCATTTTCTTCACGTTCCACTTGTTGCCATCAAAGGGCATGTACTCGATAAAACGCACGTCCACGTTTTTCTCCTTCGTGAAAGTCACAAAGTCCACTATTTCATCACAATTCACGCCGCGCATCGCCACTACGTTTAGTTTCACCGGCGAATAGCCCAAAGACAAAGCGGTCTCGATTCCCTCCATCACCTTTTTCCATCCAGGCCGGCGCGTTAGAAACTCGAATTTGGCCGGAATCAGAGTATCCAAGCTTATGTTCAGCCCGTCTAACCCTGCGTCTTTCAGAGCAGATAGCCTGGTTTTCAAAACGATGCCATTCGTCGTCATAGTCACGGTTTCAAGTTTTGGAATGCCTTTGAGCCCGGAGATGATTTCGGGTAAGTCTTTACGGATCGTCGGTTCTCCTCCGGTCAGGCGAATCTTCCGCACGCCTTCGTCCACGAACAGTCTAGCCAGACTCAGGATCTCTTGAGTGGTCAAAAGTTTCTGACCCGGGGTCAAAGAGACTCCTTCTTCCGGCATGCAGTAAGAGCAACGCAAGTTGCATTTTTCTGTTAGCGAGATGCGTAAGTAAGAATGGTACCGGCCGTGGAGATCTGTCAACGCGTCACTTGTATCTTGTTTGGCAAGCTGAGGGCGGAGTTTTCTCTGAGAGTGGCAAGCTCTCTTCAGGTTAATTGCACCGCGAATGACATTGGAGCACTTCAGCATTCTCGCGTCATATATTCTGGAATGATGGATCCACTCTTGAAAAAATGGTGCTGTTCTAGTATGTGACCAACAGTATAAAATTCCAAACTATTTTTTTTCTACGGATCTATTCCGTTTATGATGACCGAAATACTTTTCTGAACATGGTTATAGGGAGTGTTCATCAGTCTTGCATTTCGCCGAAAATCGGACACTGTTCTTCCTCAATCAGATTAATGTTTACACGACGAAATAGTGTCTTATATTCGATATCTGAATTGATTAAATGATTCAGTCTATTTTTGAAGACTGCAGCACTGGAATAATTGGTGTAATCGAAAACTAAAAGTTCAAGTTTCCTTTGAGTCCAACTTCCGTTTTTATCTCTCACAATAATACGGCAAGAATACTGTATTTGCATAAATTTGCAACACAAATACTGAAGTACGTACTACAGGCCACTTTTTTCGGTTATAAGAACCAGATTCAATCTAGATTGAGACGAATTTCTGGATAGGGTTCATTGCCAGGTCACATGCAGTAATCGTAAATAAGACCTTGCCAATGAATGAGCTCCCAAGATCCGATCATTTTCGGACAGGGATACGATTCAAGCTTGAAACCCCCAAAAATTCTGATCCCAATGCCATTCCGTATAATCTACTCCTTCATTTCATCGGCTTTTCAGCTCCCCCTTCCTCTCACATTCCTACCTGCAATAGTTCGCCAAGAATTTCCAGTGGTCTTTTTTTCAGGTTTCCACAAGATCCTCTTTCCCAAACATAGAACGTTCAACAAATATTTTCCAATTGCACTTATCTCATTCTGACGGCAGGCCTACTCAGCAACTACGATGTATTTTATTTTTAGATATGTAATCTTACAAGGTCAGCCTTATTTTTGTGAAACTGCGTCAATCTACCCTAATAAAAGTAATATGCTACCAGATTCCTACGATATAGAATGGTTAATTAAAATTAGAACAGCTGTCATTTTCTGCGGTTGGTCGCATACTAGAATAGCATCGAACATTTTGAGATAAGCACTCGTGCGCATGAGTATCCAAAAGAAAGGAATCCCAGTCCGCAGTTGTGGACATTTATGAGATCGTATCATTTCGGAATGGACTAGTCACAATTTCCTCATCTGAGATCATTGGAGCAGCATAAACGCGATTCTAAGGAAAACTCGATCGTTTCAAGAATACATCGGTTACAAAGAGGTGGCGAAAAGATCAAAATTCTGCAACTTCCTTCTCTTCTCGACGCCAGGATTCAGTCAGTGAGTTCGGCGTCGTGAGAGAAATCGTACAGCGGACGTCGAACGTCATCATCCGACCCAAAAATAATGTCTTCATCGGATTCGGTCACCATAGAAAACGAAGGGTTGTCTTTCACGAGTCCGGTTTCTAAATCGAACGACAAGATAATTACAAATATAATAATGTAACTTTATTACACGAAATTATAAAATCGCCGTTCGAGTTCCGCGCGGCCTTCAACTTTTATTCTGATGTTGAAAATACGAATTTTCATCGCTGCTTGGTTTAGATCTTTAAAATGATGGGCTCTAATTGCATGGGGTTTTTTTCTAGAAAATATCTGAACACTTGGCAGAGAAGAACTGTTCTTTTGGTGGGTGGTGGCATACGTTTTTGGATTATCGGTAACTTGGATTAGTGGTCTCATAAATATGCGACCTAAACATATCCAAACAACCTCGTAGCAAAGTTGAATACAATAATGCTGTACATCCGAAACTTCATCGTCCACAGATGAGTTGAAAAAACACTAATTAATAGAAAAACATTGATTAAAAGAACAAGATCAGTAATTTACTGTGCAAGTACAAGTGCCCCAGAATCCTGAATAGAGCATACCACGTGATTTTCCCCTAAATATGAGGATTAAATACGCAAATAACTGCACCAAAGAAAATGGGTCACGTGTGTGAGTCTTGAAGAATCACACACGTCGTAGGCCTTCAAGTATACAATATTGCACGGGCTTCTTTCAGGGAATATGTAAGGAAATAAGGGACGAACGAGGAAAAAATTGCACGCGGGAAGAATACTAAGCGGAAATCTATGCACGAATCAACAATAAAACCATTCATTCAGGGCAGCCTAACGAAAGATTCGTCAGGGGTGTCAATTACATCCTCATAATTTTCTTAGAAGTTTTTCAAGGGCGAAGAATAAAATAGTTTCGAGCAATCGTTAAAATGAGGAGTGCTGATAACCAATGGAAAGTTTTAGTTTCTCATAATCCTAAGAAAAAATCTAGAACCTGACGCGTTTCATCTCTCGAATGAATACATTAATATTGGAGGCTACGCGGAACCCGGACAACCCTCGTGTACTCACGGTGTTGCGGGGTTTCGGCTGGAGAATAAACGAAGGCCATCGTGTACAGGTACAAGTTCAGAAGTCCGTAAAATGACATGAACTCGGCTGAATTCCGGTACGTTGTGCTCAGCTGTGAAACGAAGTGATCCTCCAGAACTCCAACTCCAAATCGCAGCACAACAACGGCGATCGACACCGAGAGCACGACCAGCATAAGCACTGTCAGAAACTTCAGTCGCATGTCTGGAATTAAACGCGGGAAAATCATGAAATGTTAAAAAATTGAACTGAATAAAAAGAGCATAGGTAGGATTCGCATTAAATAATCAGTCATTTCAAGTCAACACTGGCTTTAGATTTACTGATAACAAATGATGATGAAAGCGTTTCAATATCTTAGAATAGTCCTTGACACGAACAGATAGGAAAAATGACAATTTTATTCGTGCAGGGGGGATCTCACAGTTTTGCGAGTGGCTCGAAAATCTTTACTGTAGTCACACGGAATACAGTACAGTTACAATACTTCTTTTAAAAAAATAGGTTCGATCTTTCAAAACGATCGATTCCGCCGAAAAGAATGATTCTAATAACCAGTTTACGGCGCCAAGAGGATATTGTGTAATAAATGGGTGCATGCGCTCATTTTATTAAATTCCCGGGAAAGATGTCAAATTGCGAAACATTTTCGGGTTTGATTCATTATTATCGTAATCATAGACATTTACAACATAAAACGAGTGCATCTGAGTAGAAATGCCCTTTCGAAAATCCACAGATGCAGAACAACACAAGCCTCAGTTTATTTTTGGAAGGCAAAATATGACACTCATTTTATTTTCGGTGAAATACGAGCAGAAATACACATTTGAGTACTTAAAAAATGAGATAAAAAACCGAAGGTCACGGAAAGAAAAATGTGGGAGAAGTTGATACGCAGAAATTAAACATTTAGCGTGTTTTATTTATTTATTTTATTCAAGAATAGCGAATGGTGATTTCGAACTTACCAAAATAAGGCATGGATCTCAGGTCGCTATACGTCTTGACAATGTGGTGCACCAGCATGAGGATGTACAACGCACCCATCACGAAGAAGAATATTTTCAGGCCCTGCGAGAAAATCGCTGATTTTTGAACAACGTTTCTTGTTCATTTAGTATGGAAAAAACATACATAGTAAGCTGAAGAGTTCACATCTTCGCTGAAGGTGGGGTCAGACAATTGATTTGCTCGTTCCCAAATTGACAAGGATACGGAACAAACCCAGACCGGTAGGATTACCAACGCCTTGCATAAATAGAAACCTCGAAACGTCCTGTTTGTCTAAAAAAGAACCCGGAAAAGCAAGCAAACGGTAGATCAAGGTCATGTAAAGTAAATATCGTTTATTAATTTCCAGGAACTATTTCATAAAAACCCAAACCAGATGGCAAACCCAATGATAGAATGCGAACACTCATTATTTTTCCAATCTGATAATCTTTTGCGGCACAACAATAAGTTTAGGCATCGAAGAACATTACGCATTACAAAAATAATTTGAACGGGATATTTTTCAGATTTGAGAACAAAATTAACATAATGTACATCCATCTTTTCGAAGTTCCGTACATCACGTTTCATGCGTCACAGGAAGCAGTCCCATTTATTCTTACTTGTCTATCCAGTCGTAATGATCTAAAATTGATCATCTCTGACTGCAACTGAAATACAGTCCTAAAAATGTTTTATAGAACACTGGAGTGATGCGGAAGCCATTAAATATTTATTTTCCCGGGTGTCCCTCAAAACAATAAAATTCGCAGGAAAGTTTATTAAAAAAAATTAGAAATGAGACCTAGCTCCTTGACAGTTATAAAATCGTAATCCATCGGTTTATTAATCATTTAAATTTAAAAAAAAGCTTCTGTGAAGAGACTGGAGGTGACGTCACACTCAACGAACAAAATAACTGGGAAAAATTCTCCATCAATCCCATTTGTTGAATTTTCTATCCAATTTCCATCGATCACAGTTCACAAGTGTCATTCATCGAGGGACGTTACGAAAGGAACGTGAAAAATAAAGGTGAACTTGACATGATGATGATTCAGGTGGAGTTGCTCGCGTCAATCAGATGCAGAAACCGATTACCATGCAAGAAACCAGGAAACACTTGTGAGTGATACACACCTGCCTGAGCCCATGGTAAGCACTAAGCCAGAAGAAGAGAAGCGCGCAAAGGAAACTAGCTTGGAAGAAGCTATCGGCGGCAGTTGCCAAGATGGAATCAGTCGCCAGCACCAGGAAGAAAAATGGATCTAGCCACAAGGCCACCGCATGAGTCGCAATGAGAAGCTCAAATCGGATACCTCACTGTCAACTCACTATTGTATAAGATAAGAAGCGGAAGCAACACGATCAACCACTTTTGCTCCATCGCCCAGTCCCTCATGGGATGCTTCTTCAATGTACGATGGAACCAGACCTAGAAACAAACCAATGTGTTATGCAACCATTCTAGATGGACGAACCGTTCAACTTGACGCGAATACAAGGTGAACTGAATAATCTGGTACCGTCTCAATTGAAAACATAATATAAAAATTTAGAATTTTACACAACAATACAGTATTTAAAATATTGCGATAACTACAAAAGCTGAACTTCGGGTCAAATTGAAACTATACGACGGGTAGTACAGAAGTATCTGCTTGATATCTGCCATTTCTCAGAACAAAACAAAAATATAGTCAACATTCTTTCGAATTTTTGGGAATGATAGATGACAATACAGTATTAAAAAAATTTCATCAGAAGTTCAATAGGAAAACTCATCTCTAAGAAAATGTAAATTTGAGACTATTTCAAGCTGTACAAGGTTTTTCTTTCAGGCCTTCCACTTTTCAGAAATTTTAGAACAATCCCTTGCAAATTTAATATCCTCAAGTTTGCTATACAGTTCTGCTTAATTTTTTTTACTTTAAACTATAGTATACAATTTTAGAAATTCCCTACCTCGCATAATAGTCGCGGAAGTAAGGAATTTTACTTCGAGCTGCCGTTTTTAAAAATGAAGCAAACTTTTTTAAAGTTGCAAACTTCAAGTTCTTCGCGAAGTAGTACCCTTCTCAAATCATGTAAGTTTTAATGGTATGCTAAAATTCACCCACATATATTTCAAAACCGGGAGTTCTTTGATTGCATTTCCCACAAAATAGACCAAAGAATAAATGCGAGCTTTTGTGAATAAAACAGGAACTAATAATTAATATTTTAACGAGATTTTAAATGAAGTCAACAACTCATCTACGCTGTCGAATGTTTAGACACTAAAGACTGTAGAGATTCATCCGAATGACCAAATCGAAAATTTAAAAAACCGTCAAATTCTTGAAAACATACCAGAAATCCGACGCCACAGGACAAAAATATAATTCGGAACCACAATTCAAGCTGCGTGAAATCCGGATTGTAGCTTTTGAACTGTGAAAAGAATACTGGAGATGAGTAATCTCTCATCTTTAAGGTGAAAACTATGCTTACGTAGAAAATAACGTCCTTCAGCTTATACGTCTCAAGTCCGAAGAAGGAAACCCGAATGACATAATGAGGATAATGAATGAACCCCAAATGAGCCACGTTGAATTCCTCACATCTGCCGTTTCGACAGCTCAGCAACTTTGTTCTTGACACAAATAAAAAGATTTTTGCAATATTTTTCAATTTTTTCGCTTCCGCATCCGGACAAACTCACCTATTATGAACAAAATGACCGGAATCGTGACTTGAATTCCGATCATCGCCCCTGACGTCAACTTCGGCCGTGAAGTGCGTTTGAAATGATTCTTCTGCAACATGACATGCGGAAGAGTGAAATACCGTATTTTCGATTTGTCATCCACGAAATTGAAATTCCACCAGTAGGCGAATATAAGCACCCTTTACTTTCCTGGCGTTCTGACTTTCCAGGAACCTAAAATTCTGAATAAATTCCGGTTTTTCCCAGAAAAGTAAAAAACGGCGTAACACAATCCTCGCTCTTCCCCATTCAGTCGATGACTCATGCATCCTGAAGCTCTAAATGACGACCAGTTCTTGATTATTCTAAACTTATATTCTAAAAAGAAGTGCTCGATCGACTTCTGGGCCACGAACAGGAAGACTTCCTGATATAGACGCATATTTATGCAAATTGCATAAATATGCGTATATAAGCCTCTCAGTTTTTATATCCTAAATTTATACAAAAGGGGTGCTCATATTCGGGTAAATACGGCATTATCTTGGGCGTAATCTTCAGAATTCCCCGGAAATTTTGAACAACCAGAGGAAGAATGAAACGCACTTCATCCCAAGACCCCATCTTCGGATTTTTCGAATGATTCCCATCGGATTTCATTGTCTACGACTTTTTCTGTTTCCAACAGAAACATGACACTCGTTAAAAAGAGAGATTCAGAAACTGAGGAAATCTGACCTATTTGATCCTGGATTTTTATTTGAGCCAGAAGCCAAAGCTGACGGTTGTATGACGAAAGATACGGCGTGCGAAGCAAGAACGGACCGGTGCTGTTTATCGGCTCATCCGGCAATGGACCGATAGCTCTTTCCGCTGCGGAATCATTGGCCTCCAATTTCAGGTCGTGCCTAGCTGACCTGTGTTTGGTAGCTGTGATCGGTGGCCCAGCGATGCCAATGACCACGGCACACGCGTACAGGCCGAAAAATACCAGAAAAACCAAGGCGAATTCCTGCTTGTTCATCGAATACAGTCTCATCTGAACGGATCTGAAAGCAAGGAAAATGCAACAAATCAACACTCGCTAAAAACACGAATAATACAGTGAACAGTTTCTTTCTGAACATATTCGCAGATATCTAAAATAAAATTACACTTCGTAGCACTAGAGAGGTGAACTTTCCTATACGAGGGTTCCAACAAAAGTTCTCGGAATTGAAATTAAAATGGCGTATAATCGAGCTGAAAAAATCATTCTTTAGGGAAATTATATTCTTCGGCACAAAAAAAAATCAGCCCTATTCGACAATTTTTTTTAAATGTTTTGCAAAATTCACCCTGGCAGAGTTTTTCAGCTTTTCTCTCCAGTCAACAGATGAGGCGCCCTTCCTGCGTTTATTATTTTTTCTTGCCCAATTTTTCCCTTAGAATTGTTGAAATCAACCTGGGCATTAATTCCAAGGGTTGCCTCCAGGTCTTCCCAGGTAATTCCGCCATTTTCATCAATCGAGCTGAAAAAAAGTGTGAATACATTTTTTTCAGCTCGATTAAACGCCATTTTCATTTCTATTCCGAGAACTTGTGTTAGAACCCTCGTAAGTGAGATAACACGCATACTAACATCCATAATTCGACGATACAGCGCACACGACTAGCGTGAAACTGAAACGTTGAACAATAATTTATTTAAAAATTAAACAGCCAGAAACCAACAAATTCAATGGGTTCCTCTCTGAACACTGAAATCCAGCGGGATTTTGGAAGCATGTCAGAAAATAACTTGCTGAATCAAGCAACGACGAAAGATCAGTACGTGCAATAACTAACAAAAGGGCAATTACCAAAAATTTCAGAATAATAAGTAGTAGATAATTTCACGTTCGGTATTATTTTATTTTACCTACATTTTATAATTTTAGGTTATTTTAGCACACTTCGCAATAAGACAGTCGAGATCAGCTAAATTGATGTACTTCGGGTTAGGTTAGTGAATGTCAGGGTAAGTTGAATTCTGTTAGTTTGGTTCAGATCAGGTTATGTCACTTCAGTTCAAGTTAAGATGCAAGTTGAATGAAGATCGCCGTCTAACACAGTTCAGACATCAAGAAGTTAATCTTTCAATGTTGCAGAATTCCCTCCTTCCGCTACTTGAATGATGCATGGGCATTTGCTCTTTTGGGGACAGCTATTTAATAATGTAAAATGATCGCAATTCTATAACTTGATTCTTCAGTGGCATGAAGCATGACCAATTTTTCCAACAAATTTCAAACGACTGACTCATGTGAACAAAAAGCCACGCAAATGATCACCTTTCGCAACGGTCGTGATGATACGCAGGAGCGATGTACCTGCCAAATTTACTGAACAAATCAGTGAAACTGGAGAAGAAAGCGTGTAATCTGAAGCCCACATCCGCTACACCACTAGAAGACACAGGGATCGAGCCTCTGTTGTTGGGGAACCCTAATTCGTCGTACGCGTAACCCATGTCTTCCGTCATTTTCGACACGGAAAACATTCAAACGCAACTGGACAACCAGAGCCTGGAAAAGAAATTCTTTCCGTTAAACCAGGAAAAGGCATTCAGTAACAATTTAGGTAAATGACTCACGAACAACAAATATCAAATTCATGGTTTATTCGAAAGCGGCGACTGAAATAGAAGAAAAAATCAGCTGTGCTCTGTGTTTACCTGGCTGGCAACAGGCTAGCGCATCAGAACCTTGCAAGAAACTGACAAAAAAATTGCAAAGATGAAAAGAGCTAATTGTACCTGTCCTCCAAAAGATAAGAAAGGAGTTGAATTACTTTTTTTATCGTACTGAAGTTCGAACATTTTCAGAGAAGCATCTTGGAAAGAACGAGAAACTCCCGGCAATCATTCTTAAATGTTAAAATTATCGAAAGCTGGTAATATAGCAGAATTTTGAGCATAAACTGTGAATATACGTGTCTCCAAACCCTGATGAAATAATTGTCAGAGCATCTCGCGAGCTAAATTTTCATTTAAATGGCCCACCATTAGTAAAAAGCATTAGGTCATTTTACGGCTAGATATTTTTCAATATATTTTGGCCAATGACACAATAGCATAGCTAAATATTAAAAGAGCTACAGCGAAAGAATTCAAATTAGAACATATATTCGAAGATTAAAGCTCAATAACACGAGTAATACCACTTAATCTCTTGAAACCAAAATCTCCAACTTTAATTTGGGTTCATGGAGCTCCATTTCTGGCTTCTTCTTTCGAAAATAAACTTGGTTCTACTCAGTAAAATGATACAGAACTAAGAAAAAATAACCAAAATGGAATAAGAACACTTCTCTAGAAAAATGAATGCCCTTGAAGATGATCGCTGATTGAAAACAAGTGACACAAGTTCAATCAATGTCGAAAAAAAAAATGAAGAGACAGCCATGATAATGAATGAATATGGTTCTGAAATGCTAGGCCACATTACAGCAAGAGTGGATAGTCGAAGTAAAAGAGAGAGCAGAAGTCAACCAGAGAACCTCACATATCACTTCAACAACGAATCTCGGCAAGACCAGCAACGAAGTATATCCTTTGTCCCAGTTAATAATCCGCCTCTACGTCAAAACAAGGTTCGTCCCAATGTAAATGAAAATCCGAATCAACAACCGGTTCTGCCAACAAAGCCAAAAAACGTAGCTCATGCCATCAGGTCGACACATCGAAATATCCCAAGTAAAAAAGCTCAAAAATCGTAACACCGGGTGAACGGAAAGATAACGGTAAATGAGTTTTTCCACAGCACTTGATCTCACAAGCCGTCCAAAAGGTGAAACAAGCAACAGTGGGCCAAAATACAGCTCCGTCCTCTCTTCCCACGATGCGCAATACTTCCAGACAAAGGTGAAACTTGGACAACCGTGGGGGGAACAAAGAAGGCAGCCAATGGTGACGTTTCCAAAGAACAACTTCTATGCCTTTTTCCAACAGAGCGTCAAATTGGTGTTGCAGCGAGCTTGGTAGCAAACAGGAGGGTTTCTTCACACCCTGGCGACTTCATGCTGCAGGAAAGAGGGTTTCTCCGGGTCCCAGCCTGCTGTCATAATACATGGGGCTTCTCTATGTCCCCTGCCATCAGCCGCAGCAGAGCTGCTTGCAACTCTACACGCTTCTCGCTCAGCGTTTTCTAAGGGTATGGCTATATCGATGTGAGTAGTACTGTGACAACAAAGCAGATGTACACGTCGTCGGATTCGTTTACATGCTGAGCCCACCTCATCACACACAGTCTTGAAACTTCCGCCAACCTGACTAGCAAGCACTTTACACTCGACCCAAAACAGGTGCCAAGGCCTCCAGGGGCGTAATTAGCAAACTCAGAGCCCAAATCAATAGAAAACAAGCATGTATGTATGTTGCGAGGTTATCACTATCGCAATTTTCCGTATTTACCCAAATACAAGACGCAACTGATTATAAGAACAGACACACTATCACAACTGCTAATGGAAGCTGAATACAATTTCGCACAAAACACAAACAAAAGACGCACTCGTACTCATTTCAATTTGCATCATAGAAGTCCTCCAATGGCTCATCTACAGAGTCACATTTGTGTAATCGAGAACTTATTTATAGCACCGTTTTCCTTCGTCATTCCCCGGAAATGATATCAAAATAAATACATTACCGGGCCGAAGAATTCGAACGAAGATTGAGGTGGCCCTTCCTCGTGATTTATTATTTCTGCCGAACTCATGACGGCACTGCTCCGGTGAAGTACAGCATTTACATTCGTTTTTACACGAATAATACCACCACTATTACGTCGAGGCTTTCCTTCAAATACACGTGAGCCTCAATTTTCATTTAGGAGTTCAAATTCGTTGGGAGTGATCACTTTACTTACTAACTTAAGGCGTCATCAAACATCAGAGCACAGTCATTTTTCCGAACGGATTTTTGGGAGAAAAAGAGCATCTGATATTCGAGTAAATACGGTGTATGAACTGAGAGATGGCCATGCTGTGCTTTTAAGAAAGCTCATATGAAGGACAGTCAAGAAAAGACGGGGAAGCTACTAATGTATGTCATTAGGCGGAAACGACTAGGAATTATTCAGTGATCAATGAGTTGTGCGGATTGACACGGACTACACAGGAAACTGCGCTCCCGAGTCCAAATGCCAGTTAATTTGTGGTAATGGGACGGCTTGAGGGTTTCTTTGCATCCCTGCGGTCCCTAGTGCTGTGCAAGCTGGATGCCTGTGGCATCATCAGGTTTCTCACCACCTGTGTGAGCCCCACCCGGCTTCGATACCGCGGCCCAATTAATGTGGACACTCGTGAATTCACGACCATAAAGCGTGTCATCACTTGCGGCGAGCGCCAGAGAGGTCTCTGACGGTTTATGCTTTAGGATTACTACATAGATGCAAGTTTTAAGATTAAAATGAAGTTTAAAAAAAAGACCATGCGCCCCCTTGCCAATTATCTGTGCAGATTGCCTTTACCCAAACTCCATCGACGCATCACTTTCTTTTCGAATTAATGCACCGTAGAGCCATCACTTCAGAGATCAGAAGCAGCCAGAAGATTAACAAGAGATAAATCAACAAGGGTATCATTACGTTTAATACGATATCCTTGGTTGAACGGCATTCCCATAAAATTTCGATTAATTTTCGTCGTTGTCGGACAAACACAGGACATGACCAAGTCGTCACATTTGCATTTTTCCTCCGTCGTAAGCGTTCAAACTACGTCCGCCTGCCTACAGCATTTGGAGTAGGCAAGGCGTTTAGCTTCAGCGACCGAGTTCGCTTTTCATGAATTGGACACATTTATTCCTACTGAAGTTGAAGATTCTACAGCGTTTCACGCTCAAGAACATAACAATGAATACTATACATGCGTACCCAGTGATCCCAGTCGAGTGAATGCATTGTCAACTGCCCCACGCGCGACTTAACCTTTATCAACAACGCCAATTGTAATCCGCTTCACCATAGATCCGAAATATCTCCAGAACAAGACTTACTCCGCGGATTTCTTGGACCCAGTGGCGAGAAACAGCTCACCGTGTAGCGTTATACCCAATTTCAATCTTAAGATCTACAAAAATCTTCAGGAATGACCCAAACTTCCAACAACTTCACACGAAAGATCGTGCATCAGAGTTAACATCAAATACGCTGGCAAAATCCAGCTCAACTACTGTTAAAATTTAGCTTATTCCCGGATCTTCCATGGTCCTCCACCTTGAAGAGAATACAGCCAATCAAAAGCAATAACAACCATTCGGGCAAAAAGAAGTCAACTCACTTGAATTTGGTCACTTCCAAGGGCGGGAATACATCTCTTTTCTCAAAGATATCGGACATTAACCTGAAATAACGATCCACACACGTCAGTGCACAATTCGCAAATTCGAGAACATTGAACCGGTTCGAGGAAGGCTGCAACTGAACAGCTCATCTACCTCGCCTGCGAACTGCGTGAGGTAGTTTAATACGTTCGGCACGATACAGCCACTTGATTTATTCGGTTTCGTTCAGATTTATAATGATACATATTCACATTTCCCGCAACGAACCAGCAGGCTTGGCTCTCATACAGTACAGTCAGAGATAGCCATCTCAAAAACAACAAAGACACCAAAAGCACATTAACTCCAACCTTATCTCCCCCCACAGATCGCATAAAAGGACAAGGACGCGACCCTAAGCCAAACCGGGAAAAACATCCAACAACACACACAAGAGAACCTAATGGTCCCCAACCGGGAACAACATCCGCCGCAAAACCACAAGAGAACCTAATGGGACTGAGGGTCAAGACAACAAGCACATAAGCGCGAAAAAAGGACAACGCGGGCCACTCTTGACTGAACTGTTCGACACTCCGCATCTCCGACTATGCCGCCTTGCCAAGTGTCTTAAGTAAGGCCCTTCCCTTACCAACTAGAGCGACACCTAGGCGACCCTACTGGAGAAAGTCCAAATGTCCCAAGAACCCACCCAGTTCTTTCTTATCTCTTGCATCATTGGAGGAACCACCGCAGGAGGCCCGGACGGCAGGAGAGGACTGGCACTCGAACTTCAGCTCTTGACTTGACATCGTCTCTTAAACTTTGACTTGTGTGTTATTGTGTTGCTGACTTCAAGAAATATTACTAAGTGTGTTCGTGGAGAAAGGTCTACTTTATTATTCATCCTTATTGGGGGCTCGAGCCATCCAGTGATTTCTTCACGGAAACATACTTCAGTTGATGGTCCGCAATACCGAAACTTCACGTGCTGCTGCTGCCTGGGCTCTACAAATGGAGACACAATCCGAACAAGATCGCAATGTTCCGGAGACCGAGACTCCCGTCCCGCACAGCAATCCGACACCCCAGCCGCTACCAGTACGACAGCCACAGCCTCCACGGATTCCCGTCGAGACCCCGGCAGGCACATCTCGTTCGATGATCACGTCCTCCTCGTCCGGTGCATTGTCCACTTCCAGCGTGTGGGAATCCTTGCCGTTGTCCACCTTGCAGTTCCTTTCCGAGACGTATACCGACTT